TAGTACCTAAAACAAGAAATAACAAATGTACCTGGTGTATGGACAGCCAGTTGTCTGCCTGACTACCAACCTCCCCATACAGGAACAAGGAAGAGACATTATAATCCAGTCAGAGCTGCAATCTGGAGTCAGATCTAGCCATGTTCACTTACTAAACCTTGGGCAAGTCAGCCTCTTCAAATCTAGTTTCCCGTTTATAAGATGGGGGTGACACCTACTCCTGGTTTTTGTAAGTGTTAAGTGAGAACACGTATATGAAACTCTAGATCCAGCATTTTCCTCCATTTTAAGGGTCACGTCTCTCTAGAGTATTTGGGGAAGTGGAGTGGGAGGCATGGTCTCTGTCTTGCCCCCCATGTCTCTTCCCTTGGTCAACCTTTGCATTGTCCGGGGTCACTGCTGGTCACAGCCTCAACTCCTGGTGTGGTTCCCCTGAATGGAATGTAACTATATTCACAGTGGGGCACAGTTGTGAATTCTTTCAAACCTCATGACTATACAAGGTGTTTCTTTCCTGATGAGTTGGGGGAAAAATAGAGAATCACAATGAGTGAGGGAAAACATTAAAACTTTACTTATAAAGTACTACCATGCAAGTAAAAAACAGGCAAGAAGTTTAACCTTTATTTGGAAGTTGTATTCCTTCCTGGAAGTGTTATAGGACAGGGAGAGGGGCAGCCCAAACCCCGCAAACCTGCCATTTCTACATGGGTTCTGCCATCCGCCGCATCAATACAAAACATAGGAGACTTTAAGGGGAAGGAACTTTAATAAAACTAGGAAACAATACAGGTAAGGCAGAGTCCAGTTTCTAAATGAAGCACCCAAAGTTACCCGTCCCCTCGTGGGTAAAAGTCCATCCAAACGGGATTGGCCCAGAGCAAGGCCCCAAAGCCTGCCACATGTCTAAGGCATCTTCCAGTGGGGACCCACAGAAAAGGGTCAGAAACAACCAGACAAGCCCGGAAGGAAAAGAGCAAAATCAAAATCAAGATAAAAGCTGCCATTGTCACCTCCCCACAGGTCTCACCCACATCTGTGTCACCCAGTCCACGACCAAAAGACAAGCGCAGTTTCTTCACGTGTCTCTAGGCTCCATGCGCCTCCTCCAGGTCTCCTGACTCCATCCTGCTCCTTCCTTCCTCAGTCTCTTCTGCAGCTTCTCCTCTTCCTGCTCAGCTCCACCCTTCCTTGGGTGGGGCAGGGAACCTCCCCCTTTCCTGGGGACCACCCTGTTACAGAAGGACCTCAGACCTTCCCTAACATGACTCTGTCCACAGGTGTGCTTTCCACACCCCCCAGCCCCAAATCCTTCTTCAAATCTCCACCTCTTTCTGGGAAAGCCCTAGATCCTTCCTCTGGTTCTTCAGCTATCACCAAAAGTGTATTTCCTTAAATCTGACATATACCATCTGGAAGAAATGAGAGGAGGCTGGAGGGAGTAAGGGAATGGAACAAGGAAAGGCCGCCAAGGGCACAAGCTCCCGTGAACTCTGGCACACAGTCCATCAGGAGAATTGTCTAGAGAAGACTGGCCAGACTGAGGCACAGATGAGGGTCTATTTTTCTGAGTATCCTTTGAAAGTAACTTTTGGAATGTGTGCAAACACATGCGTGCACACACATACAAAGAATAAAATGTAATCTGACCTTCAAACCAGCAAATATTTGTGTGTCTTATTATCACCCCATTACTTTGCATTTTTAATAAGCATTAAATGATATTGATGCACATTGTTTGGGGTTTCACCAGTGACAAAAATTGATAACAAACTCCCCACCCCCCCAAAAAAAAGAGACCCTACTCCAGGTTTTACTAGCTGGCCCAGCTATATTGGAGTTAGTACTTGCCATTATTATGCAGAGCAGAGTTAGCGCCTTTTCTACAAAGGCTTGCCAGGACTAAGAAAGGAAGGTCCCTTTCTGAGTCATATATCTTATAATCCTGTTCCCTTAGTTACACAAAGGCCAGCCAAAGCTTTGAAAAGTCTACTTCAAAGAGTCCCTGAATTCTTCCACCAACCTCCACCCTTTCTTTGTCCTGGGAAAAAGGAGGTGGTTTTATTCTTCCAGTTACATAAGTGAAGAACACTACGCATAGTAGGTGCTTTACTTTCAGTAAAGTACTTTACTTTCAGTAAAGTACACTGAAAGTCTCTATCAGGGTCATTTACTGGGCCCAGGGGGCCCAGCAAGAAGTGTGTCCTCATGTTCTGAGTGCTCTGCGCACAGCTAGCTCATCCCTAGCGCTGCACTGGGCTTTGCTGTGATTATCCTTTTAGCACCTGTCTTGCCCAGCCACATTATGAGTTCATTAGCTATCACCCTTGATATTTCCCTCTACTTTCTCCTAACATTATTTTATAAAATAGCTTCACTGAGGTATAACTGACATACAATAAATTCCACATTTAAAATGTCAATTTTATAAGTTTCCACATATATATATATATACACCTACAAAAACATCACCACTAACAAGATAATGAACATATCCATCAAACCAAAAGCTTTCTAAAGTCCATCTCTCCTCTCCCCCAACCACTCATCTGCTTTATGTCACTATAGATTAGTGGGCATTTTCCAGAATTTTGTGTAAATGGAATGTTACAGTGTGTACTCTATTTTGGGGGTCCTGGCTCCTTTTACTCAACATAATTGAGATTACCTGTGTTGTATTTTGTGACTCCACAGTTTCTTCATTTTTATTGCACAGTAATACCACACTTTTTTTTTTTTTAAGTTTTATTTATGCATACAAGAGGTGGGGTACAGGCCAGAGGTGCAGGGCAGGGGATGAGAGGATTCACCAGAGACAGAGTTGGGGGCAGAACAGGCAAATCTACTGAAATACACCACTGAGGGGAGCAGCAGGCTAGACAGGAGAGGGCTGCTTCATCATGTGGGTCAGCTCCCTGGCTGGGGATCGAACTGGTGCTGCAGTGGCTGCCAATAGTTTCATAGTGGTGAGACTTACCCCCTTATGCCACCAGGGAGGCCCACCAATACCACACTTTGTTTATCCATTTACCTGTGTTGAATGTAGGTGTTGTTCCCAGTTTGAGTTATTACAAATAAAGCTGTTAAACACATCAATGTATAAGTGCGTGTGCCCATATGCTTACATTCCTCTTGGGTAAACAGGAGTGGAATGGTGGGATTATAGGGTATGGATGCTGACCTTTTAAAGACCCTGTCATACTGTTTTCAAAGTGGTTGTACTATTTTACATTCTAATCATTCTAGTAGCTCCACATCCTTTCCAACACTTGATATGGTCATTTGTTTTAGTATCAGCCATTTTAATTGGTGTACTAAGAGTGTTTTAATTTTTCCATTGGCAAGTATTTCTATGGTTCAAAATTTTTTTAATTTTAAAGTTATGTATTGAAATCTCACTCCTGCCTATCTCCCAACCCCACTTAGTAACCACTTTTTATTTTTAAAGATTTATTTATTTATGCATACAAGAACCCGGGTACAGGCCAGAGGTGTGGGGGGTGTGGGTACAACCCAGAGGTGTGTGTGGGGGTTGGCTGCAGTGGATGTGGCAGCTTCATAGGTTGGGTCTTAACCCCATATGCCACCAGGGAGGCCCAGGCTTCTAATGTTTATTGAGTGTTTTTCTTTTGGAAGTTTTCCCTTTTCAGATGTTTTTCTAGTATTCTTACAATATAAAACACCATGTCAAAATAGCTGGACTGTCTGCTTCAGCTTCAGCTCTGAACTTGTATACAGAGCCAGTACTCAGCAGGTATTTTATTTTCTTTCTTTATTTTTTAAAAAGATTTACTTATTTATGCATACAAGAACTGGGAGTACAGGCCAGAGATGTAGGGATGGGAGGATTCACCAGAGACAGAGTGGGGAGCAGACCAGGAGGATCTACTGAAATACACTGCTGAGGGGAGAAGCCGGGAGACAGGCGAGGTCTGCTGCGCCATATGGGTAGCTCCCTGGTGGGGAATCGAACTTGTGCTGCAGTGGCTGCGGACAGTTCATAGGTTGTGTCTTTTTTTTTTTTTAAAGATTTATTTATTTATGCATACAAGAGCTGGGGTACAGGCCAGAGAGAGATGCAGGGGTGAGAGCATCCACCAGAGACAGAGCGGGGAATAGAATAGGCAGACTGATGAAATACACTGCTGAGGGGAGCAGCGGGCGATGACAGGAGAGGTCTGCTGCACCACGTGGGTTTCTCCCTGGCCGGCCGGGGATCGAACTCATGCTGCCAAGGCTGCGGACAGCTTCACAGTGCGGTGCTTAACCCCTTGGGCCACCAGGGAGGCCCTCAGCAGGAATTTCAAAAGGCTAGGAGGAAAAACTTAAATGCTGCCCTGAAAGGAATGTCATCTTCGCCGCGGAGGACAGTTCAGTCAGGCGTGCAGGCGCACACAGAGCACCTCTGTCCGAGGCACCACACAGGTTACCTGTGCCAGGAGCCAGGTGCCAGGTGCCAGGGCCGGGCGGCGCGGGCTCGCCCTAGCGCTGCCTGGGGGCCCTTCCTGCCGGCGGGGCAGCTGCCCCCGCCGCGGCGGTGACCGCGGGTCAGCGAGGTCAGAGAGGCCGGGCGCGCGGGGCCTGGGCACACCGGCCTCACGGCGCGGGGCTGGGGCCGCTGGCAGGTGAAGCCCCGGGCCTGGGGGGACTTCGGTCCTCAGGAAAATGTGCCGAAATCCGTGCCCCTCGCGCAAAGGCTCTCAAGGTGAGGCGACCTTGAGCGATGTGCGAGGGGAAAAAGGTCGCGGGCCCGGCTTCAAGGCTCGGTCTCCGGGCGCGGGCAGGGGGAACAGACCCGGCTTCAGGGTATTTTGTTTCTTTCCGTCGCGGGGCGGGGCGGGTGGGGGTGGGGGGGGTGGTTGGAGGACAAGACCTAGTGGGCGGGGCCACCGCGAGTGGGCGGGGCCACGCGGGCCGCCCGGCCGCTACTGGCGGCCGGGCGAGGGGGCGGGGCTTCCGGGCTGCGGCACCGGCACGCAGGGGGCTGCTGGGCGGGCGAGCCGTCACGTGACACGGAAGTGACTCCGAACAGGAAGAGGACGGAAAAAATAACCGTCCGCGACGCGGAGCAGAGCCGGAGCCGCAGCCACCATGAACAGCAAAGGCAAGGACAGGGGGCGGCCGCGGTCGTCGGGGACGGCCGTGCCGGCCTGGAGCGATCGCGCCCGGGGCCCGCGCCGCCAAATGTCAAGTTTGTGGCGAGCTGCGCCGCGCTCCTCGGCCGGCTGCGGCCCTGGGGGCTGCGCCAGGCGCCTTCGTCATCCTGGAGCCACGGCCGCTCGCCCCGCGGGGCGCTGTCCCCCTTAAACTCTGTGGCGCAGTTTAGATCTGCGGCTCTGCGGGGGGGGGGCGGAGGAGGGCGGCGGAGGGGGCCGGTCATGACGGCCATCCGCAGGAGCAAATGGGGAGCTAGAGCAGGTATTCGGGTAGGCCAATGGAGAACCGGGGGGGCGGGGCCCCAAACTCCGGAACCGCCGCGAGCCGCTGCTTAACTGGTGAGGTGCTGGCGCCGCGGGGCGGGCCCGGCCCGGGCCCTCGGAGCCCGCCTCGTCCCGCGCGGCCTGAACTCCTGGCTCCGGCGGTGGTGGTTAAGAGTGTGTCTGGCCGAACCCGAGCTTTCCCTTAGCTGCTGCACCCGCTCTCTGTTGTCAGGGTTCACTTCCACTATTCGCTTCTTTCAGTTTGGAAGTTGACCTTGGATAGGAATTTGTCAGATAAATAACCGCCGTTGCTCATGAGGCCTTGGTCAGTTAACAGCCAGGACTATCCAAAGCGGCGTCAGGGTGCACTTAGGAGGCAAGAACCGGTACTCAAACCTGCCCAACTAGACTTTTCGGGTTAGACCAATATGCTAGCGGGAAGATCACTCTTCCTGTCCAGTTAAGACTCCATCACCTTCTGTTACGAGAGTGCATAGAGAATACTTTCTTCACTTCTGAAACCAGGCCCTCCAGGATAGTCTGTTTGCAGATCCCCTTCTACTTATTCCTAGCAGGTTAGCTACCCAATATGCCCGGCCCCATACTGGTGTGATGGGCAACATAACATTTCTTTTTTTTCCCCCATTTTCCAGGTCAATATCCAACACAACCAACTTACCCTGTGCAGCCTCCTGGGAATCCTGTGTACCCGCAGACACTGCATCTTCCTCAGGCTCCACCCTATACTGATGCTCCACCTGCCTACTCAGAGGTGCTTCTCCATTTGAGAATATTCTTGGGTCACATTTTCTCTCTTTAGCTAAATCTGACTCTTCACAAACCAGAGTATGTTCATGTTAATAATCTAAAACACTATAGTTTAGCTTCTGTTGGGCGTTGAGAATAATTCTTTAATGTTATTTGGCCCAGGCTGAGATTAAAGTGAGTTTGCATTCCTTGAGCCTAACATTAGCTCAAGGGAGTGATTGATCCAGGAGAATCCTGAATGGCAGTGGAAAGGCAACTTGTATAATTCAGAGTTATGTATCTTGTATGTCTGCACAAGAGTTAGGAATTGACTCATTGAAGAGATCTGAAACAAATGTCATCAAGTAATATTTTGCCTTCTGTTCTGCCTCTTCTAGCTCTATCGTCCGAGCTTTGTGCACCCAGGGGCTGCCACAGTCCCCACCATGTCAGCTGCATTTCCTGGTGCCTCACTGTATCTTCCCATGGCCCAGTCTTTGGCTGTTGGACCTTTAGGTTCCACAATCCCCATGGCTTATTATCCAGTTGGCCCCATATATCCACCTGGTTCAGCAGTGCTGGTGGAAGGAGGGTATGATGCAGGTGCCAGATTTGGAGCTGGGGCTACTGCTGGCAACATTCCTGTGAGTATGGGCTTTTCAGGAAAAATTCTCTCCTTGTTTATTTTAATTTTCTGAAATGATTGCATATTTACCTGCCAACATCCCTGGATAACAGCTAGTATTGGTGTAACCAGTGACAAACAGTAGTTTGTCACCAAGTAGACAAACAGGCAGAAAGTGGTTGAGAAGGCAGAACAAGTCCCCAGTCAACTCCATTGACTGGAGTCTGGGTCAGTTAGATTATTTTGTTTTCCTGTGTTATAAATCTAGCCTGTTGCTTTTATAGTTCACTGTAGTATAGTGAGCTATAATACTTTTATAGTATATAGTATAGTAAGAACTTTTAATATTTTATTTGCTCCATAAGCATTTACTTAATATTTTCTGTCAGCATGGTACTATATTAGGAACCCTGATGATTTTTAAAGGTAGCTTTTATAGAAAGATACTAGAAATTTTAGTTATGTTTCCTGCTTAGTTCCCCTATGCCAGAAATTACAGCCCACATCATCCTTGCTAGGTTCATTTACTCAGTAACCATATGTTGGGGATAAGGTGAGAACAGTCGACATTAGGTAGAACCTTCAGGTTATCCACAATCGGTCATTTGAAAACTATTGTGGGACCCTGTGGTATAGGGCCGTGGAGCTGGCACTTCATCTCTGTTTTTGGAATGGGGTAGGAGTGATTTCCTCTACCCTGGAAATGCCTAAGGGTCTGGACTACTCCTATTCACAAGTAGCCACAGGCTTCACCTTGGAACTAGAACCCTTTGAATGTGGTAGACCTCTTTTCTGGTTATTTTTTGGCTTCACTAAGAATACAGATCTGCTTTAGAACTCAAATTGGTAGCAGAACTAGCTCTCTAAGATGCTTTTGGTTAGCACATTCCCATCTTCCTGATAGGGCCTCTGTTTCACCTGTGTCTGCTTCCCTGTATCAGCTGCCCTATGCCCAATCAATCTTCTCGTTTTCTTTCAGCCTCCACCCCCTGGATGCCCTCCTAATGCTGCTCAGCAGCTCACACTCATGCAGGGAGGAGCCAATGTCCTTGTAACTCAGCGGAAGGGAAACTTCTTCGTGGGTGGCTCAGATGGTGGCTACACCATCTGGTGAAGAACCAAGGCCACCTCTGTGCCGGGAAAGACATCACATACCTTCAGCACTTCTCACAATGTAACTGCTTTAGTCATATTAACCTGAAGTTGCAGTTTAGACACATGTTGTTGGGGTGTCTTTCTGGTGCCCAAATTTTCAGGCACTTTTCAAATTTAATAAGGAACCATGTAATGGTAGCAGTACCTCCCTAAAGCATTTTGAGGTAGGGGAGGTATCCATTCATACAATGAATGTGGGTGAAGTAAGTAGCCCTATGGATCTTCCTTGAATTCCTCTGGAGTAATACTGTACCATCCTGGTCTTCGCTTTTAGTAATAAAACATCAAATTAGGTTTGGAGGAAACTTTGATCTTCCTAAGAATTAAAGTTGCCAAATTATTCTGATTGGTCTTTAATTTCCTTTAAGTCTTTGATTTACATTACTTGTTATAAATGAAACGCATTAGTTGTCTGCCTTTTCCTTTCCATCCTTTGCTCCACATCCTATCCTCAACCCTGGTCTTCCATTCATTCCCTCCAATCTCCACTGAATCAATGGTGCAGGACAGAAAGCCAGTCAGACTAATTTCCTTCTCTCCTTGCACTTCTCCCCACTTGTCATCTTTTAACTAGTCTTTCACAAGGATCCTCTGAAACTCCCTCTGTGTCGCAAGCACAGACCCCATTACTTCTGCTTTTGCACCTCCTCAGGCAAAAGTGGAGGGTACTTTTGGACCCTCCTCATAGGCTGTCTTTTCATACATGAACCAAACCCAAATTTGCTTTGGTGCCAGAAAATCTGAGCTTTGTTTGAACAAAAGATATTCTAAGTAATAGTTTGTTAAAACATGAGGGGCAGGGAGGAAGATACATTTCAAAAGCCTGATAACTTTAGAGCCAAATTAGGGTAGTTTTCAGATAAAAAATCTGTTAACATTTTGTCACAGAGTCTGATACAGCCCCTCATGGCTCCCAGGAATTCCCAAACGGGCTTCCTGGGGTCATATTGAGAATGCCTCACAGGACATGACTTGAGTCAAATGAAATATCATTAGGGTTAAGAGTATTTCAGGGATCCTTAATATTTTGATTTTTGTTTTCTGAAATTGGATTTTATTTTATTTTATCTTATAATTTCAGTTCATCTAAATTTTGTGTTCTGTACATGTGATATTTGACTGTACCATTGACTGTTATGGAAGTTAAGCGTTGTATGTCTCTCTCTACACTGTGGTGCACTTAACTTGTGGATTTTTTATACTAAAAATGTAGAATAAAGACTATTTTGAAGATTTGAATAAAGTGATGAAGTTGCATTACACCTTACTTCAAGGATTCTTTACTCAGCTTGTTAGATTTCCTCTATAGATCTCTTCAGATAGGTGCTACTGTCATTCTGATATTTTTTTTTTAATTAAGAGGCTAAGAATGGGCCATTTTTATGATTTCTTCATTTACTTCCTGAGACCTTTCAGTTTCTTACAAGCCTATTATGCCAGGGAATTTAGAACATAAAGTAAGCGAATGATTCATCCTCCCAAGTTGCCCAAACATTTGAGGAAAATGTATAGTATTGCAGTTTGTGTAAATTCAGAGTGACCCCTCCGTTTCTCCAAAGTTCTGTGTGGAAAAATACTGAAAACCCCTGCAATTTAGGTGGCTCAGATTGATGCCTCAACTCTTGGGTGGATGTGAGCTTGGACAATGGAGGTCAAATCTCAAGGGAGATCTAGCTTACTTCCAAAGTAAACGATATTGGGTTGCTAATGATTTCTATAAATACCTGGCACCTCTTAAACATACCTCATTTTGACACTATGTTAGAACCAAGAAGCTTCTCTGGGCTTGATTTTCAAAGGATGCTGGTGGGAAAAGGTGGCAGGTAAATTTTTCCTTATTTCCTCTGGAACAGGCCTAGCCCTTGCCAGGACAGAGGTGAAACCAAGTCATCTCCCAGGCTATGTTTCTAATGACCCTCCTGTGGGAAAAGATGCTTCCCATGTTCATCTTTGGATCAACCCTGAGATAGTTCTGGAACTTCTGAAACTTCTCCAGGGTTCTTTTTACTTGGGGGAGAACATATGCAAAGGAGTTAAATACACCAAGGAAAATGTCAAAAAGCATTAGCAGGAATAAATCAATGTAATAGTTATTTCTAGAATATAAAAATCTGAATTCTGTATCAATGGAAATGTTTTAATTGTGATAAAAATAGCATGAGTGTAACGTTTTGGGGGACTAGAGAAAGGAAGGGCTAAGATTAAAGGATGTAACACAGTCATCAGGAGGTAATGTCTCCATTGTCTCCCACCCCTCCTGGCCTGGCCTTTTTCTGTGGTATCTAGTCTCTGGGAAGAGCTACAGACACTTCCCACTGGGGCTGTCGCTAGGTGATTTAATAGGAGGCAGGAACAGCCACCAACCCTAACTCTCTCGAAGTGGGAGAAAAGCAATGATGAACAGGCACATACTCAAATGTTGCCTGGTATAGCTCCATCTTGTTCATCAGTCACAAACACCAGCTGCATTACAAAAGCTTGGCTTCAGAGACATCACAAGAAGCTTTCTCTGGGTCCCTGGTATCAGTGACGTTGACATTTGGACCTGACTCCTGGGGAGCTCAGGTTTGCCTGTATCAGTGCTTCTCACTAGTTTCAGATAAAACTTTCACTAATAAATTAAATAGTCAATGTGTTAGCCCTGGAGCTTGTACAAGCTCCTTGGTGTCTGGGAGTCAGATGAAATATTCCTCCTTCTCCCTGCTCTTGGCTGAGTCACTCTCCATCTGGAGGATGGCGCTGGGCTCACCTTCTGCAGGTTCATAGGTGACGTAGCTGCCTTTGTTCTTGTACAGGTAAAAGAAGATCAAGGTCACAACTGAGAGCAGAGTGAGGAAGACCACGGTGATAACAACTTGGAAATGAGAGGGAAAATGAGATGTTTTAGGATTGAGTGTCTCAGTTATTCACAGGTCACCTGCATTAGATTATTACCGTAACCTTCTCATAAGGTTCCTCTCTTCCATCGATAGTTAACTAGTATCTGCATTCCCCGCCCAGGCCAGTTTCCATGGTCCACAAAGGCTTTTGATTTTTGGCAAAACTGAATTCCTTCTCAACTAGTTCCTGATGATCATGACAGAAACAGGAAGGAGGGAAACAGGAAATAGCTTATCCCAACAGGAAGGGTTTTCTAAATCCAGAGCCTCCAGTAGGTGGATTTGTTTCTGATATTGGGCGCTTTCCTGTAAAGGGAAAATCCTCGTTCATCACACTAGGCTCCAGGCTATGTCTGGAGTGACATGTCCCGGAGGGTCTCTGGATTTGGCTCAGAGCCTTTATTACCTGCAATGAGTGCTGTGCTGGCTTCAGCTTCAGGGGACAGGGACACAGTGGGCTGCAGAAACGGGGGGGTGGTCAGCTCTTCTGGAAAATGGAAAAGGAAATGGGGGTGAATTCCTTTGTTCTAAAGCATGTTTGTTCTTCAAATTTCACCACTCCACCTTCCCTATTCAAAAATGTATGCAACTCCTGTAGTAAATCCATATAGGAAAACCTGGCAAGGAAAAGAAAATAAACCACTACCCAAAGACATAAAATTTTTTTTTTTTAAGATTTATTTATTTATACAAGCACTGGGTACAGTCAGAAGCTTGGGAGGGTGAGAGAATTCACCAGCGCCACAGCGGGGAGCAGAACAGGCTGAAGGACTGAAGTACACTGCTGAGGGGAGCAGCGGGCGGCTGGAGAGGTCTGCGCGCCATGTGGGACCCTCTCCAGCAGCCGGGGATCGAACCAGCGCTGCAGAGGCTGCGGGCAGCTTCGCAACCCAGCGCTCATTTTGATGGCTTTCTCTCTGCCTTATAGTGATGAAAAATATGTGTTCTAGATCCTGGATGAGGTTCAAATCTGAACTCTGTTTTACTAGCTGTATTACCCTGGAAAAATCATCTAACCTCTGTGCATTGACTTCCTTATCTGCAAAATGGAGATAATAGTATCTGCCTTATAAGGTGGTTGTGACATGTAGCGCTTCAAGGAAAAGCTATCATTAGGAATTGCATACGTTTCCATAGACAATATCAAATGATGAGTCTGTATGCATCTCTCTCTATATATATGGGGCATGCATTTCTTCAATGCTCTTACAAACTCTTTGTAAGCATTATTTTAAAAGAATACTCTTCCTTTATTAAAGCCTTTTTCTACATATCCAGAGTAGGCCCTGCAATTGGAAAGTTTCTGAAACAAGGAATCTCCTATTCTAAAAGATATCCTCACCACCTCCTGCAATTGGTATGTCTAGTCCTTACAACCTGAAAATCCCACCCTTAAAATCAGGACCCAGGTGGGAACACTACAAAACTGGTGGCTTCCTGTATGTTTAGAATGGAAGTCAGGAAGCCCTTCCATTCTCTCCTAGTTAGCATGTTAGTGTAGGGTGAAGGTTACTATGTATACCCCAGAGGTATTCTGCGGTAAGCAGGCTGGCTGAGCCCAGAGTCATCCACAGGAGGCATCTCAATATTCATCCAATAACCCTTCCATAGCACTCATGAACAACCTATTCTTTGCCAGGTACTGTGCTGGGCACACTGGGGATATGATGGTGAGCAAGATGGACTCAGCCTACCTTCACAGAGCTTCCTACCTCTGCATCACACAGGTCACAGTTCTGAATTGCCAGGAATGTGACAAAGGAAGCATCTGGGCATTGAGAAGGGATGTAGCAGAGGGATGGAATCTAGTCTTCTAGCAGGAACAATTTCCCCAGGAAGTAAGATTTGAGCTGATAGCTGAACAGGGGTAGGAATATACTGGAGTCTGTTTGAGGCAGAGAAGAGGACTCAAAGGTCAGTGTGGCTGGAGACTGGGCACAATCATGATTCCTGTCCACACTTAACACCGTTAGGGCTCAAGCCAAGAGTGAGACGAGTGACAAGTGACAAGTGAGACGAGTCACCAGCAGTGGTCTGCTGAGCCTGGGAGCAGTGCTAAGAGGGGCAATGATGTTAAGGGGTTTCTTCACACGGGCCAAGGGAGAGGTCTGATGAACCATCCTATCCTGGTCCTGTATGGGCTGCCAGAGCGCCCCCTCCCAAGGCAGGGCCAAGTCCTCCACTATTCTCTTTCTTTAGTGATGGTGATGGTCTGCTACTACAACTTGTCTCTTCACTCAGTCTCATCTGTTACCAATGGCGACTTCATTAACTAACTTTGTAGGACCATTGTGAAGATTAAATGAGAGACCATGCAAGCATCATACAATAGTGTCTACTAAAAAGATTACTTAAGGGCCTCCCTGTTGGTACAGGGGTTAAAGACAGTGCTAACAAGCTATCGCCAGCCACTGAGGCCACGAGTTCGATCCTTGGCTGGCCAGGGAGCAACCCACATGGTGCAGCAGACCTCTCCTGTCTCACCCGCTGCTCCCCTTAGTAGTGTGTTTCGGTAGATTAGCTTGTTCTGCTCCCCTCTCTCTCTCTCTGGTGAATCCTCTCACCTCTGGCCTGTACCCCAGTTCTTGTATGCATAAATAAATAAATCGTAAAAAAAAAGATTACTTGGGGCCTCCCTGGTGGCGCAAGGGGTTAAGCACCACACTGTGAAGTAGTCCACGGCCTCTGCAGCACAAGTTTGATCCCCGGCCGGCCAGAGAGAACCCACATGGCAAAGCAGATCTTTCCTGTCTTGCCCGCTGCTCCTCTCAGCAGTATATTTCAGCCCGCTGCTCCTCTCAGCAGTATATTTCAATCAGTCCGGCTGTTCTGTTCCCCACTCTGTCTCTGGTGAATCCTCTCACCCCCTGCATCTCTGGCCAGTATCCCGCTCTTGTATGCATAAATAAATAAATCTTAAAAAAAAAGATTACTTAAGGTGACCTTGTTCATATGCTCAGTGAAGGGAAAGATGCTCTAGGCTTGCACCCTGGCCCTGCACATTACTAATCACCCTGAGGAAGTAACTACATCTCTCCCAGCCTCAGATTCCTGATTTGTACAATGGGGTATGGTAGGCAGCTTCCAAGGAGGCTTCCCCCTGCCTCCTGTTATTTATTTATACCCTGTGTAAGCCTGTCTCCCTGAGTGGCTGGACCCAGTGACTCCCTTATAACCCACAGGCCAGGGCAAAAGTGATGGGATGTCCCTTCTCAGATCATACTGTGACTTCCATCAAAGAACAGCCCCGAAGTTTATCTATCTGACAACTCCATTAGATTGCTGCCCCTCACTAAGTACTCTTTCCTCCCCCAAGCCTTCTAGGCCCCTCCCTTGCACTCCATCTTCCTACAATTGATTCAGAGTTACATATAGTTGCCCTCAGTTTTGCCTTTTTTGAACATTTGAGAACTTTTAATGTACAAAGAACAGAGAAGAATAACATATGTATGGAAGTGTAAAGAGGAATAAGATTCAGTCAATCAAGTGACAACAATTTACTTTGCCCCTGGTATGTGTGCACCAGAGGCACTGTCACAGGTGCTGGAAGGCAGCTGTGCTGAGGTCACCCAGGGATCTGACCACAGCGCTGAATTTAGTGAGGATTCAGATGACAGATACCTTATAAGTCCCTGGAAAGAGAATCTAGAAGGCAGGATGGTTCTTAGTTGGGAAATTCTGCAAATGATCCCAACTATAATAGCTGCCATATACTAAATCCCTGATTTGAACTAGGTGCTACATATACATAATTTAAAAAAATTTTTTGCATAGAAGAACTGGGGTGTAAGTCACAGGTGCGGGGTGGGGGCTGGGGGTTGAGAGGACTCACCAGAGACAGAGTGGGGAGCAGAACAGGCAGATTGACTGAAATACACTGCTGAGGAGAGCAGTGGCAAGCCAGGAGAGGTCTGTTGCACCATGTGGGTCACCTCCCCGGCCGGGGATTGAACTCATGCTGCAGTGGCTACTGATAGCGTCATAGTGCTGAGACTTAACCCCTTGTGCCACCAGGGAGACCCCAAAGACTAGACTTTTGAAACCCTGAGACCACCATGTTGTGAGGAAGCCCAAGCAGCCCACTAGAGGAACACAGGTCACAGGGTGAAAAGCCAAGGCAACCCAGACGCAGCCAGCTGTCAGTAACGATGGCTAGAGATGTGAGGGAGGTCATTTTCGACTTTGTAGCCCAACAGATCTTCTGCAGAACTATAGCTGCATGTGCAAGCACAGGGGAAGCAAGCAGGGCTGTGCCCAGACAGCTCAAAATTCCAAGAAACAATAAATAGCTATTGTTGAAGTCACTCAGCGTTGACATGATTTGTTAGAAGCATTAGGTAACAGAAACAGGAATTTATTTTAAAGGATCCCTGGAATGCAGTATGGACAATGTGCTGTGGGGGGTGGAATCAGGAGTAGAGCAGGCTGTCCCTAGCACAATGGCACCACAGTATCCACCCAGAGGGGAAGCATTTTTCTAGTTTGCATACAAGCATTGACTGGGTCTAGCAGCAGCCCAGGGAGGAAGGGGTGGGACTCTGGATAATTCTGAAGCTAAGATTGACAAGATTAGATGTGGGGTGGAGTCAAGGATGACACCAAAGGTTGGGACCTGAGAACTAGAGGGAGGGAAGGCCTGTTGTCACCAGATGGGGAAGCCTGCAAGAGGCACAGATCGCAAGGGGAAATCCAGAGTTCAATTTTAGACATGGCTGCTTGTAAGACATCCAAGTGAGGATGTCAAGACTGGATTTTTGGAGGAGGCTCGGACTGGAGATGTAGAATGTCAGCACATCTAAGGCCATGAGACAGGGTAAGGTCACCAAGGGCATAAGTACAGGTGAAGAGGACCAGGCACTGAGCCCAGGAAGAAAGAGCAAAGGAGACCGAGGATTAGCAGTGAAACAGATCAAGAGACCCAGTGGATCTCACTGCACAGAGGACATGAATGACCTTGACAAGAGAAACTGGTGAAGTGCCTATATAAACCCCTGGCTTACAGCAGATTTGAGGGGAGAAATTTGAGGAACTGAAGGCAGACATATAAATTCTTCTCAATAAAGGTAGGCAGAGAAATGAGGATGTAGCTGGAAGCAGGAGGAACTTAGGTTTTTGTTTGTTCATTTTTGTGGGATGGGAGAAATGATAGCCTGTTTATGCATGGGTTGGGGTGACTCAGATGACGGGGAAGACAGGTGCGGGAGGGGATGGTTTATGATAAACAGGAAGAACGTCAGAGTAGCCCACGGGCAATGAGGTAGGTAGTAGGGAGATGAAGGGCGTGGAAACATCTGGCAGTTGTCTTCTGAGAACTTTAATTTTCTCAAAAAAACAGAATGCAAGAGCATCAAGAGGAAGGATGGGGAGGGTTTAAAAGAGAGTTGAAAGTGCTGCAGAAGAAGACAGCGTTTCATCACAGGGTGCGCCATAAAACTGTTGGTAACATCCTTGCAGACAGGTGGAGAAATATAGCCTTGTTGTAAGGACTAAGTCGGGTATCACAGGTCCAGGAGGGTGTCATGGCACAATAAGCAGTTCTTCCACTGGGACTGGACCTGAGGTCTTTTTGAATGACGCTGTTATGTCATATCATGCCAGAAGCAAAGGAAGACTTTTCCGTAACTCAGAATAAAAAAATTTTAATCATGAGACAGGTATAAAAAAAAAAGCCCGATAATTATACCCAAGACAAAGACATTGCTATATGTCAATTACATCTCAATTAAAAGATATATGTAGGGCCTCCCCGGTGGCGCAGCGGTTGAGCACTGGGTTGTGAAGCTGCCCGCAGCCTCTGCAGCACTGGTTCGATCCCCAGCTGCTCCCTGGCCACCGGAGGAGGGTCCCACATGGCGCGCAGACCTCTCCTGCCGCCCGCTGCTCCCCTCAGTGGTGTACTTCGGTCCTTCTGCCTGCTCTGCTCCCCGCTCTGGCTCTGGTGAATTCTCTCACCCTCCCGCGCTTCTGACTGTACCCAGTGCTTGCATAAATAAATAAATAAATCTTAAAAAAAAAAAAAAGATATATGTAAAGTTTAAAAAAAAAAAAGTCTTAAAGTCTGATACAGCAGTTCCTCCTTATCCTTGGTTTTGCTGCTGGTGACTTCAGTTACCCACAGTCAGCAGTGGTTAGAAACATTATGCACAATAAGATATTTTGAGACGGGGTCTCCCTGGTGGCTCAAGGGGTTAGGTCTCAGCACTATGAAGCTATCCGCAGCCACTGCAGCATGAGTTTGATCCCCAGCCAGGGAGGAGACCCATATGGCGCATCAACCTCTCCTGTCTTGCCCATTGCTCCCCTCAGCAGTGTATTTCAGTGGATCTGCCTGTTCTGCTCCCCACTGTCTCTGGTGAATCCTCTCACCCCTCACACCTGTGACCTGTACCCCAGTTCTTGTATGCACACATAAATAAATCTTAAAAAAAAAATCAAAGATGTGAACTTCATTCTCCATGAAAGAGCTTCTCTCAGGCTAGAGGTGAGAGTAGCCTGGGAGCTAATGAGAAAGGACTTCAGGTATCGGCACGGCAATCTATTTTTGTGATTTACATTTTACAAAACATACATTATTTTTATCTCCCTCCCACGAATGTGATGTAAACAGGGTTGGATTGTTATCATGTATAAGCCAGAAAGGGGAGGCAACTTGCAAATGGCATTGACCAGCTCAGGGTCACTCAGCCACTGCCTGAGCTGGGTCTCAGGTCTGTCACCTCGTTCTGAGCTTCTTACCACCCACACTACCACATCTCCAAACCCTAGAAGTAGTTAAACATTTTGTTTATGCATCCACTGGGTTTGCTTCTCCAGTTTTATTGCAGATGGAGAGGGTGTTCGCTGTAGCACTGCTTGCAAGAGCAATACATATCTGAATGTTCATGGGCAGGGGAATGATTAAACAAATTACAGGCCATTTATTTTAGAAACATTATATAGTTGTTAAGAAGAATGTGGTAGATCTGCAATTCCTGAGACAGGATATGTGGTTAGATAAAAAAAGCAAATTGCTAGGGTGGGATGTATAATATGATTACATGTTTGTAAAAATAAAGTGAATTAAAATAAAACTATAAACATATATATATTCATATATGTGTATGAAAGGGTCTGGAAAGCTATTCTCTGAGGGGCATATAATACCTTTTTAATAAAAAACCCCACCACAACAAAGCAAACCAAGGTCAGGAAGCCTGGCATAAAAAGGCGGTGATATAAAGCTCTCCCCCCACTATCTCTTGTTCCTACCTTATTTCTCTTTGTCTCAAGGAGGATAATGCAGCTCTCTTCCTGCTCAGGCTTGGAAAGATTGTAGTACCAGAGGAGCACAAAAAAAAGGTTTTGGCTCCCTCCCAATCCCAACTAACAGCAAATGAACTTCAGATCTATTTTGTTCATTCACCCCACCCCTCCCTTTTTTTTTCTTTTTTTTGTTAACCCAGATACACATAGGTTTCTTTGTAGCCCTTGTTCTCAAACTAAAATCTCTTATCACAGAGATATCAGGTCCTTTGCCACCTGAGTCTGCCAACCTACTTATTTGCTTTAGAGCTGCCCAACACAGGGCGGCTCCCCCAATTCTCCTTTCCATGGGAACACGTCCTGGAATTCTGCTCCCTTTCTCCCGCCTTCTCTTTCATGTGCCCCAGCTAGGGAGGTGGGGGGACACCTTGAGAGCAGCATTCCATGAGAAAGAAAGAATACAGGCTTTGGAGAAAACCAAATTTTAGCACAAAATCCTACCTCTACCATTATTAGCCACATGACCTTGGGAGAATTTCTTAACCTCTGAAAGTTTCTTAACTTCTCTGAGCTTCACTGTTTGCTTCTGTAAAACTAGAATAAAACCTGCTCACAGGGTTAGGAGGAATAAGCAAGATGAAAAATGCTGAGCATCTAGATCCAGAGTGAGGACAGACTAGGAGGTAGCTAGTGTGATTAGGTGGCTGGGGTGATGGGCTTTATCTGGTAGGGTGGGCAGAGTGCACAATGCAGGTTCCACCCCATCCTACTCATGCACGTACCCAACAGGACATGTACCAGCCTCAGCAGGTACCATGCCTAGGGTCCAGAATACTTCTAGGGACCCATGGAAATGTTTTTAATGATTTAAAATGTAGGCCTCCCTGGTGGTGCAAGGGGTTATGCACAGTACTATGAAGCTATCCACAGCCTCTGCAGCACGAGTTCCATCCCCGGCCAGCCAGGGAGCTACCCACATGGCACAGCAGACCTCTCCTGTCTTGCCTACTGCTCCCCTTAGCAGTATTTCATTCAGTAGATCCACCTGTTCTGCTCCCTACTCTGTCTCTGGTGAATCCTCTCACCCCCTGCACCTCTGGCCTATACCCCAGTTCTTGTATGCATAGATAAATCTTTAAAAGAAAGATCATTAATCATTAGGGAAGTGCAAATGAAAGGTACAATGAGATACCAGTCCAATCCACATCCAACAAGTTAGGTATTATCCCCCCCCCAAAAAAAAAAAAAAAAAAAAAAAAAAAGGAAGAAACACCCAGAAAGTAACCGGCGTTGGCGAGGATGTGGAGGTTGTGCATTGTTGATGGGAACGTAAAATAGTATAGTGGTTGTGGAAAACAGTTCAGCAGTTATAGAATTACCAGATGATTGAGCAATTCCATTTCTGAGTATATATCCAAAAGGATTAGAAGCAGAAACTCAGAGAAATATCTGTACATCCATGATCACAGCCACATTACTCACAACAGCCAAAATGTGAAAACTTGTGTCGAATAAGCTAATATTGTTCATCTATCTATCTTAAAAGGGAAGCAAATTCTCACACATGGATGAGCCTCACAGATGTTACTCTAAGTGAAATAAGCACAATATTGTATAATTCCACTTATGAGGTACCTAGTAAAATTTATACAGATAAAAAATACAATGGTGGGGCCTCCCCTGGTGGTGGAGCGGTTGAATGCTGGGCTGCGAAGCTGCCCGCAGCCTCTGCAGCACCAATTCGATCCCCGGCCCCCATCGAGGGTCCCACATGGCGTGACAGACCTCTCCTGCCGCGTCCGCTGCTCCCCTCAGCAGTGTATTTCGTCAGTCTGCCTTTTCTGTTCCCTGCTCTGGCTCTGGTGAATTCTCTCACCCTCCCGCGCTTCTGACTGTACCCAGTGCTTGAATAAATAAATAAATCTTTTTTAAAAAAACCTTAAAAAAAAATACAATGGTGGTGGGGCCTCCCTGGTGGCGCAAGGGGTTAAGTTTCAGAACTATGAAGCTATCCGCAGCCCTGGCCAGGGAGCTGACCCACATGGCACAGCAGACCTCTCCTGCTCAGCAGTGTATTTCAATCAATAAACCTGTTCTGTTCTCCCCACTCTGTCTCTGGTGTATCCTTTCACCCCCTGCACCTCTGGCCTATACCCCAGCTCTTGTATGCATAAATAAATAAATAAATAAATATTTAAAAAAGTACAATGGTGGCTGCCAGGGGCCCGGGAGAAGGGACTGAAGTTATTGTTTAATGGACATTTTTCAGTTTGGGAAGGTGAGCATACCTTCAGGAACATGGGTTTTTGATACTGGAGTGCATTATCAGAGGCGTGGAATTTAAAAATCGGGCAGAATTCCTGTTCAGAAAAAGGTGGCTTCTAGCTGGCACATCATCCTCACAAATACATGTGATATGCATGTAGCCAATACTGCTGAGTGCCCGACAGACGCCAGACATTATGATGGGTGTTGCTTTACATGGGTTATCTCATTTGATCCTCACCAATAAGCTCATAAGGTATCAACTATAGGAAACTGTAGTTTAGCGGTTAGATAGCTCAGCCAAGCTCACAAATTTTAAGTGGTAGCGCCACAGACCGACTGTCCCAGGTTCATGGCACTTGAGGTTCAAACGGCCCTAGTGCACACCCTAGCAGCCTCCGCTTGCTCCCAGGACTCCGGGGGTGAGGCAGGCGGAGAGGTAGGAGGATCATCCCATCTGGGAATCAGGGAATTGCAACACTCGGCTGCTGCGGGTGGGAGGATGTGGAACAAGTCTCTACCATTCAGATTAGGAAAAGCCTTCACCTACCTCCTGGCGCAGGTGTGGTCAGAGCTGGTGAGACAGTCATTGCCGCAGATGGATGGAGGCAGAAGCAGATCTGTAGGAAAAGGAACAAAGATAGGAATGGGTGGGTGTGCCCCCTCCTGCCCTGTCCATCCCCCTGCACTGGGGCCGGAGGTGACTGGAAATCTCAGGAAAGCCTTTGGTGCCAGGTTTTCCTGAGTCCCGTCCCCATTCCCACCCCTCGCAATGGGGTAGTCCTAACCCTTTCAAAACTCCCCCGGGTTCCCTGAGGAACTGCAGGTACCAAGAGCTGCAGGTGCCAAGAGCAGATCTGAGACTGCGGGTGTTGGGGTGCGTTATCTCTGAACATTCTACCCCGAGATCCTCTCACTGGGGCACTGTGTTTACCTAAGAGGTTTCTCAAGGCCCGAGAAAATGAGGCCAAGGTATGCAAAGCAGCCGCGCTCGCAGTTTCACCAACCGTGCGCACAGGTGCGCGGTCGGCTCGGAGCCGGGGCCTCGCCGCGCCGGCCACTAGGTGGCGCGCGAGCCGGCCGGGCCGGGCCGGGGGCGGCGCGGGGCGGGGTCGCTCTCGGGGTGCCGGGGTGGCCGGGCCGAGGCCGCGGGGTGACGGCCGCACCGCCTTCTGCCGCGTCCAGCCCTGTTCCGCGGCGAGGCCCACTCCCCTCAGCCCGCCCGTCACTGCCCACTGCGCCCCCTCAGCCCTCCCGTCACTGCCCGCCGCGCCCCCTCAGCCCTCCCGTCACTGCCCACTGCGCCCCCTCAGCCCGCCCGTCACCGCCCACTGCGCCCCCTCAGCCCGCCCGTCACCGCCCACTGCGCCCCCTCAGCCCGCCCGTCACCGCCCACTGCGCCCCCTCAGCCCGCCCGTCACCGCCCACTGCGCCCCCTCAGCCCGCCCGTCACCGCCCACTGCGCCCCCTCAGCCCTCCCGTCACCGCCCACTGCGCCCCCTCAGGCCTCCCGTCACCGCCCACTGCGCCCCCTCAGCCCTCCCGTCACCGCCCACTGCGCCCCCTCAGGCCTCCCGTCACTGCCCACTGCGCCCCCTCAGCCGGCCCGTCACTGCCCGCCGCGCGCCCCTCAGCCCGACCCCCCACGCCGGCCTCCCCGCTCGGACCCCGCCCGGCCCAGCCCCCGCCCGGGCGCCCGGGGTCCCCGACGCGGACTGGGGGCCGCGCCCCGAGGACGGGCGGCCGGGTCGGGGCCCCGCGGCCGCGCCCCCCAACCCGGGCCCGCGCGCCCGCCTTACCCGCGCCCGAGGGCTCCGCGCGGCCGCGACGGCAGGTCCGGGCTCGGCTCCGCGCGGCGGCGGCGGCGGGAGCGCGGCCCGGGCTCGCTGCCCCTCCCGCCGGCCGGCCCCGGACTCGCTTCTCCAGTCGGACGGGCCGCGGGAGGCGGCGCCGTTCGGCGCGGCCTTTTGAACCGGCGGGGGCGGGGGCCGCGTGGATTCGCCCGACCCGCCCGGCCGCCGCGTCGGAGGCAGCCGCGGGGCGACGCCGGGAGTCGGCGGCGGAGGCCCGCGCGGGGGCGGGGGCGGGGGCGGGGGCCGGCCGGCTGGGTGGGACAGGAAAGGAGGCGAGAAGCCGCCCTCTGCAGGTTCCCGCCGCCCGCCGCCTCTGCTCCCCCGGGAGGAAAGGCCGCCTTCCCTGCGCCGACGGCCGCTGCTCTCTCCTTCCGGAGCCGCTTCCTCCCGCGCCCCGAGGCTGCAGAGGGCGCGGGCTGCGAACTTGCGGCCGGCTGGGGTCCAGGATGTGAGATGTTCAGCTGTGGAGAGTTACATTTTCCTGCGTTTGCATGGCATGTGCATGGACAGGTCCCGAACACGCTTGGAACAGAAACTAACTCCCCGGGGGGCCCGGGAGCTGGGGGGGTGGGGTGGGAGCCGAAGGTGGGTCCTGTCGGACCTTCCTTGTCCCACACACAACTGAGGCGCTGCAGGTGGAGGGGGAGCGCCTCGTGGACTTTGGACACAAGCAGTCTCAGCCGTGCTGCTTGTCAGCTGTGACTTGGGGCAAGTTACTTGTCTGAAATCTTTCCCCTCATGGTTAAGATGCAAGCTATGAAGCTGTCCCCAGCCAATGCAGCAGGAGTTCGATCCCCGGCCAGGGAGCTACCCACATGGCGCAGCAGACCTCTCCTGTCTCTCCCGCTGCTCCCCCAGCTGTGTACTTGGGTCCATCTGCCTGTTCTGCTCCCCACTGTGTCTCTGGTGAATCCTCTCACCCCCTACACCTCTGGCCTGTACCTCAGCTCTTGTATGCATAAATACATAAATCTTTAAAAAAAATAAAATCTTTCTCCTCATTCTGAAATGGGGGGCAGAAAGTGGTAATACTTGTGAAGTCATTTCATAGCCAACACTGTAGCACGTGGTAACTGTTAATCAATGCCATGCTTGACCTCTAGACTCACATATTTGTGGCAGGAAATGTTCCCCAAAATGAACTCAATGACGGAGTTCTTGTGACAGGTTCTGAAATACACTAGCCCAGTCATCTTGGGACAAGTTACTTCTGTTTCATTGCTCTTATCTAGGGCAGTACCTATCTCAGAGTTACTGTGGGGGCGGGATGAGTTAATACATCTCAAACCTTGCCACCTCACCTGGCGTGCAGTGCATGCTCAGTAAACGCTGGCTGCTGTTATCCTGACTTTCCACTTAGGGTGAGAACCCTTGTGGTTATTCTGCCATCCTAGTGAGTTCTGTGTTCCTTCTTCCTGTGAGGAATTTTCTCAGTTTGGAAATCAATGTTCCTATAGCTTGAGAGCGAGACAGGCATTGTGCATGTTCATGTGGATTCAGAGAACAGAGACATGGAGTGAGAGAAAAGCAAAGACATAAAATAAGCAAGGGTAGTCATTTTCATTCCCAAAGATGCGCTTTGGTTGGTTAAAAACAAACAGAAAAGGGGGGGAGGGGAGAGGAGAAAACAGAGTTGATGAAATTCATTTTATTTATTTATTTATTTATTTATTTAATTTTTTTTTATTTATAGAGGCATGTTTTTTTTTTTTTATTTATTTATTTGTTTGTTTGTTTGTTTTGTTTTATACATGCACTGGGTACAGTCAGAAGCGCGGGAGGGTGAGAGAATTCACCAGAGCCAGAGCGGGGAGCAGAGCAGGCAGAAGGTCCGAAATAAACCGCTGAGGGGAGCAGCAGGCGGCAGGAGAGGTCTGCACGCCATGTGGGACCCTCCTCCGGTGGCCGGGGAGCAGCCAGGGATCGAACCGGCGCCGCAGAGGTCGCCGGCAGCTTCGCAACCCAGCGCTCAACCGCTGCGCCACCGGGGAGGCCCGAAATTCATTTTATTTAAATAGATTTTTTTTAAAGATTTATTTATTTGTTTGTAAAATTTATTTATTTATTTATACAAGCACTAGGTACAGTCAACAGCGTGGGAAGGTGAGAGAATTCACCAGAGCCAGAGCGGAGAGCAGAGCAGGCAGGCTGACTAAGTACACTGCTGAGGGGAGCAGCGGGCGGCAGGAGAGGTCTGCGTGCCTTAAATAGATTTTTGAAGGCCTAGCAGTTATCAATGAGGACGAAGAAAAACCATGTGTGAGAAACTCATTCCAACCAGGAAACACAAAGATAGTGGCATGTAGGCAAGATGTATAAAAGTTAACAGAAAGATTCGCTGGCTGGTCCTCAGAGAGACAACTATCCAAAAGAAAAGGAAATTTAAATCCTGAGGGTTGATTCAAGTTCCAAAGGTGGATAGTTGCTGGGATTTGCTAAACAAGATGACCATGAATTCCAGGAAAGGTTAAGATTTTCCTTGTTTCTGGCTTTGTTCCACCCATAGCACATTCCAGTATGTACTAAAGATTGTTAGAACCACAAACTCTCAAGGGCATCCAGCCCAATGGACTCTACTGATGTGCTGTTACGCTCACACAGTCTAATTTGATAATTGTGAATAGTCTCTCACAAGCACCTTTTTTTCTCTTTAAAATGTAACCTTAAAAGGTTTGCCGAGGATACGGGATTTTTCTCCCTGTAGACTTGTACCACTCTTTTAAAAAGTGTAAATATGCAGAAAAATAGGATCCAATATGCACAAGTTTGACATCCAATTTAGCATAAAGGAAGGAATACTCTAAGAAGTGTGTGCACTCTGCTCTTTGGAGCATCCTACCAAATTATTGGTGAGAGGGCACCTAAGGGGGGCAATTGCTATACAAAGGGAGTGTCGCTTTTCTAGAGTTCTCTGGATGTCTTACCTAGTCTGTCAACATAAACCTTGAAATTGCTGGAGGGCAGGGGCTGGATGCAGTTCTTGCAATTAACTCTACAAATAGAGATAGATGATAAGTGAAGCCTCTTGTGGGGGTGAGTTACCAGTGTTCTCCAAGGATTACTTAAATCCCAGAAAAGCAGGCAGCCATCCTTTTGTCAACAGACCTCAGGGGGCCACAGAGCAGGAGATGAAATAGTTAGCACTGCCTTATTTTAGTGACTTTCAGGGCCCTATACTGAAAGTCTTCCAAGTTTAACCTTTTCCCTGGACAATTTGACCACTTTGTAAATCAGGGTAAACAACCTGGTTCCTAGCTGGGACTATCTACCCTAGATAAGCGCAATTATTAAACATGCCCAGCACACTATCCCTTTCTCCTGCCTCTGCGATCCTCTAGTAGGGGTACATGCAAGTGAAATGTCAATGTGGTAACTTAGTAAATTTTTCCACTTCAGTTGTGCCTCTGTCATAGCTGTTACGTTAGGTATTTGTCCTCCCACCAGACAGTAAGTCCCTAGAAGTCCTCTGGCTTCCCAAAAAAAATCACTTTCCTGGGAGATGAGGGTCAGGGTAAGGGCTACAGAGAAAGACTGGAACTGGGTTGTGCCAGGAGAAGGCGGGAGGAGCATTCCAAGCACATCTCGGAGGACCTACTGACCTTCGACAGCCAGGATCCTGAATTCCCAGCATTTCCCGCACTCTTCCAATACCCCTGGAGAATCTCTCCCAGCAGCGATTCTGGACGCCAAGGGCGTGGAATGCCTTCTAGAGACGAATTAAAGTACAGGCAGTAGGGCTTTTATACGTAGAAAAACAACCCTCTTCTCTAAGGGGGCATGCGACCTCCTCTCTATTATGGCAGTAGAGATCCTTTGAAAATTTTTAAATAAAAAAGTAATGGGATTACAGAGCCCACACTGATCTGGAGAAAACGGGATAGTCTCCTATTCCATAGGCAGTTCCAAAATCAAGGAGTCCGGAGAACCACTCCACATACCTGCCCTTCAGGAGGTTTCTTAATGGCTCTGCCTTGTTACCTGCCTCTCAGGTGCACATGGGGATCTGAGCAGCCTGGTCTGCTGCTGTCCTGTGCAGGCCCTCATCCAGAAAAAGGACAAGGCTCGTGAGCTGACCACAGATACGGGTGTGCAGCGAGGGAAAAGGCAGTGACTGGGGGTGGTAGTTGGTGAGTGAAGTATTGGTGGGAGGGTCACACCTAAGGAGAATAATTATGCTATAAAGAAAATCTGTTGGGCCTCCCCGGTGGTGCAGCGGTTGAGCGCTGGGTTGCGAAGCTGCCCGCAGCCTCTGCAGCGCCGGTTCAATCCCCGGCTGCTCCCCGGCCACCGGAGGAGGGTCCCACATGGCGCGCAGACCTCTCCTGCCGCCCGCTGCTCCCCTCAGCAGTGTCCTTCGGTCCTTCTGCCTGCTCTGCTCCCTGCTCTGGCTCTGGTGAATTCTCTCACTCTCCCGTGCTTCTGACTGTACCCAGTGCTTGTATAAATAAATAAAAATAAATCTTTAAAAAAAAAAAAAAAAAAAAAATCTGTTATGTAAGAAAAAAAAAAAAAGCAATGGGGTTAGATTTTAGAAAAGTAACTCCTAAATAGAACCATCTATTTCCAACTTCCTAACAGGCACATCTACAGGAAGTGCTGTAAGTTCTCAAACCCCTTGTGCCCAGTCATTGCGCTTCTAGGCAAGTGCTCATGAAGTGTATGACTTAGTTGTAAGGTTTGATACATGCATACACCATTAAACGATCCCATAATCAAAATTATGAACATTTCTATCATCACAAAAGTTTCCTTGTGCTTGTGTTTTCTTTCCTCTTTGTGCTTCTTTGCAACCCATCCTCCTCAGCTCCACCACTACCACAACTGTCAGTGCAGACACTGACACGCTTCCTCCAAAGTGGCCGGGATTCTTTCTCCAGGGAACCTGGATCTGGAATGGACACGGTGGCAGCAGGCACTGAAGCCCAGTGTTCCAGTGACAGCTGCCTGGAGGGGCAATTCACACACTCCTGCTGCAGGCACCCCTGGACTGGTTCTCCCCCTTTCTGCAGCCTGGTTATTTTCAGTTCTATGAGCTACCTAAAATTTTGCCAACATAGCCTTTATTGCTTAATGATGTCAGTTTGTTGCTTGCAACCTGAGAACCCACATACAGTGCACTTCCTCTCACTGTCACCATTTCAGGTCTCTCGAGCCTAACCTAGAATGAGTCCTTAAAACTTCAGTTTTCATCAGGTGTCCTTTTCTAACCCATCACCCAATCTTGCTCATTATTTTTGTTGTCTCTATAAAAATCTTACTTTTCCCCCCTCATCATTTCTCTAGTACTTAGCACAGTACTTGGCACAGAGCACGCAATAAATGCTTGTTGAATGTCTGAACAGACTGACACCCTCCATCACTCCTCGAACATGAGCAAAGATGGATAAGCATTTGCTTGTGTGTGTCTGTTTATCAGGGTGGCAGGACTCCACAGCTAGTTTTTAATGTTTTCATAGAAGCAAACGATGAAACTGAATCTGGAAATTCTGACTTCAAATTCCATGCCATTTCCATTATATTATTACATTTTGTATCCTTCCACTTTACTTGGAATTACATTTCTTCGTCCATCCTGTTCAGACCTTTATTTATACTAAGTACCAGTCTGTAAACACGAATGCAACTCTAAATGTAACTCCTTTCCAAGGGTAATTGCTTATTAACCAAGGCAAGGAGCAAGCAGTTTAGCATCTGGATTGAGAAGAGGTGCCGGTAGCCCCTGGCATCACCAAACAGTTACAGCCAGGATGTGGGGCGAGCTGGGTGTCAGGCATGTGACCGAAGCTTTCTGAACCTGGGGTTAGCTCAATAACCTTGAGAAGCTGGAACAGCTCCATGTGTCAAATGAAGAATCCATATGTATTCAGAACAGTACTTTATTCAACAACGTGAAAACCTGTTCTTTGGCATTAAGTCTTATAAGTCAGGATTTGCTCATTCACCGTGTGCAGTTACATATCTCTGTTGGATAAGCGGACAACTCCTTTGCTTTTTATAGTAATTTTAACTCTACTTTAATTATTATATATAAAATCATATTATTCTAACAGTGCCGAAGACCTGAATTAAATATTTCATGAGTCTAATAGTCTTTCCCCTCAAACCTGCCTCCCTCTCTCCCTCCCCTGAATCTGCTCCTCAGCCTCCATTAATGCTAGGTCTTCAGAGAACTCCAGCATTCACCCTGTTTGAGAACCTAGAAAAAAGAATGCTGGATTTCACATCCTTTGACCTATAAACACCCTCCAGCTGAGGAACTTTTCTGGGGAGATGTGTGTACGGGGAGGTTGTAGCTGTTCCTCTTCAGAGTTCTGTATTTAAAATTGTGGGTACCTGTAAAATAAACATCACAGCATTAGATGCTAAACTGCCCTCCCAATAGCCCCTGTGGGGTGCGGATGGGGGAAAAAGAGTCAATTAGCTTTGTGAGTAACATGAAAGTGATTGCTGGGATCCTTGTAAAGACCTGAAGATGGGCCTCCCCGGTGGTGCAAGGGGTTAAGACGCAACCTATGAAGCACAACCTATGAAGCTGTCCACAGCCACTGCAGCTCCAGTTCCATCCCCAGGGAGCAACCCACAAGATGCAGCAGACCTCTCCTGATGCGCCCACTGCTCCCCTCAGCAGTGTATTTAGTCAGTCTGCCTGTTCTGTTCCCCACTCCGTCTTTGGTGAATCCTCTCACCCCCCACACCTCTGGCCTGTACCCCAGCTCTTATATGCATAAATAAATAAATCTTTTTTAAAAAAAGACTTGAAGACAGTGTTCATTACATCATTTGTCATCTCGCCTTTACAGGAGAAACTTCCCATCTTGGGAGCAAGAGCAGTTGCTTTCTTAAGGAATAGGCATCATGAGTTGGGTAACTGATCAGATTTTCTTCTTTTTGGATGTTAGAAAGTTTGGAACCACTTTTGTGGTCTATAGTTAGTAAGCTTGTTTTATAGACACATTTGTACTCGTCTAATTCCTGGCTCTGTTTTATGTTAGCATATACTTTTGAGTTATTTTGTTCTATTGTGTATGTGTATATATTTATGTCTTTTGTATATCTTAGCTTTTGACGTTAAGTGTAGCTATAACTAAACAAATACTTAGGAGATAGGGTTATAATTAGAGGCAAGAGTTCATGGCCAAGTGTTGAAAAATAGACACAGAGAAACTGCAAAGTCGTGGTTTACTCTTGGTTTTTCTGGCTATCACCCGCTTGACTCTGCTCTAAGTATACTGTTCACTGCTAAGTTCTCGCAGCCCAGCCTGCAACTAAATCTCTGTCCACTTAATGCCCCATCTTACTGCCTGATCCTGTTCTATGTGTATCTGGCCTCCTTACCTCTTCTTGAGGCCCCGGTGCTATGTCGCTGTTCTCTTCTGGATCTGCAGAGACATGAGGTTGAAGACCCTGGTTCTACAAAAAGAAGAGTTTTGCCAGTAAGAAGTGGCTCAACCTCCCCAGCTTCTCAGCTTCTAAGAAGGGTCTTCTGTGTCATATGTAACACAAAGGACGATCATACAAAGCTGTTTCCCTCTAGCTGGTGCCCTATAGGCACCAGGGAAGGCTTTATTGTTATCCTCTGCCATAACTCAAGAAACCAAGATTCAAAGGGTGAAATGACTTGCTGGGACAGGAAACCAGGTGTTTCAGACTCTGCTTCCATGATCAGACACCATGTGATTTATGTGACATGTGTCTAACGTACACCTCTGTGAGAGCCTGAGGATATAAATAGAGGTCTTAAAACCACCGCCTACTGCTTTTAGACTAACGGTCCTTAAGAATACACTGCAGCTCTCTCACTTAGAGGAGCCTCACCCATGGAAAGCAGTTAAGAAGGGCCAGTGGCACAAAGGTTTTATTGGGAAATAGTCTAGGTTCTGAGATGAGAACTGTTCAGGAACTGCTAAGCCTGGGGGAGACCTCGGCACTCTAAGGGTTAGAATTTTTTTTAATTAAAATTTAGTTCACACACTATAAAATTCACTCCTGTAAAGTGGAGGAGCTGACCCACATGGAGCAGCAGACCTCTTCTGTCTCCCTGCTGCTCCCCACAGCAGTGTATTTCAGTAGATCTGCCTGTTCTGCTCCCCACTCTGTCTCTGGTGAATCCTCTTACCCCCTGCACCTCTGGCCTGTATCCTAGTTCTTGTATGCATAAATAAATAAATCTTTAAAAAAAAGAAACTCTGTGATTTCTCCTTTAAGGACATTTTCCTTCTTACTTCCCCTGTCTCTCCAGGCCACAACTTACCCCAGAGGTAATAGCGCAGCCCAGATAGTTATCGAAAACTTCACTCTCTCAGGTGATTCAAATGATGAGCAAGAGCGGATTTTCTCCCAGTTATAATTTTATTTACCTGTTTTTATATGTGATATGACTACAATTCTGCTCGTGAGACAACATGACTAACGATGCCTCCACAAGGGAAAGGGCCTGTCCTGCAGGACATGGGCTCTCGTGGATTGATGACTTGAGTGGGTTAGTGTCTAAGATGCTCTAGTAGCTTAATTCCATAGGGAAGATATGTCTCCTTAGTTGATGACCAAAGCAATCTCCCAGGGGAGGCTAGGAGCGAGTAAACATTATAAATCTCAAACTATATAAGGAGGTAGCCTCAGGGGAGAGGACATGGTGTCTTGAACCTCTTCTCCAGTAGGAGAGTTACTGGCCTGGTCCAGACAGCACCTGGACCCCCATAACTTCCCCAATAGTAAGATTAATCTGAGAATCCAACCTTGTTATATTAATCACCAAAGCCAAGCAGGTGGTCTATTGCTATCTGCTTACTAAAATCATGTAAAACAAAGTCAAATTCAAATTAACTTAGGATGGCCATACTGTTGAGTTGCTCTTTTTACTTTTTTTAAAGGATTTATTTTTTAAATTTTTTATGCATACCAGAACTGGGGTATAGGCCAGAGGTGTGGAGGATCAGCAGAGACAGAGTCGGGAGCAGAGCAGCTAGATCTACTAAAATACACTGAGGGGAGCAGCAGGTGAGACAGGAGAGGTCTGCTGGGCCATGTGGGTCGGCTTCCTGGCCGGGGATCGAACTCATGTTGCAGTGGCTGGCGATAGCTTGATAGCACTGAGACTTGAACCCCTGAGCCACCAGGGAGGCCCAAGTTGCTCTTTTCAGTACAGAACAGTGAGATGTGGTGACGCTTTCCCTACGTAAACTCCAGTGTATCCTGTGCTTATTCACTATCAAAAAGCACAGCTACCTCTGGCAGAAACCAGCCAAGGGGGAGTTTTATATATTGCAGTGTTAGGACCTTCAGTGCTTCAAGAGACTCAAGACTGAGGGCAAAATAACATCGATGATTTAGATTTTAGTACCTCAGGGGAGTCAGCTGAGAAAACTTCATTGTCCTCTTCCTTGTCTTCCATCTTTTTTGTCTTGTCAGATTCCGAACCAACCTGTGGATCAAGGCAGACAATGTAGGAGAAAATCGCACACTTTCACACCCTGGATGCTGCCCTCACTCCCTTTCTGTCAGGTCCTCTCAGACAGCAGGAGACGCCTCAGGAAGTCTGGACAACCTTCCATTGGGCACATGCAGTAGCAGGGGTCTGATTTGAGTGGGTTCCAGAAATCTCATGCTCCCTTACCCATAAGGGTTATGTCCTGGCCTCTGTCACTGCCCATATGTTACCTTCTGACCATTTCGTTTAAAACTGCAACCCTGACTCCCTCCCCTATGCCTTCCCCTACTTAATTTTTCTCCATATTTCTTATCATCACTAAATTGTAATTTTACTTATTTATTCTGTTTCTTATCTATATCTCCACCCCCTCCCTTCCCACCCCACTAGACTGTAAGATGCAGAAAAGTGGGACTTTTGCATTTTGATCACTGTAATTACCCCATCTCTTAGAAAAGTACCTGAATCATTAGTAATTGTGTAATGAATGGATGCATCTTGATGCCATTTAGTCACATGTCTCACCATAATACTCTTTATGATGTCCCTGATAGGTGACCATGTATCCTTAGTTATTAACATCAAGGAAGAAGAATTATTTCTCAAGGTGACCCATCCCATATTGGTTTTTGGAAGCCCCTTGTGCCCTTTCTCCTATATTAAAAGATTTTTTTTCTATACCTTTTTTTAAACAGAGCTAAATAACAAAAGTTCTTTTTGTATTAATCTAAAATATACATAAAGAATTTTTACATATAGGGCCTAGTTCTGCCCTTGAAGAGCCTCATAAAACAGGTTGAGTTTCTTTAGATGACACAGACTTTCCTTATAATTTGAATAGAATATGACTTGATTTCTAGGTCACTCCAGGAACTGGCTGCTCTCCAGAAGTTCTTTTCTGTATTTTTTAACAAAATTCTTTTCTTACCCACATTCTCCCTTTCGGAAAGCCATTCCTTTTGCTTTACCTTCCTCTGTGAGTTCTTTCTTCAAGGTCTCTTGCAACAAATCTCAAATTTCCAAGAAGCTATGTCTTAGAAATTTTCTGATGACATGTTTTTGGGGGTCTCTATACTGTAGTCACAAGTATGACACACTGAAGTGAAACCCTCCTTCCTGATCCCCATTAAAAAAAGGTAAACTGGGCCTCCCCTGGTGGTGCAGTGGTTGAGTGCTGGGCTGCGAGGCTGCCTGCAACCTCTGCAGCACCGGTTCATTCCCCGGGCGCTGGCGAGGGTCCCACAAAAAATAAATAAATAAATAAAAAAAGGTAAACTTGGAGTATACAGAAGAAATTAGGAAGAATCTGTTCATGGTAGTATTAGAGACAGTCTTTTGTAGAAGTCAACTACCCTAAGAGTAGATCACTAAATGAATTGCTATGGAGATGTGAGATAATCCCTGGAACCAAAAAAAAAAAAAAAAAAGTGCCCTTAAATATCCTTAAGACTGTGATATAATGACAGAAAATCTGACCAACTATGGGGTGACCTGACTACAGTCAAGGAGATTCACATGAAAGTTACCAAAGACTTAACCAGATCCCTTCTCACCTGCGAGGTCAGGGGAGGGGAGGTACAAAGTTCTTCTGGGCTCACACTGTTGGCGTTCTCCTTTTCTTTGCTCTCAGAAACTCTTGCTGGCTTCTCTGGTGGCTGTGGATCAGGTGAGGCTTCTAAGGAGGCCCTGGGGCTTGGAGTTCCAGTCCCCAGGAAGACAGCGGAGCTGCTGGGTGAACCCTGCTCGGAGGCCTCAGGGCTGGAGGTGATGTTGCCTGAGGAGGGCCTGGGGCTGGGCGTGCCTCTGGGTGGAGGAGGCCTGGTAGGGGGTGCTGAGGTCCTCTGGATAGAGGGTTTCTTCTTTAGTTGTTCAGATCCTTCACTTGCGGTGCGGGCTCGGAGAACTACCTCTGGGAGAGTCGCAGGCTGCTCTGAGGGGATAAGAGGTCCTCCTGGGGCTGGTGCCGGGGAGCAAGGGGGAACTTCCTCCCTGGGCTGGCTGTCCTCCGTGGTGGGAGAAGGCTGGGCCCGGGTGGGGCCGTTGCAGGCTGGCAGAGGCGCTTCCTCCTCAGAGGAGCCTGCTTCAGACTCTTCGTCCTCGACTGCCTTCTCTTTCAAGGGCTCTTCTTTGATCTCAGAGTTGTTTTCTCCTTGGGCTGGCTCAAGTGGCAGTTCCTCTTCACTTGCTGAGACAGATTCCCTTTCACTCTTCAGAGAAAGTGAAGAGGGACTGGTAGGGGAGGTCAGAGGAGTGGACGCTGTAGAGGTTCGAACTGGGGAAGAGATGACCAAAGAACGCCTGCTGCTACTAAAAGGGAAAGGGATTCAGATTCAGAAGCTTTAACACGGGCAGCAACCTCAGCGCCCAAGGTGAAGAGTCATGGGGGCACAGAGTAATAAAAAAAATAGACAATTTCAATGAAATTGAAAGTTTGTATAATTTACAGTCATGTTTACGTTGCAAAGGGGGAAATGGCTATAAAATTTTCTCTCTATCACTCTCTCAGCAACATGAAAAATAAAACAAACTACAAGGAAAGACAACAAAATAGTAACAACACATTTTCCCTGGGGAAAAGATTCATGGGTGATAAGGAGCTGAGTCATGCGGATTCTGTATTTGCAAATTTGCTTACTCCCTCAAATGTATTTATAATCCCAAAGCCATATTTGTGGTTCTTTCAGGGTCATTCACATGCGCAAGCTGTGAAAAATGAGCGCCTGGAGTGAACATTCCAGCTGAGGTCTGGGAGAACTGCCTTCTTTCAGTTCTTAGACCATAAACATGTTCTCCTTGCCATGTTTTCCACATTGTTGTACTTTCTGTTGGTAATTTAGCTTATTTAAAATGGCTTTCAAGTGTTGTGCCAAAGTATCGTCTAAGAGCCAGAAGCTTGTGATGTGCCTCATAGAGAAAACATGTCTGTTAGATAAGCCGCCTTCACACATGAGTTATGGTGCTGCTGGCTGTGAGTGCAGTATCAAGGAAATCAACAATCTAAGACAAGGTGCTATGCTGATCTACTGATGAAAACACGGGACCCAGGGGCGCACAGGAACCCACCCCTGTGTCTCCCCTAGGAGCAGTGGTCTAGTTCTCACTAACCCAGTGCTTGCAGTGATGGAAAAGAACTTAACTATTGCAAATAAGGAAAACTGTAACATTTACTGAATATTCTTGGATACGGTGCTGAGTGCTTCTGTAGCCAACATCAGCTTGACTCCTATTTCACCCCCTTAAGTGCCTCCTAGCACTGTTCACCAACTGGTTAAGCAACCCACAAATATTTACTTAACAGGGACCAGCTGGGTCCCAGGATGGGCAATGAAGAGAGGAGGAGGAGGAGGAGAGAAACTTAGTTCCTGTCTGGTGGGAGTTTCTGATGTGAGATAAACTGAGAGCCATAAGGTTCTTTCTGCACTAGCCCTCGAGGGATCTGTAAGTTTAGAAGACCAGGGCATCACAAGAAAAGACCAGACCACGCTGCAGAGTTGGGACATCTTGGTTTCAGTGATGGTATGTTTCAGAAGAAGGGATAATTAGAAGGAACTCTGGCTTTCAATGCCAGGAAGAGAAGCCATAGAGTTTTCAGAGCAAAACAAAATTCTTGTAGGAAGGCGACGTTAACCCCTCAGTGATTCTTTTTAAGTCTTTAAATGCTAAATGAGTAGTACAAACAAATATGAGTTCTTCCTTGAAGTGCCCAGCTCAGTTTCACTGCCTCCTTTAAAGCCTCCCTAATCATCTGCATGTGGACAAATTATCCTTCTACTGGCTTCATTAGGTACACTGTCCCCAGGACACATTTTCTGTCCTTTCAGCTTTTTAATAAGTTCTTTAGAGAAGGACATGTTTCTGATGTCTTTGGATCCTTAACTCTAACATTAAGCCTTGTGCATAGAAGAAACTTAAAACTTTCTAAACAAAGATTTTAGAAAAAAGAAAGTGATCAGATTCTGAGACTGGTGAATTGTTTACACTTAGCAGCATAAAGAATGTATGAAGACAGGGCCTCCCTGGTGGTGCAGTGGTTGAGCGCTGGGTTGCCAAGCTGCCCGCAGCCTCTGCAGCACTGGTTCGATTCCCGGCTGCTCCCCGGCCACCAGAGGAGGGTCCCACATGGCGCGCAGACCTCTCCTGCCACCCGCTGCTCCCCTCAGCAGTGTACTTCGGTCCTTCTGCCTGCTCTGCTCCCCGCTCTGGCTCTGGTGAATTCTCCCACCCTCCCGCGCTTCTGACTGTACCCAGTGCTTGTATAAATAAATAAAAATAAATCTTTAAAAATAAAAAAAATAAAGTCTTTAAAAAAAAAAAAGAATGTATGAAGACAAAAGACACACACACACAAATGGAAAAGCAAGCCACAACAAATTGAGAGAACATATTTGCAATGCATATTATTAAAGGATTAATATCTAGAACCCTAGGGCCTCCCCTGGTGGCACAGGTGGTTGAGCGCTGCGCTGTGAAGCTGTCCGCAGTCTCTGCAGCGCCGGTTTGATCCCCGGCCGGCTGGCGAGAGTCCCACATGGCACTGCAGACCTCTCCTGTCGCGCCTGCTGCTCCTCTCAGCAGTGTATTTCGTCAGTCTGCCTGTTCTGGTCCCCGCTCTGTCTCTGGTGAATTCTCTCACCCTCCCGCGCATCTGGCCTGTACCCTGGTTCTTGTATAAATAAGTAAATAAATCTTTAAAAAAAAATCTAGAACCCTCCCCACAGAACAAATTTAAATCAATTTTTTTTTTTAAAAAGGGAAACAACTGGATTGAAAAATGTGAGTAAAGGATAAACAGGAAAGTCAGACCAGAAACCTTAAATGGCCATTAATATGAAAAGATGTTCAAGGTAACTAGCAATTGTAAATTAAAAATACAAAATATTCCATTTCATATTCATTAAGTTGGAAAAATTAAGAAGTCTGACAATGTCACATGTAGCAAGAACATGGAGTAATGGATCTTTAGTTTTTGCTGGTGGGTTGTAAATTGGAACAATCACTTTGGAGAGCCATTTGGCCAGGGCAAAATCTACTAAGGTTAACAAAGCCCAAATACAGACTAGACTATCACTCAGCAATTCCACTCCTAGTATACACCCTAAAGAAAATCTTGATAATACTCACAAGGAGAAATGTAAAATATGCTCGTTGCAACATTATTTGTAATAGCAAAAAACCTGGAAAACCACTCAAGTGTTCTTTATCAGGAGGACAGATAAGTGAACGAGGCATAAAATAGCATCCTTGACAGTTACAAGAAGGAAGACCAGACTAGCAACACGTTGCAAGGATAAATCTCACAAATAATAGTAAGAGAAAAAATAAAGATGAAAAAAATACTAAGAACAAAAGAAATTGCAAAAAAATACATACAGTATACCTCCATTTGCATAAAGTTTAAAACAGGCAAAACAATATTTTCTGTTTGCACATATATATGTGTATAATGAAAGTAAAAAGACATAATGGGAATAATGAATCCTAAATGAAGACAGTAGTTACCTTTGGTGGGTAAGGGGTAGGGAGAGAAAGCGAAGTGGCAGAGGCATTGTGAGCTTCAATGATATACGTAACAGTGGATTTCTTAAATTGGATGGCTAGGGATATTATTATTTGTTGTTTCCTTTATACCTTAAATTATAGCTGATATAATTCCTAAAAAGAAAAAGGACTTATACAAGGGTGTAGTGCCAACCAACCGTGCAGATGAACACAAAGCAAAGGCCAGGGTTTGGGATTAGAGGTCAGGGCGCGGAGTATGTTCACACACTGGACAACGCAGCAGAGCTTGCTCACCTTGATAGTCCCTTCACCACAAAGACTTTGTTGGAATGTTGCTTCTCCAGTTTGCTCATCACCTCGTAGAGATTGTGGTTCAGCTAGAGCCAGAGAGAAGGAAGAGGATGCTAGCCAGCCGGGAACCTGACACTGGCATATCTCTGCCCTATTCAGACAGCTCCCCCAAATAAAACGTCCCCTCTCTTTTAACTCTCAGTGATAAAATTCCTCATCTCTCTCTACTAGTGTCCTGGGCCCTGTCCTGCCACCCTTCAGCTCTACCTTTCCCATCAGCTCCCCCAAGGCGGGAAGCAGCTCCCCCAAGGCGGGGCCCACAACTGATGTTTGTGGTTCTAGCTTCTCAGGTGATTCAGGGAATGAGAACTCATAATTTTAACAAGGCATATGATAATTTAGCCAGAGAAGCTGTGGAGAGGAATATGTATGGATGTATAATATAGTTCTATAGTACAATATTATGATATAGTTACTATTGTAATAAGAAGACTCTTAAGACTCCCAAAGCAAGAAAAGACCCCTTAAGGCCATGTTCTTTGGCTGCCTGTCACTGAACAGGACTGGCTTTATTCAAAACTAACTACCTGAGAAACTGACCCGTTCTTTCAGTTTCTCCTCACCATTGTTCTTTTTAGCAACAAAAGATACCGATTTCATGGTTTGGCTCTCCATTTCAGCTGTTCCTTCCACAGTACCATGGCTCACCTGAAGCTTAAGTTTGGATGGATGCAGTTATTCAGTGGTTAACGGAGGTGAAGACCCTCTGATAGTGTAAATATATGCTTTAATATGGTCTGATACAGTCAAGTAAGTGATATTATTTCATAATTAGAACACAGTAAAAATCTGTGGTACTAATATGGATATTTATAGAAATGATGTAAATTAGGGCTACCTTCATATTTACTGGAGAAACAGCATAGGTGTGTAAGTTGGCCAAATGTTGCTCACCTTGCTCATCTCCCTGTAGAAGACATCCCTCAAGTTGGAAATGTTTTGGAAGATGGTCACATAACAGCCAATGCGACTAGCAGGAGGCAAAACAGTACACAGGTAAGGAATGGGAAAAGAGCTCTTTGAAATATAAGATAGGAGCTTAGACCAATGTTAATCAGAGGAAACACCTCACATTCTAAACTCGGGATGTTTTGTGATCTGGATTTGCCAGCCAGGCCAGAAGCATACCTGACTCTCAGCAGGACTACCAGTCCAGGATGACAGAGCTCTAATTTTGGGACAGAATTAGACATAAAAGTGCTTTGAAGATTTTTTTTAAGTGCTGTGTAAGTATAAGGCTATATAATTATAGTGAGTAATTATTCTTTTTTCATTATGTAATATTTGGACTTCTATGAAGCTACGTGCATATTAATGGAATTCTACTACAAATGAATTGGGGAAGTTGACAGTTGATTCTATTTAAATTAAGAGTCACAAAATTAATGTTTTAGAATACATTGTAGAATAATATTAAATGACAACAGAAAATATTTTGACTCTAATTGTATTAAAGTGTATCTTATATAAGAGAAGAAAATAGGTTACAAATAGAAATTCTATTCAGATTTCTCCTCCAATGTGGAAAATTTGCATCTAAAACACTTTCACCTCTTGTGAAGCAAAGACATCTTCATTAATGGAAATCATTAACTGCTGGTCTATCGTCTACATAAACCTACTGACAGATGTTTACAAAGCAAGTCTGCTTAAAAATATATGTACTTGAGCATGAAACCAGATACTCCTAAGACACACGATGACAGCACTTTACTTGCCAGGAACTCCCCTATCCAAGGAGCATCTTGTATTTAAACCTGAAAAGCTGGTAGAGCAAGGATAGTTATCTCTGTACTGCAGTGAAGATCGCAGGGTCTAGAAAGATAAAGTGGCTTGGCTAACACCACACACAAGTTAGTAGCTGGACAGAGGCTACATTCCCCTCTTGGATCAGAGCTTTTCAAGGAGGTGACATGTTTGGGCTGCTCGGAGAACAGGCCCTCCTCTGGCCTAAGCCTCTGGCCCTTTCTTGGATTTCAGTCATTACCTATTATAAAGAACAGGCAGCTCCTCTAGTAGTTCCTGGTTCAAATCTTCAAACACAATCTGGGCTTTGTTGAATTCCTCCTCTGCCTGGGTGGTAAAAAAGACAGACAAATCCCTCTGGACACTGAACCCAAGGCTAGAGGCTGCCTCCTTTAACCTCTGAATTTTTTCAGGGACTAGAGTCCTTTGGAACTACAGCGCTCCTTCCCTAGACCTATGCCCTCCCCCACCTTGAGTCTCTGACTATCCTTACAGCATCAGTGTTAGAGGAAACAGGATTTCCTTTAGGACACTGGATGCAGAATTGATCATTCCTAGGCCCAGTCTGGCCCAACCACCTGCCACCATCCTGTGGAGAGGGAGGGCAGGAAGCTTTTACCAGACTTTTTTCTTTTCTTTTCTTTTTTTTTTTTTACCTTGGCGGTCTTGGCCTCATCTTTCTTCTTGGCATTTTGTAATGCCTCCAGGTGGTGCCGGGCACTGTCGTAGTCCACAAGTTTCCGACCCCGCTTGGCGATTCTCTCCTAACCCAGAGTCATAAGAGAGGACCTTGGTGCTCACTTTTCAGTGGCCAGGATGTAGGTACCATCATATCAAATAGAAAGACAATATTCCTGGCTCCTATTATCAATTTTCTCTTTCTAACAAGGTTTTTAAGCCAAGGGAGCTTCCTTGCTATCTGTAAAGGATGGCATTCTCAGTGGGACGCAGTGTAAGGGGTAATCCTAACAGCACATGGGAGGTGGCACTAAATTTTCATTTCATATGAGCCCTCTCTATAAACTGGTTCAGCTCCAGACATGACCTTGAGACTACTATTAAAGTGAAAGTCAAAAGTTTTGTGCTTTACTCCTAATTTTATTAGCCCCAGGATCTAAGGCAAGACACATCTCTTTTGGAATCTCAATAACTTCATCTGCTCTACAGTGTTAGTGTTACAGAAAGCTAATTATAAAACCCAATAGCACAATAAAATCGTAAATTACACTGAGAGAAAGTTTACTCAATTTTATCCAAATGATAAAATATACCAGGGAGAAACACACTATATTATTGGTCCTTGTCTCATTCTCTCAATCACAGAATTTGAAAGAATCTTAGTGATTTTCTGATCCAACTTCCTATTCAGTACAGCACATGAAGCTTCACTACAATCAAGGTAAGAAGTAGTTCAACTTCTGCTTAAACAGAGATAAGACAACTCACTACCTCACAGTATAGTTCATGTTTAGAAAATTTTAACTGTTAGAAACATAAGTCATGTGCCCTCTAATTTCTTCCTATTAATCTAAAATCAGCACAATGCTAGCATAAATCAGAACTGAATGAATAAAAAAAATTCTAATTCTGCTTTCTAGAAGAGTCTAGAACATACCAAATTCCTCTTTCATCTTACAGACTTTCAAGTATTCGAATATAACTATTAGGACTCCGCCAAGTTTCCTCTTCTCTACAATAAACATCTTAGTCCCATCAGCTGTTTCTGAGATTTAAAAAGGAGGCCCTGACCTGGGTCTCACTCAAACCAGCCTGTACTGCATTGACTGAAATCTCAGTCTAAACATAACCTCCACTTCACCGAGGACCCTCCACCCCAAGCCCTCATCTAATCCTCAACTTGAATTCTCCTCCTATCTGACTTCACTCATAACCATGGGCTCTCCCTCTATTTATTGTACTTAACCCAATATTCTCTGACTGGTATCACTCACAACCCATCCTTGATGATGTAAGTACCTTAATCTCGCTGAACTGGGCTACATAGTTTTCCATGGTCCTCACAGCCTGGTCAGCTAGTTTCTCTTCATAGTCTTCCCAAAGGAGATCATTATTCTGTGGGACAGAGGCACAGGGCAGTGATGAGGTCTCATGTCTCAAAAAACAACTGCATACCAGGGAAATACCCAAATTCTTCCTCCAAAAAACATTCTTTTTGGAGCACTGTATTAGACTATCATGTTTGGTTCCTGGGAAGAGTCAGATGAAGAAAGAACCGTTCCCAAGGAACTGCCTCTTTGGAGACAGGTCATGCCTTCAAGGATTAAGAGCAGAGTAGATGGTCAAAGCCTTGGACTCTAGAGTTTGAGAAATAAGGATGTCTGGATGTAAATAACTGCACGAAGTTAGTTTCCAAAAACAAGCAACAGGTTTTATGTCAGTAAAAATTTTGAAAGGTTTTAATGAGGGGAAAAGGGTTGAAAACATAGGAATCCAGGGACTAAGGAAGACTCGTTTTTACCTTTACAGTTGCAACTTCTTCTTACCACCCATGATTGAGATCATGCAAAGGAACAATGTGAACTGGCTCGTTGTTTTCTTATTTGCTTGGGTGGAGAAGCTAAGATGGGGCTGAGGTGAGGGCGGGGGTGAGTGCTGAAGCTTGTAGGGCCCAGAACACTCTTACCCCTACGATGGCTTTCAGCTCCTCGTGCCCATCCCACTCGCTGCTGTAGATCTCCTGCAAGGTTTCTGACACTCTTTTTGAACTTTCATGCATCACTGAAAGGGAAGAACTCAGTCCTACCATAAAGTTTCCAAAAATCAGCTTGGTTACGTGGGTGACATGCAAATCAGCGGGTCCAATTCACTAGGCCAAACTCAGAAGGTCTGAGTTATCACTGAGGGAGGCTACGCGGGGTTGTGATAGGAAATGTCACACTTCACGGTCCCACAAAGCTCCAGAAGCCGGGGTAGGCAGTCAAAAGCCTGAGTATGGTTGTTTTCCCCCATCTCCTGACCTCTCAGTAACCTCATAAATGCCCTCTGCATTCTCTTGTGCCGCAATGCCCACCTTTGACTGCACTGAGGAAGTTCTTTAGGTCCTTGTAGAGCTTGTTGCCTTCTGTCTGAAACAGAGAAGTGCCTCTTATGATTAAAGAGATACATTTGGGGGCCTCCCAGGGGACGTCAGGGGTTAAGTTGCAGCTCTATGAAGCTATCTGCAGTCACTACAGGACGAGTTCGAGCCCTGGCCAGGGAGCTACCCACATGGCACAGCAGACCTCTCCTGTCTCGCCCGCTGCTCCCCTCAGCAGTGTATTTCAGTCAGTCTGCCTGCTCTGTTTCCACTCCATCTCTGGTGACTCCTCTCACCCCCTGCACCTCTGGCCTGTACCCCAGCTCTTGGATGCATAAATAAATAAATCTTTTTAAAAAACAGAGACATTTGGGGAGATACTCCAGAGGTCAAAGTAGAAAAGTAGCTTAAAAGCAGAAATAAATCTTGGAATTCTTCCAAACATTTGCAAATGTTATAAATTAACCTCTACTCTCTTTACCAAGAAGTTGTGGGCTGCCTCTTTTGGGGCAATTTTAAGTTGGGAGGTTGCTCAAGTCCTGTTGCATTGGAATGTCTTCCTTCTTCTGTCTGTTCTCTAGTAACCCAAGTCCCTCTGTTGAAATTTAAGTGTCCTGCCAGATACCATCTATGCATTTCTCTCCAGGAGATAATGGCTCCCATTTTCTTGTCTTTTTTAAAAAAAGATCTATTTTTATTTATTTGTGCATACAAGAGCTGGGGTACAGGCCAGAAGTGTGGGGGGTGAGACACCAGAGACAGAGTGGGGAACAGAACAGGCAGATCTACTGAAATACACTGCTGAGGGAAGCAGCGGGGGAGACAGGAGAGGTCTGCTGCACCAGTTCCATCTCCAGCTGACCAGGGAGTTACCACACAATGCAGCAGAGGCAGCAGACAGCTACACAGTGCTGTGCCTAACCCCTTGCCCCATGGAGGTACAATTTTATAGTCCACAGAATCTGAATGAATACGTACTACCCTTTGCTGCATCTCACTAAAGCCCCAACTCCATCTCTGTGGTTTATTTATTTATTTATTTAAAGGCTACTGGTTTTATTTTTTTAATTTAATTTTTTTTAAGATTTTATTTATTTATTTGTAAAGCACTGGGTACAGTCAGAAGCGTGGGAGGGTGAAAGAATTTGCCAGAGCCAGAGTGGGAAGCAAAACAAGGAGAAGGACCGAAGTACACTGCTGAGGGGAGCAGCGGGCGGCAGGGAGGTCTGCGCGCCATATGGGACCCTCCTCCGGTGGCCGGGGAGCAGCCAGGGATCGAACCGGCGCTGCAGAGGCTGCGGGCAGCTTCGCAACCCAGCGCTCAACCACTGCGCCACCGGGGAGGCCCTATTTATTTATTTTTTTAAAGATTTATTTATTTATTTATACAAGCATTGGGTACAGTCAGAAACGTGGGAAGGTGAGAGAATTCACCAGAGCCAGAGAGGAGAGCAGAACAGGCAGACTGACGAAATACACTGCTGAGGGGAGCAGCGGGAGGCAGGAGAGGTCTGCACGCCATGTGGGACCCTCGCCGGTGGCTGGGGATCGAACCTGCGCTGCAGAGGCTGCAGGCAGCTTTGCAGCCCAGGGCTCAACTACTGGGCCACCGGGGAGGCCCCTCTTGCTCTTTCCTTTAAGAAGCTGATATGAGGGTGTGTGGGTGGTGGCAGGGGGTAAAGGGGGGGTTGGGGAGACAGCACTAGCTGTCATTTTATTTTTTTTTACCTGTCCTCATGCCCCTGAAATGTCTCCAGTCTAAACAATACCAGGGTCTGTCTTCTTTCCTGACAGACACGACACTCATAGTCTTAGGTTCTCACTTGTCTGGAAGTCAACATCTGTCTCTACCACCAACTAGAAAGTTACCCCACTGCTCTGGCTTCCATTTCCTCATCTATAAATGCCCAGGTAAAGATTTTATCACTGCTGCTTTTTTTCTGAATCCTTGCCAAGTTCTTGGTAGCACCATAAAGTCCAAGTTAACCCTTCCCACCCTTTCTACAAACAGTCCCAGCCCTTAATTAACGAACCAGTCACTCGGAAAGCTTGTCCAGATCACTCAAGTAGACAGAGCTGTATCCTAAGAAACTGGGGTGTGGGAATGAAGAAAAAGGTCCCTACCACTATCCCTACTTGCTGGAGGAGAAAAAAATGGACTCAAAGAAACCCTGACATTCAGCAGAACAAGTGTAAATAGTGTAACTAAAGCCTGAGTAAGTGCTGGAAGCATGTGATCTGATGGAGATACAGAAGGGAAAGATGAAATGAGATTATTGTATTTGATTTTAAAGGCAATGAATTGGAAGCAGCTGTTACTACCAGAAATAAGAAACTAAAATGTTATCTGAGGATAAGAATTCTTCCTACAGAATAGATTCTGGAGAAAGGGAAAGCGGGGAGCAAGCAGAGTCCTCAAAAAAAACATTACCTACAGAAACTTGATCAGGAATCCAGGGCCAGTGGCAAGGCCTTAAAATCAGGCTGGGAAGTTTGGGAGTGATATTTTTATTGAAAAAAAGTGCCCGGGCCTCCCTGGTGGCACAGGTGGTTGAGCGCAGCGCTGTGAGGCTGTCTGTAGCCTCTGCAGCGCCGGTTTAATCCCTGCCAGCCTTGGAGCAACCCACATGGCAAGCAGACCTCTCCTGTCGCGCCCACTGCTCCCCTCAGCAATGTATTTCATCAGTCTGCCTGTTCTGTTCCCCGCTCTGTCTCTGGTGAATCCTCTTACCCTCCTGGGCATCTGGCGTGTACCCCGGTTCTTGTATGAATAAAAAAAAGAAAAAAAAAGAAAAAAGAAAAAAAGCCCCCAAGCTGGCTATACATAAGGGATAGGGCACATGACCAACTGGTCTACCTGAGGGATATTTCACTTTTGATCTCCTTGAGCTTGTCCTTTTCCCTTCTGTTCACTTAAGTCATCCCAGTCTAACCTCAGGCCTACTGTGGTGTCAGTCTCCTTAAACGGTGAATGCTTTAGGGCAGGTGTATTTCCCTCATGGTGTTTTGTCCCGGCACTGAGCATAATGCCTGGCATGCCCTGAGCACTCATGAAATGTTTGTTAAATGAACTCACCAAGAGGAAAATTTCCAAGCATGTTCAAACACCAGTTACTATAGGTCTATCGTTGTTCAGGCAGGATGCAAGCTTTCACTTATTCCTACACTTGATCTTTGCCGAAAGGCTGGGAAGTGATTCTCTTATTCCTAATTTCACTCCATTTCATTTCTCAAATACATTTTCTACTCAAGTGACATTTAGGTGGTGGGTCTGCACTGGGAATTCTGAAGGGATTGTCCCATCTGATCTTCTTATTCTGCTTGATTGGCCCTTCCTTCATCTATTGCTCTTTCTACTCATAATCTGCCTTTGTAGATTTTTTAAGGCAGAGAGGGGCAAAGAGGGGCAAACTTCTCTTATCCACTATTTTTTTTTAATTGACAGGGAACTATTTTCTTGCTGTTCTCTTCAGACACCAGCCACAAGCTTTCACCTTTCAAGGTGGCTGCCAACTCACTGACGCTTGTTCTTTTCATGCCTGCACTGGAAGTAGAACAGTAACTAGAATTGAGAAGAGGGCCAGAGAGGTCTCCTAGTGAGATACAGTGAAAAAAGCAAGGGTTTAAGTTTGAATTCTAGCTCTCCAAGTCTCTCATGCTGTTACCCTGACTAAATTTCTTCCCTGTCACCCAGATTTTATTTCCCCTCAAAGGATCTAGACTATCCTTTATAAGTGAATGTTACATAGAAAAATCTACTTGTAGGTCTGACAATGGTTTTGGTTTATCTGAAGATAGTCCTTTATCTTTAGAGCTCAATGAAGAAGTAAGATGATGTGAGATCTAGAATTTGCTTCATAATAATCTAGGATGGGGAAAAGTGTATAGAAACATGAAATAAGATGCCCAGGAGTTGATAAGTAATTGAAGCTGGATGATGGGTAATATCGATCATTACCCAGGTTTTTCTGGCTTTCATGTAGTTGAAATTTTCCTTTAAAATAAGTTTACCAGAAAGAAAAAGAAAAACACCGGATAGTCTCATTTATAGCAGGAATTTAATAAGGGATCAAGAAAAAAACTAATTATAATAAAGTAAAAATCAAAATCAACAGGCAATACAAACCAGAGACATACAACAGGGGGGGAAAACGGAGTAGGATCAAAATAAGGGTGGTGGGAATTTTACTTGGACTATAACCAGATGAAAATGCATACACTGTACAAAAATGAAAAATGGTGTAAAAATATATATAAAATAAAAATAAAATAAAGTAAGTTTAAAAGAACAGATTTCCATCTGCTACTACCAAAGACTTTTTTTTTTTTTTTGGCCTGTAATCGCTTTTTATTTATTTTTATTTTATTTATTTTATTTTTTTAATTTAAATTTTATTTTTATATTCCCCATACAATTACAACCCCCTTATTTTGACCCCAAAGACTTTTAAAATATTTCCCAAAATATTGCTTTTAAAATATTTCCCAAAATGGTTCTGATATACAATCAACTACTTAATTAGATGATGGCAAATATCTTGTAATATAATTTTTTAAGAATTAAGTTGTCATTTAACTCAATTAGCTGATACTGTACAATGAAAACCTTGGTTGGTTTCATCCCTGGTTCCTGGGAAGTAACCGCTAATTCCTTGGGATTTCCTGAGTGATAGGGGAGTCATGCTGGGCCCCTCAACTAAACAAATGACTCAGGATGATGCCTGGAAGGCTGGAAAGATGAACAATGTGAGGCCTGGGGCTCTGAGACAAGTGTAGCAGCCTGATCTCCAGGGAGGGGAGCTGGAGATTAAATTCAATCAGGTGACCAATGATTCATGATCTAAAAATCACAAAATCTCTAGACACCTGAAACTCTTCCCTGTTTGGTAATCAACATCATTGCACTGGAAGGATGATGTATCTCGAGGAAGCAGAAGCCTCACTTTTGGGACCTCACAAACGGGGTCTCATTTTATGCGTCTCTTCACATAAAGGAGCTGGTCATGACTTATATTCTTTATAATAAAGCTATAATTGTAGTAGAATGTTTTCCCGAGTTCTATGACCCCTTCAGTTGGCTACTAGGGACCCCCAAATTTGTAGTCATTTGGTCAGAAATGCAGGTCCCCAGGGGGATCTCTGGAGCTTGTGGCTGGTGTCTGAAGCAAGGCAGTGTGTGTGGGGGGGACTTTGTCCTTAACCTGTGAAATCCGACCTAATTCTGGGTAGTCAGTGTCAGAATTGTATTGTAAGTGGATATTCATTTAAGTAGTAGTCCCCTTCTACTACAAAGAGGGGACTGAAATCTGCAGAACTGATGTCAGATCTGACAAGTAAGTTAAACTTCTCTTAGCACTTTTTTTTAATTGACAGGGAACTATTTTCATGCTGATCTCTTTTTAGGGACACTGTTCCTGTTATCCACTTCTTAATGCAAATTTTCTACACAATATTACCCACAATAGGTCTGCCTGTTCTGTTCCCCACTCTGTCTCTGGTGAATCCTCTCATCCTCCCACGCATCTGGCCTGTACCCCGATTCTTGTATAAATAAATAAGTAAATTAATCTTTAAAAAAAAATATTGCCCACAATATCCAGTGAAACTCAAAGGAACAGTGAGAACAGAAGGTCTGTTGATGACAGGCAGAAGATGGAAGCATTACTTTAGAATAACAGGCTTAGGTGGTGTTCAAAGAGGCAACAGAGAAAACACGAGGCTAATAAGAACCCCCAAGAGCGGGGAAGGGGACTTGGCAGTGGAGTGAAGAAGCCACCCAAGAAACTGAGCAGGGGCTCATTTTGATTTTGTCTAAGGATCTGTGGATGCTACAGTACCTCGGAGAAACCACTAAGAGTAAAGAATACCTGTCAGGCCCAGAACCCAGAGTCAGCAGGAACGGAAAAGGTGAGTTTCTCTGGTTCCCAAAGGAAGAATAAAGCAGGAGGTCACCCTGGGGCCCTTGCTGTGGGCGAGGATGAGCCGGCAGAGTTGCTCGCTGGTTTAGTTGCTGCTATTTTTCTGCCACTCAACCCTCGTGTCTTCTTTCTCCCTCTAAGCTTCCCTTGCCCCCTTCAGATTACCTGTTGATGGTAGAAGTTGTTGGCACTTTGTTCAAATCGTTCATCTTTGGTTTCCACAGTTTTCCCCAACTTCTGTAGCACCTGGGGATGTAAGTTGGTAAGGGTCACACGTTACAGTCAGGTCCCTCGTACCTGCTGGCTCCTATAATCCTGGCTGTCTCTGCGTGTCGGGTACAACTAAAGGGCCTACTAATATCAGCCCAACAGAATTAGAAATGTAACACATTGCTGAAAAAACAATCATGCTTTGTGGTTCTTCTCAAATTGGGGTACACTTTGGGGGTACACAGCAGTGTGCTAGGGGGTATACATAAAGCTTGGCATGAATAGGGTATAGCTTCAGGGAATGACATTATTTACAGTAGTTTTTTGGCAGGGCAGGGAAAAGCATTATATTAAAAGAAGGATTAATGAGAAGAATATAAAATATGCACAGTTTTTAAGGACAAATCAGGGGACTTAAAATCATTTTCACCTAGGAGACCCTCTTCCAGCCATAGCAGCAGATTCCTCTAGATAGTTGAAGTAAGAGAGATGGGCAGGAGACTCTTAGGACGGCCCTTGTGGAAAATGCAGAGAATTCCTGATATAATGCACTGGAAACTCAGCTAGAAATGAATGCTGTTCATGTGGATTTTCTCTCCACTGGACCCCGAGAGCCAGCCATGACACTGGTCTCAGTGCTAATAATACACAGGTGTAGGGTAAGGACAAATGTCAGGCTTTTCTGCCCTCCCGCCATCAGGATAGATGATAGATCCTTGCGGTCCTGAATGCATGCCTAATGGCGGGCACCTGGAACAGGGTGTGGGCATAGGAAGATGGGGCTCACTTGGGCTAAGACTGTGCTTTTAAGGGCGGCGTCACGGAGACGCCAGCAGAAGCCGAAGCAGAAGCCGAGAGAGAAGCAAGAGAAGCAGAAGCCAAGAGAAGGCCGGAGAGCCCAGACAGAGTGAGGATTTGCTGGGGGCTGGGAGGACTGCCAGCCTCCCAGCCCCCCAGCACCCCTGCCTGCCATATGCCTGGTGAACCCCAATAAAAAACCTGCAAAACCACTGAGGACTCTGACTCCTCCTTCACCCGGTCTGCATGGGATCAGAAAACCTGCACTGTGTCTATTCCTGCCCTTACAACAGGACACGGAAATAGATATAGCACCTGTTCTCAAAGGGGCCACTCCCTTATAAACAAGTAATTTCATATAGCAAGAAAGCCTTAATACTTCTTATAATCCCCAGGCCCCAGTTTCAATCTCAGGAGTTGCCCTTAACTACTTCTCTCTCACCTCCTTCAAATCCCTCCACATGTTCATGTAGGGAAACCATCCCATACATACCTTTAGTCTGGACCCTTTTTGATTGTCTGGCCTGTTGCAATAGGACTTTTATGCTGCTACTTAAAACCTCCTAATGATTGTTTATTCACCTGCTTAACAAATTTTTAGAGCTCTCTACCTGCCTGTGTCTATGCAGGCGCACTCTTTTATTCTTTCTCCTTTACCTAATAAACCTGTCCTTTTAAAATGTAAAAACAAAACAAAACAAATTTTTATTAAATGCTCAATATGTATCTGTAAGTTACAGATCACACACTCGCTTCCTGATAGGTCTGGGTGAGCTGACCCTCCATTAAGCCTCGTTATTCCTCCTTCCTGAAGGTCTTTCCTTGACGATATTTTTTTCAGTTTCCTGAATAGGTCATACAATTTTTTTTGTTGTTGTTGTACATGCTGTTTCCTCCTTCTGGAATGCCCTGTCCCACCTTGTCTGTCAGGCAGATACCTAAATATACCCAATTCATACCTGTTAGCCTTTGTGATATTTAATGACACTTCATGTCATTAATTGAGTTAATCACCACCTTCTAAGCACTTGCAACTTCTACACCATGGATATGCTTCTATAACTTTTATTATTTGTATTTATCTGTGTCTCTTAAACTGTGAACTCCTTAAGGATTGGGTACTCTCCTTACTCATCTAGATTTCTCAGTATCTAGCAAATAGATAACATTTAGAACAAGGAGAGTGAAACTGACACAGGAAGGGGATGGATGAATGGGTTGGGTCTTTTTTTTTTTTTTTGTAATTTTAAATGGACGGGCTTATTAGTAGAAGGAAAGGGGAAGAAGCAGCTTGCACAGACACAAGTGGGCAGAAAGAGCTGCCACCGCTGCTTTGCAAAGGGAAAAGTTTTGTGAAGAGAAACACCTGCAGTCACAGGTGGGTAAGAGCGCTGCCTGGGCTGGGTCTTGAAGTAAGGTTTTTCTAGAATGGAATGAAGTATCAAGGGGGAGGTGAAAAGAGGGTTCCAGGCAATGACAACATCAGCAGTTGTGGGAGTATGCAAACTCACACGTAGCTTCACGAGCTGGTTCAGTGTGGCTGGCTGAGGGTGTGTTGCAGGGAGAGGTAAGAAAGGACACTAGAAAGGGAGACTGGAGTCTCACTATAAAGGCTTTGAATCATATGCAGGAGCGCCCTGGTCTTGGCAGTGAGGAAGTATCTTCATCCTTAATCCTGGGGGTTAGCACCTCTTATTTCCCTGAGCTCTCTGTGTAGTGGTTAAGATCAAGGCTTCGGGAGTCAGCCAGATATATGCCCCCATCTTGGCCCCTCCAACTTACTGGCTGTAAGTCTTTGAGCCTCAGTTTACAGAACACCTTTTCCCTTAAAGATAACAGTATCTCCTGGAGTTGAGATTTAAACAATTTTAGACATGTAAGTTGCTTTCCCAGTGCTGTCCTGCAGATACTACTCAATGCAAATCCACTACAGTTATATCTCATTGCAATCCTGCCTGTCTTTGTTTCCTTTTCAGTTTAACCACATGTGTTTGTGTCTCTAACTCCACCTCACTTAACTCTGGGCCCTGGATGTGTGGAGTCTGGCATCTTCCGGGCCTCTCCCATACCTCTTCCCCCGCTCCATTATCCCTCCCTCCCCCCTCAAAAACAACACTGTTCTCTAACAGAAAGTTGCAAAACCACCTTGCTAAGCGCTGGGCTCTCACTTCCTTCCTGCTACCCCTCCCTTCCTTTGCATGGGAGTGGAGATGGCTGAAAGATCAGTCGGCTCAGTCTATTGTCAACGTGGCAGATTCAGGGGCAGACCAGTCCCCCCCCCCCCACCCCAGTCTCTAAAGGATCAAGGCAGAAAGGCCTGGAGAGTGAATAAGCTGAGTGAGCACTGCCACCTTCAATTCTGAAAAAGAAAAGATGAGTATTATCACCCTGGAAACATAACCCAGTGCCCAGGGCCAAAGCCATTTGTTGCCATAAGCAACAGGATCATGTGTCTGGGTGCTGAAACTCTGTTGTAAATGGCAATCCCTAAAGTCCTGTCCTGGCAGCTGAGAAGTGAGAACACCGATACTTAGAAAGAGCAGGACAAGCAAGAAAGTAAAGCTGTCAAAATGTTAACACTTGGTGAATGTAAAGAATATTCCAGTGCTCATTGGCCTATTCTTTTAACTATTGTGTAGACTTTACTAGAAGGTTTTAAAAAAATCACTAAACATTTGGTGGCTTACCATAACCTTTCCCCACAGCCATTTATTGTGTTTTAGTTAATTCTCTCAATTGGGGTGATTTGAATAAGGTCTGGGTATTAGATGTTATTATGGAATTTTGTTAAATTATTTTTCTTAGGTGTGATAACAGTATTGTAGTTATGCAAAAAGTTAATGCTAAAGGCTGTCCTTAACAGGGCTCTAATGTACTTTCCAGCCCTTTCTCCCACACTCCGGTTCTCCAGCTTAGCTGTGCTTCTCACTGTTCTGCCTGAAAGGATTTCCAGATTCCATGCCTTGCTCGGGCTGGCGGACCTGAGCAGGCAGTTCTCACCACTAGCCTGAGAAACGACTAATCATCCACGATTACTACCTGGACTTCAGCCTCCGTTATAAAACCTCCTTGATTCTCCTCAACCTTTCCGTCTTGGTAATTCCCACAGACATGCAGATCTCTTGTCACTTATTTTATTAGATGTTATATCCTACCCTTACATAGTACATATATTAAACTGGATTATAGGTTTCTTGTGGGCAGGAATGCCTCATTTTTTTTTTTTTTTTTAGATTTATTTATGTATACAAGAGCTGGGGTCCAGTCCAGAGGTGTGTGTGTGTGTGTGTGTGTGTGTGTGTGTGTGTGTGTGTGTGAGAGGACTCACCAGAGACAGAGTAGGGAGCAGAACAGGTGGATCTACTGAATGAAATACTGCTGAGAGGAGCAGAGGGCAAGACAGGAGAGGTCTGCTGCACCATGTGGGTTAGTTCCCTGGTCAGGGATCAAACTCATGCGGCAGTGGCTGTGGATAGCTTCACAGTGCTGAGACTTAACCCCTTGCGCCACAGGGAGGCCCAAGAAAGCCTTTTACCTATCAATAAGTTCCCTCCTGGGTCCAACCCAGTCAATTTTTTTTCTGTAAACATTTGTTGATTGGAAACTTTGGGATACAAGTTGAGTAAAGGTCAACAGAGGAAAAGACCAACAAAAGATTAGTAAAAAATGCCCTTTTCTTGGGGGAGATGTGAGAGGTTTGCCACAGAGAAATCACAAACAGGTGGGAAAAGCATTATGTGAAATGCGAAGATTATCATACAATGAAGCTAGCTTGAATGCATTCTCATGTTGAGGATGGGTGGGAACTGGGAAATAAAACAAGACCATTTCCATATATGTTGAACAGTCCCCAGCCCTTCATTCCCAGCTTTTCAGAGAAGGCCTGGGCAAAAGGTGTTTCCACCCTTTGCTTTGTTCCTGAGAGAAGGTCAGCAGGAACTGGGGAGGCACAGATGTCTGGGTGGCATATCAGGAAGCTTGTAAAGAGCGTTGCCTGGGATCAGGACCCACAGGCAGGACAGCTGGGTCTCAATATAGTTCTGCCACTTGTCAATCTCCTTCGAGCCCTGTTTCCTTGTTTCTAAAATTGGGATACTAACAATATGTTTGAAGAGTTGACAAGATGAAGTGAGATTATATCACGATGATGTTGGCTCCAGAAATGGAGAGAACATGCCTAATATTCCTGTGCCTTGTCCACTATAAGCATTTAATATTTGACACATTCATTACACGCATTACTCAGATGATTACAACCCAGTGCTTAGAGAAAAACTGCAGTGTCCAGGAAGCCCCCCCTCCTTTTTTTTTTTTAACTCTAACTCCTCTCTATCTTACTACCAATAACTTCCTGAGACTCAAGGACTCTGGCAGCTGAAGGGAGCGCCCTCCCAGTATTCCAGGACATTCTCATCTAGTCCAGCAGCATCCTCAACCTCCAGGGTGCCAGCTGCGCTGCTCCAACTTCAACATCTGTCTGCTCTTGCATCTAATTGCGGGTTCAGAGCACCTTCTTGATTTCTTTTTTTTTTAAAAAAGATTTATTTATTTATGCTTACAAGAACTGGGGTGTAGGCCAGAGGTACAAGGGGGCTGAGAGGATTCGCCAGAGACAGAGTGGGGAGCAGAACAGGCGAATCGACTGAAATACACTGCTGAGGGGAAGCAGCAGGCGAGACAGGAAAGGTCTGCTGCACCATGTGGGTCAGCTCCCTGGCTGGCCGGGGAATGAACTCATCCTGCAGTGGCTGGCAATAACTTCATAGCTCTGTGTCTTTAACACCTGTGCCACCAGGGAGGCCCTCCTTTTGATTTCTGCATTAACCTGGGAGTTCCTTAGGGCAGGTTGAAGTCTGCTCTTTCTCTGCCTCCTCAGGGTTCAGATCAGAAAGAACAGGGTATATGTGGGTGGCTGGTTCTCTCCTTGAGAGTTCAAGGAGCCCTCTCCCCTTCTTACTTTAGTGTCCTTACCATGCTGAGTTTCCAAATCACTAAACATTAACTCTCCCATCTGACAGATGTAGGTTCTACACATGTAGAATCTGTAGCCCAGATTCTGTAAATAATGCAGGGCATTATTTACCTAAGTCTTCTGAATCCATGTTTAGAAAAGGAGAGAAGTCACAATGCAAGGGTATAGTGTTGATAACAGACTAGGTGAGGTCAGAAGGTGAAAGTGATGTAAAATCAGCTGGTGCATCCTTTAAAGATCATTATTACCCATGAGTTCTTTTGTCTTTTGGTTTTTTTTTTTGGGGGGGGTTTATTTTCTAACCCACGGGTGGCTAGCCTTCTCTACTCCAGAAGTCCTTCCTCCCACACGACTTGTAGTTAGATCTTCCCTTAGGTTCTGGTGTCTCTCAGATTTGTGACTAGAAAGCCTTCTAAGAAGAAACTAAACCACCAACAAAGATGAAATTAGGGTAAGGTGAAGTAACAAAGTGTGGCCACACATTTTTTTTTCTTTTTCCTTCTACATGACCCCAGCTTCCTGTGAAAGAAAGTCACCAACACCCTTTTTTGTACGCATATACACATGTTTTTTTCTCTTGTCCTTCTACCTTCCATTGTGAGTCTTTTACATCTGCCTTCCATCAATTCTCAGCTGATAATCCCACTTGGGAGGGCTGGTAGCCTTTCCGCCTTCCCCAAGCCACTGACTGCTCTGCCTTCAGAAGATGGAAGGGGTACCTCAGCTCTTAGACATGTGGTCATTCATCCAAATGCTTCCAAGACCATGGACCTTAGAAAACCAACACTCAATCTCAAGTTCCTCTTATCTCTCTTATCTCCTTTTTCTTCTGATTCATTCATCTTCCCACACAATCTCATCAACTAAGGTGGAGAGCAGGTGTTCAGGTTAGGAGCAAAGACACTATCCTCAACAGGCAGAAACAACAATGCGGTTAAAATATGGGGAGAAGTGTCCGCACAACCCACACAGGCAGGCGAGGAAGGATGGAGGCCTAGTACTGGAGCAGAGCTAACACTCTAGAGCCATGTCACCACCACAGGGAACCTGCCACAGACCCCTGACAGCGGGAGAAGCAGATATGGGCTAAGGCTTACAAGCATTTAAACACCACAGAGAGGCCTGGCCGTGTGTGGTCCAGAGAGAATATGCAGAATTACTCGAGTCTTTACGAACTAGTCTAAAGCAGGCGTGGTCCTCAGGCGCAGCTCGGCTGAGCGTCAGAGTCTTATGACAGCAGAAATTACCCTTTTTGAACCTTCAATTTCATCACCTGTAACATACCATCCTCCCTGGAATACTGGGCCAAAAATTGCTCCATTTAGCTGGCAGCACTAATTCCTTTCCTTCACCTTTCTGGGTCAGCCTGTGCCTTAAGGTTCTGCGAGATGGGTCCCCCACTTTCCCCATCCTTTCTCGGTGATGTTCCACTTTCTTTCTCAAGTCAGCTCATTTTCATGGCCCCCACCCCGCCCTATTTCCCCCCACCCCCACCCCGCCTTCCCTGGGGGAACCCGGACACCCCAGTCTCCAGCCCGGGCACCCTGCACGCCCCTCCGCCACTGGGGCCTCAGCTCCCCTGTGGGGCCCGCACGGGCCGCCCTACCTTCTCCTGGGCCCGGCTGAACTTCTTCTGCACCTGCTTGGCGAAGAGGCCCGCGGCGCCACCTGCCTTACCCTCAGCCATTCTGCCGCTCCCTAAGGGTAGGCGGCTGGCCCTGTGGTTTTCTGGGGGCCCCCAGGAGGAAGTGCGGGTTCCCGGCATGCCTCGCATCCGGCGGCGGGGCGGCTGGGCCTAGTCCTTCCCACCCACCCCGGTGGGGCACGGCACGCCCCATTGCCAGGCCCCCCGAGACCCCCAGGTCACCCGAAAGCCCAGTGCAGCGAGCCCGGGTTCACCCCGAGGCCACCCCGAGGGCCGTTGCAAGGTCTGCCTGAGGCCCGCTGGACCCCAGCCCGCGCCCCGACCCTCCCCATGGCCATGGAGTTCCAGCTCCAGCTCCCAGCAGGGCCTGGGGGCCCAGTGGAAACTTCTGGAGCGCAGGCTGGGGCCGGGGTCTGTCCAGTAGAGGCCTTGGTGGAGTAGCAGACACTCAGCCCTGCCAGCTATCAAGTTTTCCGGCCTGGGCTATAGAAACACCAGCCTCACTGAAGTTTTCAGAAGTTGATCCAAACTCATTTGATCCTGAAAGCCAATTCGCTCTTCAGCCGGTCAGCACTGGGCTAGAAACTATTTACTGTTTCAGAACACGTGTCCACACCAGTGGGGATACATGCTGGATGGCCGAATGAAAAGTTCTTACCTCGGTTTGCAGAAACATGAAAGGCCTGTACCAAAGAGACTGGCTCTAAGTCTGCACCTGCTAGGGGTATAGTGTGGATGGGGGCAGGAGACTCCAGAGCTGGGTTTAAAAGAATAATAAAGCTAGGGGTAGAAATGGGGGCTCTTAGAAAAGGAGATCTTATTTTAATTTTATTTTTTAAAAGATTTAGTTATTTATGCATACAAAAACTGGGGTGTAAGCCAGAGGGGGACTGTGTGTGTGTGAGAGAATTCACCAGAGAGAGTGGGGAACAGAACAGGCAGATCTGCTGAAATACACTGCTGAGGGGAGCAGCTCGTGAGACAGGAGAGGTCTGCTGCACCATGTGGGTCAGCTCCCTGGCTGGGGATCGAACTCATGACACTATGGCTGCTGATAGCTTGATAGTGCTGTGTCTTTAACCCCTGTGCCACCCGGGGGGGCCCAGAAGATCTTATTTATTTTATTTCATTTTATTTTATATATTTTTTACATCAGTTTTCATTCTTGCACAATGTATGCATTTTCATCTTGATTATATTCCCCATACAATTCCCACCCCCCTTATTTTGACCCTATTCCCTCCTCTCCTCCCCCCCACCAGTGTGTCTCTGGTTTACAGTTGCTTGTTGATTTTGATTTTTACTTTATTATAATTAGTCTATTTCCTGGTCGCTTATTTAGGTTTTCTAAATTCCTGCTATGAGTGAGACCATCCGGCATTTTTTTTTTCTTCCTGGCTTATTTCGCTGAGCATGATCCCTTCCAGCTCCATCCATGTTGCTGCAAATTGTATGAGTTTATCTTTTTGATTGCTGGGTAATATTCCATTGTGTATGTGTACCACATCTTCTTGTTCCAGTCATCTCTTTCTGGGCATTTGGGTTGTTTCCATAGCTTAGCTATTGTGAATAGTGCTGCAAATACGGAAGCCTGTGCTGGGGCATAGAGAGCAAGTTTTTCTAGCTGGATAAACTGGTACAGTATACCAAGTGCAAAGGTACTGGCAAAATATGAGGACAGACACAGATTGTGAAAGTTTGGGTGGGGCTGCTGAGATTACGACTGTTGCTTCTCTAGGAAGATAATCTCCAAAAATGGAAGTTACTCCCTGACCTGTGTGTGGAAAGTTGGAAATTGGGACACCTGATTTGGAGGAAAGATTTACTCAAGGATTTCACAGTGGAGATAAAATCCCCTCAAGGAAGGGAAAAGGGTCAAAATACACTTTCTGAATGGAGAGGGAAGCTGGAGGCCTGAGACAAAATGGAAGGCCCTTGTCTGTGCCTATTTTTCCATTAATCCCCCAAAACAGATGTAGTCACTCAGGGTCAACTGTGTGACAAGCATTGGGAAGCCAATGACGAATTTAAAAACTCCCCTCCCTGATCTCAAGGTGCTTAAAATCTGGAGGTCAAGATAGGTTGGTAGTCAGATGATTGTAATGTTATATGCTTAAATCGCTTATAGAGGAAAATTCAGGTAATAGGTCTCTAGGGTTTATTCTGGATGTCAGCTGTGGGGGTGATCTAGAAAGCACAATGAGGAAGTGGACTTGATGCTGGTGGGGAGAAGCCCAGAGGATGCTGGGACTGTGGGAGCACTGAGAGAAGATCGCATTGGACCACAGATGGGCCCTCCGCCAAAGGAGACTGTTTCATGCCCCCAGGCTCCACAGCACTCCCAGCTTGCAGCCGAGCCACCGCCCCCTAGGACTCTTCAGAGTCAGTCTTTTGGGAATTGAAACTGATGGTCACCAAATCATGAAGTCGTAGAGCAAGAGTCATTTTTCTTTTTAGGTTTGTAACCTTTAGAAGTTAATTAGATGGGGAAACAAGGTCATAGTAAGGGCTGGCGACTTGCTCAGGATTACCTCCCTCCATGTCTGCGGACCTGAGATGTGCATACGGGCTCTGCCTCCAGCTCAGCTTCTGATAATATATGCATTTGGGAAGCTGCTCTCGAAGCCTCTGCTGATGTAGCACCCTACAAATTCCAGGACTGGTCTTTACCAGTTCTTCTCTCAAATGTTTACTACCCTGTTCTCTTGTCTGGTTCTTAGTGATTGCTATGAAAAGCTGCTTCCCATTCCCTGCGACTTCTCCTTTCGGTTCCCTCTTCACTCTATCCCAGGCGGTTCTAACAGACAGAGCCTCAGCCAGGAGAGAGCAGAATTATCAGCTCCCCAGTTCTCTGTTGTTTATAGACTCCTGGATCCGGTTGCCTAATTTAGTCGCAGCCTGGGTTTGCTGACTCACACTGGGAGGCCTCGATTGTTGTCAGCCTTTTGTTCTCTTCCCTTCAACCCTTTTCTTTCTTCATTCAATACCTTCTTTTCTCCTTCTTTCTATTCTTTCCTCCTAGCCTCTTTTCTGATTTGTTATTTTGTCTGCTGGTGTCTCACCTACCACCTAATCCTATACCTCTCTCTCTAGTGTGTCCTAATAGCCGCCATCACCCAGAACCTTGGTGTGAGCACCTGTTTTAGGCACTGAAGGGGAAACAGAAGGACAAGCCGAAGCCTGTTCAGGAGAGACACGGCACCTTTAGTCACTCAGGAACATTTTCAAACACTCTGTCTTTGAAGAGAGCAAATATGCATGGCGCAGGTGGGTGGATTCATGGACAGGTAGATCCTAAAATAATCCAAAAGCACCATAAAATCACTCTCACTTCACTCAGCTTGTGAACTGGTAGAGGTGGCAGCAGTGAGAAGAACCAGCTCAGAAACATGGTGAAATCCAACTTGGGTCCCGTGCCTGCCTTTCCTCTAAGGGCTTCATTACAAGTAGAAAGTACGGGATGGTAATGTATATTCAATTTTATTTGCTTTTCTGCATCTGGCCCAATAGTCTCTTAGAAAGCTTTTCCTTAATGGTTTCAAGTCCCACAGTGGATCTAAAAATTATCTTGGGAAGGTGTTTGTCCTCACGAAAATGTTCAGTTGTAGGCAATGACCTGAAAAGAAAAACAAGTTAGTTCACAGTAACTTCTGCCTCGACAACTTTCTCCTTCAAGGTCCCCTGTGCTGGTTTGTGGGGAATTATTGAGAGGGTGGGGGGCAGGGAGGAGGTCTGAGCCATGTGAGAACAATTCAGTGTTCCAGGCACATACCCAGGACTTCCTGGTGAGGACAACGCTGGAAACAGCTGTGAGTCAAGGTTTGTGCACAAGGCTTTGGAATGTGTTTGAGTCCTGAGGGCACAGGTGGGATGGTCCTGAGGCTGACCAGTAGGGCGGGGTAGGTGGAGTCTCTCCTCACATCAAGCATTCTTTAAGGTGGTAAAACCTCTTTCCAAAGGGTAGAACAGATTCTCACAATGCCCTTGAAAGGGCTCATGGGAGACAATGTTAGTGTCCTGGTTCAGATCTGCTGAAGCCACTACCTTACCCCCAACAGTAAATAGTGTGGCAAAGCCGTTTGGGGGGCCTGTGAGGGGGATTGCAGGACTGCAGGACTGTGGCATTACTGAGGGGAAGGGCGCTGTGGCGGGAAGGGAACAGAGCAGGTGTATGGCTGTGTGAGGAAGTGATGGCTCCCCTGCCCAACTCTACTCCCCAAACCACCCGGTGCCTGGGCCTCCGGTGACCCTATTCAGTCCATCTGAGAAGACTTACGCTATTCATCCAAGAGATGTAAGCGGAGACCCGGGTGAAGACGGTGGGTTTCCTGGAGACATTACAACCCTGACTGGACACAAAGCTGGTCACTCCGTGGACAGTGTACCGGCCATTCACCAAGCAATGGAGAGGGCCCCCAGAGTCACCCTGTAGGGGGGAGAAGCAGAACCCTCAAACTCCAAATCTTTCGATCCGTTGGGTCTTTGCTTTTATTATGCTGACATTCCTTTGTAAAATCTATCTCTGTTGATAAAATCTTGCACAGTGTTAGAGTACCAGCTCAAATCCCCACTTCCTTCATATCCCCACCACCAAGATGAGCCTCCTCTTCCTTTCTAAACAACCTCCACACTTCTTCCTTTCTTCTACAGCACTTAAGTCTTGCTCTGCCTTGTGTTTTGGTTTCATAATTTGTTTTTACCTCCTACGCATAGTTCTGAGCTTCTTGAGACAGGAAATATGTCTTGCTGATATTTTCCCTCTCTACAATGCTAGCACAGAACTTTGAACATTTTAAACTCAAGAGCTTTTATTGACTTACATTGGACCTGGGATGGGGGAAGTGGGTGTTCTCATCATTTCTTTATTCCCAGCATTTGGGCCAAAGGGTTTATTTAATTAGACTTAGCCTTTAGACACAGGGTAAGTAGTCAATGCTTGTTGAATAAATGGGGAGGAAGAGGAGATAAAGTGATGTGTCAGGGGAGTTGTTAATGGAAGGTCTTAGAAAATATGACCTTGACACCCTTCCCTTTACTCAGCTCCCAGCATGCCAGTTTTACAATTCCAGACATCAAATTACATTTCTCTGGAGAATCTGACAGAAGGGAAGATGTAAAGGTTAAGGCTTGGAGGTTTCCTAATGAAGTGGCCTCTCCAGATCACCTACAGAGCAGCTCACTCTAGATGAGCCCCAGCTAAGGCTCACAGCTACCTGTGGCTTTCTACCATCCCACCCTGAAATAAGAGCAGCTGAGAGGCTTCACTAGAGACAGAGTGGGGAGCAGAACAGGTGGATCTCCTGAAATACACTGCTAAGGGGAAGCAGCGGGCAAGACAAGGAGAGGTCTGCTGCACTATGTGGGTCAGCTCCCTGGCCGGGGTATAAACTCAGGCTGTGGCATTGTTTGCACTGAAACTTAACCCTGTGGCCACCAGGATAGTTCTTTCAAAAAGGAACTTGCTGCACTCCCCGCAGCTCTCACTTAGAAGATGTTCCACAGAAAACAAAACAAACAACTTAAATCCCATCTAAATTCGAATAGAGATGTGAAAGTATTTCTAGGCTGGAGGAATGAGCTTGAATTGCATGCAATACTACAGTCTAATGCCAGCTGAGAGATGGAAGGCAAAGGGAGAGCAGAGAAAATGTGGAAAATCCACTCTGTGGGAGAGGGCGGATTGAGGGGAGAGAGCAGGTTGAGGGGAGCTCAGCGAATCCACTCTGAGAAGGCCTGAGGACCCAGACCTCTGAAAACCTAGATGACACCCCACTGACAGGTCCAATGGAGCGGACCTGGAAACACAACCGCCTCAGAGAATTGTCAGTGAAGTGGCAGCCAGTTTTGCAGAGTTGGGGCTTTGAGAGAGCAGAGGGAAATGAGTTTACTCAGGAGATTAGACCTGAAGAGGTTATTGGTGAAGCTGCCTGGTGAAGACTCGGAAGAGGTTGCCAGAAGCATTCATCTCTCTCCCCGCACCCTCCACATGTAGGGTTCCCAGGGTACAAGACTTTTAAGTTTTAACACTGGGATGAGTTTGCGGCTTTATTTCCATGCTTCTACGTGCTCACAAAAAACCCTTCCGTCCTCAGTCTGTTTCAGTCAACCCGCCAGCCTTTTCCGGCTTCTCTTTCTCCTCCACTTAGCTGGCACCTTGCATTCGATTGGCAGCCCTCTCCTGCTGCCAACCCCATCCGAAATGAGAAAAAAACCCAGCCTTGGATTGATCTTTCCCCTGGACCTTTGAATAAAGGGGAGTGACTCTTACACTCACAGGGTCACGTCACGGCAGGGCCCGGCCACAGCCTCGCAGCACCATCTTAGAAGCCAGATTTTCTCCCACTCACCGCCATCAACCAAATCCAGACAGTCCTTGCTCCTTCGGTTTTCAGTATTTGATCTGATTCCTACTTTATGAGCACATAGAAGCAGTGCTGCAGAGCAGCTGCAAAGGTCCAGCTGTCCGGCCTGCATACCCCTGCACGTCTACACCAGACTGGTGGCTTCTCCCTTCCAAGCCAGCACCATCTGTGCGCCTGGTCCCACTCCCTTCTCCCCAGGGATACTGTGCCATTTGCACTCTGACTCCACAGGAATCCTTTCAGTTTTCTCCCCTCTTAAAAAAATCCATTCCCTGGGGTCCTCACTGGTGGCACAAGGGGTTAAGTTTCAGCGCTATCAAGCTGTCGCCAGCCACTGCAGCATGAGTTCGATCCCCGGCCAGGGAGCTATCCACATGGCGCAGCAGACCTCTCCTGTCTCGCCCGCTGCTCCCCTCAGCAGTGTATTTCAGTCAGTCTGCCTGTTCTGTTCCCTGCTCTGTCTCTGGTGAATCCTCTAACCTACGCCCCAGCTCTTTTATGCATAAATAAATAAATAAATATATCTTAAAAAAAAAAAATCCATTCCCTCCATGACTTGCAGAGGTAAGTGCCTACCTATTGGGTTACCATGTCGCCCTGTGCCTATCTTTATTATAAACCTTAATCATATTGCATCTCGTGTCCCTTCACATGTCTGCTCTTCCCTTCTTTCACCAGATACAGGCTCAACTTTGTAGCCCTAGCAGTGAGCACAGTGGGAGCTTCTGTGTCTGCTCACCTGGCAGTAGATAATCAAGAACATTTGCTGAACTTCATTGAAGAAGTCTCTCCAGTGGTGTATTATTGAATGATCTTCACTGAATAGAAGGTATTCTATTTATTATATATGAAGTACTAAGAACCATTTTGTGCACCTTGTCACATTCATCTGTAAATACTACTGGGACAAAAGGGTGGTGGCAGAGGTGCTGTAAGAAAATTTGCCATTGGGCCTCCCTGGTGGCGCAGGGGTTGAGATGCAACCTATGAAGCAATCCATAGCCACTGCAGCATGAGTTCGATTCCCTGCTGGCCAGGGAGAAACCCACATGGCGGGACAGACCTCTCCTGTCTTGTCTGCTGCTCCCCTCAGCAGAGTACTTCGATCTGTCTGCCTGTTCTGTTCCCCATTTTGTCTCTGGTAGATCCTCTCATCCCCTGCATCTCTGACCTGTACCCTAATTCTTGTATAAAAATGAATCAATCTTTAAAAAAAAAAAAGAAAATTTGCCATGGATGGGAGGGGAGCTACCCGACGACCAACATGCCAGCCTGGACCCATTGCAGCTGTAAAAAGTCTAGATGACAAACAACTTCTCAAGAATGCACATACAGGGCCTCCCCGGTGGCGCAGCAGTTGAGTGCTGGGTTGCAAAGCTGCCTGCAGCCTCTGCAGCGCCGGTTCGATCCCCGGCTGCTCCCCGGCCACCAGAGGAGGGTCCCACATGGCGCGCAGACCTCTCCTGCTGCCCGCTGCTCCCCACAGCAGTGTACTTCATCAGTCTACCTGTTCTGCTCCCCGCTCTGGCTCTGGTGAATTCTCTCACCCTCCCACGCTTCTGACTGTACCCAGTGCTTGTATAAATAAATAAATAAATCTTTTTTTTTTTTTTAATGCACATACACACCAACACACAAAAATGTGTGGAAGTGGGGGTGTTAGGCTTGATGACTAAAGTTCCCTTCAACTTTGAGATTTGGTGAATGTAGAGTTACCAGCACAGACTCACTATGCTCAGACACGGAATAGAAAGTCGAGTCTGTGCATGGGGGTGGGAGAAGGGGTGAGACAGGGAGTGCAGGAAAGGTGGGGCGAGGAGCAGAGAGGGGAGGGGCCTGGAGCAGCCTTCTTGGACATGCCTGCATCTGCTCACCTGGCATCCAGAGCGAGCCCCATCTCCTCCAGCGCACACCATGGTGTTCTTCACGGTGGAGCCCCAGTAGGAAGGGCTGGTGCAGGTGGCATAGTCCACGGTGGGCAGGTAAGCCTGCTGCAGGGTCTGGGCCAGCTGCCCATTGGCTGAGCGGGACACACAGCATTGCAGGTCAGCCCAGCACCGCACCGGGAAGAAGCTCCCACCCCCTCTGGACCCTCCTCCCCAGCCCTGAGGAAGGCATGCTCAGGCTGTCACTCTCTTTACACGGGAGCTGCAGGACCCTTCCTTCAGGGGCTGCCAACCCTACTCCTGCTTCTCCCCTCTTCTTTAGCTGTTGGGTACCTCAGTGAAGTCGCTAGAATGGTCTTTGTTTATTGACACCATCTCTGTGAGTCCTGCTCCCCCCTCGCCCTGTAAATCCCATGAGGCGGCGCTGGGCTGTGCTCCCCTGTGTCCTTCCTCTGGCTCACTGGACTCCTCAAAGCCTTTGCACATGAATTATTGGTCTGGATCCTTACAACCACCCTTTTATGGGATAGATCAGGAAGTTAAACCACAATGACATCAAGTGAACTCATGTTAATTTTGCTCAGTTAAGAGCAAAGCTGGATTAGAGCATGTCCCTCTCTCCAGGTTTGCCGAGAACGCTGGCTGGTCATAGGACCTGCCCCTCCTCCGAAGCCCAGATGCGGCCTGATGGCCGACAGACGTGCTACAGGCCCAGTTTCTGCTCTTCTCAACTGTCTCTGCTCACAGCCCCCACCTTTCCATGTTATCGGAAAGAAACTGCCCACCAGAAATCTCCCGTGATGACCAGACCTCTCTGGTCATCCTCTGTCTTGACCCCTCGGAACGTCCAGCTATCTGGGGTTCATTCACCTGAACCCACAGCCCCTGTGACTCTTTGGAGGTAGCATGATGGTATAATCACCATCACAGTGGGAGTGAGGTACCTGGTTCCGGCCCTAACTCGTCATAGGATCTTATACAAAGCCTTTACTCTTGGGGGGTCCCTCAGTTTCCTCATTTATAAAATGAGAAGCTGTTAGAATATACTCTTTGAGTTAATTTTTTTTTTAGTTAGGAGTTTATCTGACTTGACTATTCCACAACCTGTCCTCTTCTTGATTTTGTGCACCAGGTGTTTTATCTCTGGTCACCTTGGTTCCTGTCCTCTGGCTGTGAACAACTAGGGCACAGAAACATGTGCTCCAGAAGCTCAGCTGCCCAATCAAGATGGACGTGGAGGATGGTGCCCAAGTGGGTGACTTACTCCGGGTCCTGCCCCAGCCAGTGATGTAGCAGGGGCTGTTGTTGGGCAGGATGGCGCCCTCCGTTGGCAGAACACCCAGCTGCACGTAGCTGTTGAGGGTAACACTCTGCGATAGGCGCAGGAGGGCGATGTCATATCTGCAGGAGCAAAGGAAACTGCTTACTGGCTGGTATCAGGCCTGCCAGGGGCAGCCCTTGTTAAGTCTTTGTGTCCCCAAAGAACTATAAACCTTGACTTTGAAGGAGGAAGGCACTGATTTGCTGAGCCTCCAACTCGAGGCATTGCATTTGGATTGCAAGACATTATATGTTTAACAGCACCACCTGCTGGGCTCTTGACATTGAACCTGGCTCTGATCTCTGCAACCCAGAAAGGCGTGGAGCTCGTGTTTCTGTGGTGAATGCGGATTCATAAAGGAGCAGTGTGGTGTGATCACGGGAACAGAGCAGAGTTCTCAAAGAAGAAAGGTGTAAAATGCTGCATGGTTCTGAAAACTGCAGAAAGAGCCCTATAAGTTGAACCTACCCCCACTCCCACCCTCTACACAACACACCACCATTTTAACTATTTCCTTTCCCAGGGTTTATAGCTAAGCATGGCAGGAGTTGTCTCAAGTAAGGTTCACCTTAAGAAATTTACTTTTGTTGATGGGATCTAGTCCATAAAATGAATAAACAACAACAACAAAGTGCAAGAAATAGTAAACCCTGCAGAGGCGCTTCAGTGGATCCACCCATGCAAACCAGACAATATCAAATCAATTCCAAAGATCTTTGAAGCTTCTCAAGTTCTCCAAAATCTAAATCCTCAAAGATCTATTTGATAAATGGGATGGAAGCAATCACCCGGCTGCTGGCTGGCCCGCCCCACCTCGTCTGAGGCCAGCCCCACCTTGCCCCTACCCGGCGGCCACGTTGTTGCTGTTCCAGTATGGGTGCACCACGATCCGCTGCACACTCACGTACTGCTCCGTGCCGTCGTTCTGGCTCAGGCTGTGGTCTCCAACCACCACACGGAAGGTCATTTGGCTAGAGTGAGAGAAGGAAGCCCTGGTGCTTCAGGAGCCATAAACCATTCTTGCCCTTAGAGAAAAGTTGGGAGGCCATCTTAACATCTCATCTTTAGGGCTGGAGCCCATTATGTGGCCCAGGCAGAGTCAGGAGGAAAGACCCCAAGAGATGAGGAAGCAAGAAACTCTCTCATTCCCTAATTGCTAACTTGAGGGAGTAAGAAAAGCTACCATCAACTTCATTTTCCCAGTTAATGAAGCTAAACATCATAGGCTAAATAATCTCAACCTGGGAGACGTGGGGTGAACATAAGCGAAATAAAGGATGTCGGCCCACAAAGGGATTTGGAGGGAAGTGTAAATATCTAAACCAGGGGTTCTTTTTTTTTTTTTTAAGATTTATTTATTTATGCATACAAGAGCTGGAGTGCAGGCCAGAGATGCAGGGCGTGAGAGGATTCACTAGAGACAGAGTGGGGAATAGAACAGCCAGACTGACTGAAATACACTGATGAGGGGAGCAGCGGGTGCAATAGGAGAGGGCTGCTGCACCATGTGGGTTGCTCCCTGGCTGGCTGGGGATCAAACTCGTGCTGCAGAGGCTGTGGATTGTTTCATAATGCAGTGCTTAACCCCTTGCACCACCAGGGAGGTCCTAAACCAGTGGTTCTTAAAGCATAGGCCCTGGGCCAACAGCACCAGCATAGTCTGAAAATTTGTTAGAAATGCAGATTATCAGGCATCAACCTGAACCCCAAATTAGAAACTCTGTTCAGTGGGGGGTCCAGCAGTCTGCCCTTCAAGAGATTCGGATACATGCACACGTTGGAGAACCATTGTTCAGGACAAATATGAAATGGTCACCAGCCAGGCATTGACTAGGTGCTTAAATATTTACCCACCTAATCTTCACAAGAACTCTACAAAGTAGGTATTATTGTCCCATTTTAGAGATAAGAGAACATACATACATATGTAGCTAGAAGAAGGTAGAATAGAATCTGAACCCAAGCTAGACTGACTCTAAAATCTGTACTTGTCATTATATTCTACTACCTCCCCCCAGCGCCCTGCAGGCACCAGTTAAAGTCTTGCCCTGAGAGACCAAAGGTAGTATCCCTCCAGGAAGTCTAGACTTGCCCCCCCCACCCCCCCCCCCCCCCCGCTCCAAGAAATCAGCAAAACTGGGTTTTGTTTTTCTCACCTGTCCACACAGTGAGCAGCGGTCATCACCCAGTTCTGCCTGATGAGGGTCCCTCCACAGGTGTGATACCAGTTACCTCCGGACAGGTATTGGAGGGAGATCTAGGCGGGGAGGGAAAAATGGAGAGGAGTTGCTGTTTCTTAAAAGGCTTTGTCCCAAAAGACGTTACTCTTTAAATTCCTGCCATCCCTCAAAACATTCTCCAACTTTCTGGACCAGAGGTGGCAAATGGACTCCATTTGACCTGTCAGTTGCATAGTTGGTAGCGGTAAGAAGGGGTGTGGGGTGAGCAGGAAGGCGTCTCCATGTGTGGTGATGCTGGCTGTGTCCCTGGGGTGAAGGCACACGCCACGTGAGGGGTCTCCCTTCTCTGGGCTGTTGCAAAGGGCCTCGAACTCAGGCTTCTCCCGCCACCCCTCCTTGGGCAGGACATTTAGCCCTGGGATTGCTGTATTGCCTAAGCCCCATAAGCTCAGGTTCCCAGAGCTCCCCCTCTAATATTTTCAAGACACACCTGTTCCCCCACTTCAAAGAATAGCAGAAATTCTATTAGAATGCTGATTTGTGTCAGTTCACGTCTCCCACAGAACCCATATTACACAATAGGTCTACTCCTGGAAATTAGGGCTCAAACTTTTGTGAGTTGAATTTATTACTAATTGCAACAATTCCTCTCAGTGTGGCTATTTGCCCCTTAATTTGTCAGTTTCATAACGTTAGAATTGCTTGATTTAGAGTTTAACTGCCATGTGCACGCTGTGTGTGTGTGTGTGTGTGTGTGTGTGTGAGAGAGAGAGAGAGAGAGAGAGAGAGAGAGCGCACACGCGAGAGAAAGAAATTACGTGGAGGCTGATGGGGGTCTGGCAGCCTTGCTGCTGGGGGACACTGGAGATGTGGTTTGTGCTTGGGTGCGTGCCTGGGGAAGTGAGTACTGTGGGTGTGTAAATCCCATTTTAGAAAACCCACCTAAGCCCGGTCCGATCCATCTGTAAAGTCTAGAATTCAGGCAGTTGCCTGCCGACAAGGACACGCACAAACACATAACATCACACACCCGCACACGGCACCTGCCACTTGGGTGGGACTGGGCAGCACAGGAGCACCCACCTGCGAGGGCCAGGAGTTCCTCCGGGCCTCAACCCCTCCGACAACCCGGGCGTTGGTTTCGGGGAAGTCCTCGCTGCTGTGTCCTTTGTAGAGCAAAAGAGAAGCGGGTGATGACTAAGCATGGGGTCAGCTGGGGGTGGTGTCTTTCCATTAAGGGGGAGATGGGGAAGCTGAGGCCCCAGAAAAGGCCTCTCTTGTGGACCAGGGACCGGCCACCCGCAGGGGCCTGCATGGAGAGTAGCTCTGACCTTTCCTGTCACGGGTTCCAGAGAGGAAAGATTTTGCTAGACTCACAGGGGAGTGCCCCACCTGCCCGGGATACAGAGCAGGCCAGGGCTCAGGGCATAACCTTTGACTCCCCTGCCCCACCTCCCCTCCCTATAGGATTCGGGCCAGACCACCAACCGGCTTACCATAAAGGACCAGGGTTGCAAACACCAGGAAGCGCAGCATGTTAACAGCAGAACAGACCACTGCCCTCTTGCATGAACCAAACGCTCTTTATACGCCTCTTATCAGGTGCTTTGCTACCCTTCTTCCTGCCAGTTGGCAGGGCTGTGGCAGGGAAAATCACAGGTGACATGGAAATACAAATGAAAAGATTTCTTTTCAAGTAAACGAATTTATCTGTTGTTCAAAGACAGAACAAGGTCAGGGCTCAATTAATCATCTGCTTTCAGTTGAAAAAGATCTAACGAACTTTCGGAAGTAAGACAACCAGGACTGGCTTTCCCCTCGGCACGCTCCCCTTACACTCAGTGTTGCCTTGCGTCCTCCGTGGCCCTGGAAGTGCAGAGACCGCCCTGTGCCCGGAGGGTGGGGGGTGGCGGGGAGAAGAGACAGAGACATCTCCGGACCCAAGGAGGCAGCAGGACTGGAAGGACACAGACACAGGTGTTAATCAGGGAAACAAAAGCAAGGTAGGGGCGGTGGGGAAATTCTGGCAGAGGAGGGTGCAAAGGAATGGATTGAGGGAAACCAGAGAAGGAGTGGCTGTGGGTGGTGACAAGAGGGAGCCTCCCTGGAGGCGCAGGGGCTGAAGACAGTGCTATCAAGCTAGCACCAGCCACTGCAACACGAGTTTGATCCCTGGCTGGTCAGGGAGCTACCCACATGGTGCAGCAGACCTCTCCTGACGCGCCCACCGCTCCCCTCAGCAGTGTATTTCAGTCTTCCACTTGTTCTGTTCCCCTCTCTGGTGAATCCTCTCACTCCCTGCACCTCTGACTTACACCCCAGTTCTTGTATGCATAAATAAATAAATCTTAAAAAAAAAAAGAGGGAAATCAAGGGTGAGAGTGTGGATAAGGGGAGGTGAGGAGCAGGCATGTCCTCCTTCCGTCAGAGGAAGGAGGTGCGATGCTTCAAGGTGGGCAGACGGCGGTGGGGTGGGAGCCCCAGAGCAGAGGACTATGGGTGGAGGGTGATTCAGGCAGGAGAAGCCGGGCTGCCTGGAGGGAGCCAGGAAAGTCCCATGGCCCACCTGGGGCCTTTTGTTGCCTAGATGCCCTGAAAGTTAACTTTCACGCCTGCAGCTGTGGAGAGGCCAGGACAAGGCGATTGTTCTTTTCAGGTCCTTGAGCTGTTCAGGGCTCAATAAGATGCTGGGGTAACCTGGAGGGCCTTTGGCAATCCAAACCTGAGCATTCCGACTCCAGACAGACCTCGGGAAAGAGGGCCGAGCCAGGCCGGAGAACCAGGGCCTGTTGTCATTCCCTTCTACCTCTCTGCCTCCCTGGAGAGTCAGGAGACGGCGCCAGCCCCAGCACAGTGTCTCGGAGGAGGCTTGAGGACCTTCTCCGGGCACCCCTTGACATCACATACTCTGGAGTGAGGCTTTGAGGGCAGGGCCAAGATCACCTCCATCTCTGTACCCTTGGCCTAGCCCAGAGAAGCCCAATCTGTATTTACTCAAGAACCAAACTCTGGGACCACTGGGGCCTCATCTATATGTCCAGCCTCACCCCCATGCTGGGCAGACTCTTCTTCTCACTTTTGGGGTTAAGTGGAGGCAGTGACTTTTGAGGTGTTGCATTTCTTCTGCATAAACTGTTCTAGGTCTGGAAATTCATCCTTTTGAGCTAACCATGGGCACAAAAATTAAAGTACAAGGATGTGGATTACAGTAAAGGTGTCACCGGCCTGTCTCTGTGTGTGTGTTCACAGAGAAGAGGTGTGGGGGGCTCTGCTGCTGTAGAGTTATTACTTCTAGAGACGACATGGGACATCATGGGATGAACTTCACCTTGAAACTCACATTTTTCTGTGTTATTTGAACTCTCCACAGTATTATAGCTGTAATTAAAAGTAAGCAAATTTCCAAGAAAGTTCCACTATCCCCAGATCCCCAACTGTGGTCTTCCTCATGGCTACCTGGCTCTGTTGCTCAAGCCTTTAAGAAGACCAGGATAAAAAATAAAAATAATGAGACAAAATAAAAATAAGTAAAGATGAAATTCTGAGTCATCTAAGTGTTTTTTGGCGATGCTGCCAATACTGTTTAAACGAGAAGCAGAGCCCCAGAGGGGACCAGTCGCTCCGTGCTAAGGCGAGAGGCTCGTGGGCCAGCAGCCAGCACAGAAGCAGCATCAAGGCTAAAGTGTTAAGCAAATGTTTATGGCTCTGGGTCAGCTCTGAGAATGGTCGGGATGGATTTGAAGGCAGAGCACAGGTGTTGGATTGGGGTGAGGCTGTCCTTGGCTAAGCCAAGGCATGAGGCTGGTTTCCTGAGCCCCCGCATTCCCCCGGCCAGTGTCCTCCCCTCTTCTGACTGCGTCCCTTCCCTGGTCACCCCTTACCCGCCCCCAGCCTGGGCCTGCGCCTCTCACTCCCTGAGAGTCACACTCAGGGACCTCGTGCGCGCGGGAGGCTGTGCTGTTTTGGGGTAGGTGAGTGCGCGTAGCATAAGGCTGGGCGGGAGAGTGCAGCGATACTGTAGACAGCATGAGAGCTCTTGGAGTAAACGACGAAAAGTCCATGCCCGATAAACGTTTAGATATTTAATGCAATCAAAAGTAGGGCTGGGAATCACGGGGGACTGTGGTTCCCTACGGCATTCCCAGCCTTCCCAACTAGACTCCAACCCTCGGGGCCAACTAAGCCACAGGCACGACAGGTGCCCTGCCTATTGCCTATGGTACTTTTGTTATGGAGACCACCCTGTTACACTTTCAGGGCCCACAGACACGTTTTAGTCTCCTTTACGATCATAAGAAATAAAGTAAATGTAATCAGCCTAGATTATATTAATCTTTATCCTAACACAGTTGCAAGACCTAATTTTTAAATGTATTTTTATGGAGCAAGGGTTCCATGAAGGCAAAATTGCCCAGGGCCCCTCAAAGGCGTCAGCTTATAGCCTGTGGCTGCCTCACCCTGCCGGCCTAGTGTGGCCCCTCCGTGACTTTTCTCACAGAAAAGCATTGCTTGTGCGAGATCTTTGCTTATGGAGCCCTTTCCACTTGACTCATCCTTTGAGGGCTAAGGTCAAATGTCGCCCTCTTAATGAGGCCTTCCCTGAAAGAACCAGCCCTAACAAGCCCCGCAGGCTTGTCAGGACTGCCTCACACCTCTGTTTTCCCAGCTAGAGTGTGAGCTCCACGGGGGAGGACCCTCACCTTACACCTCTTCTCGGTGCTTCAAACACCAGAGACTGGGGACGAGACTAGGCCTAGAGGGTTTGGGGGACAGTTTGGCTGTGACAGAGCTTTTCAGATGTTTGTGATTCTGAATCAACTGAGTCTCCAGATGGAGCAGCTAAGGGTCAGGAGGAAACCAACGCAGATATTTACCACTGCCATAAACCTTTATTTACTGCCACTGGGCTTTTGTGTCCAACGTTCTTCTCTTTCTGGGAAAGAACTTTTCCTTTTCTTGCTTTGGGACCCATCCTGGTCGCTGCCTCCTCTCCTGTTGTGGGGCGGGCGTGGGGTTACCCCAGGATGTTTTGGCTACAGGGCCCCAGGCCCTCAGGGAGCCAGCGCAGAGCAGTGTTGCTGCGGACAGAGGGCCGCTGTGGTCCCCTGGCCCCCTCGTGTGGTGACGCCCAGGATGACAACCTGCTCCCGCAGCCAGATGCCTTCCTGGAAGGGTGGGAGTCCCCTGGGCAGCTGGTTCCCAGATCCAGGCACAGCAGCCCTGTGTGGTGGGGTCCACCTTGCTTGGAGCGGAGCTGGCAAACATGTGGGGTTTGCAGCACGCGGGCGCCTTGCGCAGACAGCAGGAGAGGCCACCGCGTCCCTTCTCCCTCCGGCATCCCAGGCTCTTCTTTGCCTGAGCTGCGTCCTGGTTTCGGGACAGCCAATTCCTTGCTGTGGGCACTTGGACAGATCACTTCACTGATCTTACTTCACTCACTTTCATAATGTGAAAGACAGCGATGGACTAAAGCAACGGTTTTCAAATTGTGCTCACAGACCTTCAGGCTTTTCGGGGGCCGCTGGGCACTGTGCTTCCCACCCTGCTGTCACCGGAGCTTACCCTGTCCGCATCCGTAGTACATGTGTGCCAGTGGAAAGGGGTTCCGGCTCAGCACACGTTCCCATAGCCCCAGGTCCCAAATGTGGTCTCCCGCCTGGCTCCCTGGCTCCACTGTTGAGGCTTTATGGAGACCAGCCAACCAGGAATGCCGAGGGTGGTGGGAAGGCGACGGCTGGCGTCTAGTGTTCTGCTGGTGTGGCGGAAGGAGCCCCGGCTCAGTGTGCAACTTGGGCCTCCGTCTTGGCTCCTGCCATCCACTAGCTGTGGGACGATAAGCAAACCCTTTATCTCTCTCTGGCTCAGTTTTCTTATCTGTAAACTGGGTTTTCAGTTCTATCTTTCTGTTGTGGAGATGAAGTGAGATAAAGGATTCCTGTCAAGGCACTTTCTGTAAACTGGTAAAGTGTAAATTAATCTCCAGGTAATATCAGCAAGGGAGACTCGCAGACCCTAATCCCTCGGGCAGAATACACTATTCCACTAGATTCCGTGGGTGCTCTAGGCCACTGGGGATTCAGGACGTGGCTGCAGATGTTGTTTTCTTGAGTTCAGCATCGCTGCCCTGGGCCCTTCCCCAGCCGCCATCTCTACTTTGGAAGTCTCTATTTCTAGGACAGAAGGAAGGCTCCCGGCCAAGAATTATGTGTTCTGATGAAGCCTGCCATCAGTGTGGAGGAAAGAAAACGGACCTAATGTGATTGCAAGGAGTAGGTAGGTCCTGCCTTGACAATCATTGAATTTAGAAATCAGTATTTCAGGCCTCCGCAGCTGCTGCTGCCTGTGGCCTAGACGAAGAGCCAGTGCTGTTGGGAGTCACTGGGGCTGCAGGGGGCCATGGCCGGCGTCTTGTTCGCAGATGTCAGGCAGGTGCCGGATCCTGTGTTCCTGAAGAGCTGGTCCTAAAAGATGGTACAGTAAAAGGTCGACCTGAGCCTCAGACGACTCATAAAGCAGTGAGATGGGGGTGATAGGGAAGGGGCAAGGAACTCAATAAGACACAAAGAGAACACTTCCGAAGTCCTCTCTTTAGATGCCAGACACTCTGACGGGCGCCCTCCTGAGTGCCCACCTGTGTCCACTGGAATACTGACCGCCCCACCCGCAACTTTAGTCTGAGTGGCTGCTATAGAAGAAAACAGGGTGATGGGCTAACTGGAAAATGCTTTCAGGGCCCCTTTCCTGGAGACAGCCAGCCTTCAAATCCCGGGCCCCAGCTGCTGCCCACCCCCACTGACTGCCTTTGATCATATCTAGACTCTTCTCTCCCCTGTGACCCTAAGATTAGGCCCCTCTTCCCCTAAGCCAGGGACTGGGGTTGGGTCAGAGCGGGGTGTGGTGGCTTGGGGGTGCTCAATTGGGCCAAGTACTGCAAGGGTCACATCACTTATCTGAGGCAGTGATGCTTTCAAGTCAGACGTATGTAGGCCGGCACCCCAGGCCGCCACTCGCGAGCGATGGCCCATAGACTTGCTGGGCTTCAGCCGGCTCATCTACAGAACCGAGGACACACTTGGGAAGAGCTTATGAAAGATCAATCCAACCAATATCTGTGGGTACACAGCTTCATGCTTGGCACACTGAGGGCAGCAAGGAACCTGCTCTCTGTGACTCCTCATCTTCTATTTATGAGCTGCCATGGACCATGCCCAGCCCCATCTTTGTATCAGCCAGTTGCCCCCAAATGCTGCTTGGTTGAGCCCCGAGAACCCTGTCTGTGACCGAGTCCACACTCCTTTCACCATTGCCCTGGTCTGCCCGGGGCTTCTCAGGCAGAAGATGCAGAAAATAAAGAGGGGGCTCAGCGGTAGCCTCAGGTTCTTGCTTCTGAGCTTTCTGGGCAGCTGACTCACCTGGGTCAATTCCCATTCCTCGTCCTTGGAGACTTGGCTGTTCCTGCCAGTGAAGTGGCAGCTCCTAAGGCCCAGGCTGGTGGCGCTGGCGTATAGACACAGCTGCTTCGCGATGTTGTGGCGAAGTTCCCTCTGGCTTGTGTACTCAAAGTACTAGAGGTCAAGACAAGAGAGATACTGAGGGGCAGGTGGAGAGTTTGCCCAAAGCCCTCTGCCCCGAGGTGCCAACCGTAGGTGGCCTCTGGGGGAAAAGTGAGCAGTCCCAAGGGAGTCACGTCCAGATGCCAGCAATTTCGATGCCTCCTGTGTGGTTTTGACCGTGTCTGGGCTAGCCTGGATAATAGTTCCTATCTTTTTCTGTAATGAAAGATTAAACTTTAGCCACCTCAATTTAAGCATTGTCTGTGAAATCATGTGTTTGATATGCTAGTTGGCTTTTTCTTTTGCTACTAGATTACTATTAAGATAAAAATATTCATCAATGTGCCTAAGGTCGAGGCCATGGGACAGGGAAGAGCTTTAGACTGACTTGGTCTTCATTTGCATATGGCGCCTGTTCCATGGTCCTTGCCACCCCTGCTGTCTCAGGCGCCTCTTAGCTACCAAACATTGGGGATTCAAGGTAGATTAAGGGACTCCAGTTCATCCTCAGGGAAGAGTTGGGGCACTATAAGCATGGAGTAAATTCCCAGGATGTCAGAGGGTGGTTGTTTTGGGGTCACTGCTGCCTGTGAGGACCAGAATGGTAGCTTCTAGGCAGCAGAAGCATTTGAGGATACAAGCTGAGTACGACAGAAAGTGTTCAAAACGTTCCCACCGTCACCCTAAAACCCCACTCAGTGGCTGGAGAGCCTTCCCTATGTACACTCCCCCTACCCACTCCTTCTCCAGAGTGCAGCGCTGACCCCCAGCATGCCCTGGATGTCCCTACTTCAGAGTGCAGTCCTCGTCTGTCTGTGTTATGCATCCCTCTCAGCCTGGAAGCTTTCTGAGGACAGGGATGGTAACTCCCTCCCGCTCTGCGGCCTTCTCCAGCCCCCACCACGACCCCGTCAAGGGCTGTTTGAGTGGAGAACGGGGCCTGGGAAGACAGGAGGTGCCCAGAGGTAGGTTTCTCTCGGGTCTGCCCCAGTGTTGGGTTCATACCTGGTTGCCCCCCAGGCCGTGGCAGACGTACATGATGAGTGGCTTCCCTCCATGGTTGTTCTCTCCCACATCCAGGCATTGATCCATGCCCAGGTTCTTGATCTGCAGAATGGGGAGCAGAGGGGGAACCAGGAAGGCACCGTCAGGGTATTTTAGTTTGTGATGTAGGACCCAAGGGGAATCTGCACACTGGACTCCAAGCTGATTTTTCTCCTCTGCTCATTTCTCCCTCATTAACTCAGAGGCCTGGAGTTAATAGCAAAGTAAGGTGCAGAGCCCAGAGGCTGGACAAAGGTTGGATGGGCAACCTCCCGGACTGCCAGGTCTCTAAGAAAAGCCTTTAGCACATGAGAATTTCCTTAGAAGTAAAGGCTCAAAATATTACCCTGGGACTTGTTTGAAATGCAAATTTTCAGGCCCCGTCCCAGTCCTACTAAATCAGCAGGATGTGTGTTAACAACATCTGTCAGGCGATTTTTATGCAGGTTGTTATTTGAGAACCACTGCTTACGGCTGTTTTCCCTTTAGAAGGTTTTTAGCTATCTTTGGGCCTCTCAGTCCTATTGGATCAGAGTGTGGAGAGTAAAAACTGATTCCTGCTCATCACTGCTTCAGGGGTAAGTAGTCCTGAACGTCTCTGGCGGGGAGGGGTGGTGATATCTGGGTAGGCGAGTTGGTTCCCAAGACTCACAGCTCCAGAGAAGGTGGGCTTCAGGTCAGGAATGAACATCTCTGGGTAGATGTTGTTCAGGTACCAGGAGAAGTTGTGGCAGTGCAGTTGTTCCCTCAGCTGGAGTCGTTCCGAAATGTCACCGAAGGATTTCTGTCAATCAAGTCAGCCCCCAAGGTCAGTTCCAGCAGCCTTGGCCTTCTTGCCTGGGTGACAGCCCATTTAGCACGGAGTTTCCTGGGGGCCATTTCTCCCAGAATGGGGTTTATGCACATTCCTGCTCAGGGCATGTTGGGGTTCTCTACTGCCTCAGTCTCATGCAATCCCAGCCCTGCCTTTGGGATCCCCATCCTTGGCCTCCTATTCCTCCTCCTGTGACTTTCCAGTGAGTTTTCTACCAGTGCCCATTTCTGAACTTCTCAAGGCAAAGCTGATCCTCCTGTAAGAAGTTCTTCCCCCAAATCCCCCTCCCTCTTCCTCCCTCCTAAAAGATGCTGAGAAGCTCTGGGTAGGGATGGCAAAGGCTCCTCTCCTCATGCTCTAATCTTCAAAGTCTAGCCTCCGTGGTCTCCAGCTCACAGGGTGTGAGGGTCAAAGGGCTGCAGCAGCTGGTGGAGATGGGTGGCCTCTACCCATGAAGTCCTTGACTAGGGCCTGGGATTTATACTTTTCTTCACCCAACACCTCCTGAGCACCATGTTCTCTTACCTCTTTGGCCATCTTTGCTGCCTGCAGATTTCTCCGGTAGAAAATCTCCTTGTAGTCATCCATCCAGACCTCAGCCAGGCGAACTTGGTTGCGAGTAATGACTTCGGTGCCCTTGGGGAAGGTGTGGGGGCTCTTGGTACGGAACACATGGCCCACCACAGAGCAGGGGATGATCTCCAGCTGGCCCCCACACTGCCACACCTGCCATGAGAGCACAAGGATGGGGCTTTCAGGGGCTGGGTGGGACAAACTCCCCCAAGCAGCTCCGTTCTATCTCCAGGAGCCAGACCCCAGATTGAAGGGCCCAGGGAAGTGCAGCTTTCTCTCCCTGGAGAAAAGAGCTTCGACCAGACCTCTTTCTAGCTGTGCCTATATAATTCTTAGCCTTCTCATGTTGGTTCACTCTGACTTAAGACCCTGAAATATGCAGGATTCTGGGGCTTACCGGCTCAATTTAGAGAAAGGACAGTTGGCCAAATTTGTATTCACGCAACCAAAGTTCTGGTTGTTTGGCCTTCTGACCTGGAAATGTGATTTTATCAGTTCACCAGGTGTTACTGGAAACTCAAGTTCCGCTGAGTCAAAACAGACGTGTGACCCAGTCAGGACATCAGTGCATCAATTAAAGGCAAGGAGAGTCAACTGCCAGCTGCCTGTGGAGGTCACCTGGGCCTTTCGCACATGAGCTTCTGAAAGAGAGACTGAACAGAGGTCAGGGGCCCTGGATGAGCCTAGAGTCAGAACCCTGGGAGTTACAGTGACTGAGTTCATGACCCTTCTCTCTGCCAGTGGGCTGGATTAAATCATTTCTCTCACTTGTGTCTTCTCTGTTTAGGTTTTCGAGCAGGAGGTGTGCTGTTATTTATTTTAGTATAGCAGCAATGCAAATCTATAACCACAGTCATAGTAACAGCAGGTATTGTTGATGTGCTTAATATGTGCCGGGAACTGTCAGAGTTGACTTCATGAATGAGCTCACTTCCTTACTAATTACTTCCTCACTGGACTTGTGTAGATTTCATGGAGAGGTGATGCTTCCTTCCTAACCCAATCCTGATTTGCCTAATTGCTGGAATCCCTCTGAGTTCGGGGGTCTTAAAGAATTTGGGAAACCCTCTTCTCATACAGTTATGAACTTGCTGGGCACAGGATAGGCCACTGGAGCACGTGCCCTCTGACCTGGAAAGAAGAGCCAGATTTTTCCAGAAAAAGGATAGTGATTGCTTATTGACCTGTGCCCTCTGTACCCTCACTCCTTCCTCATCGGCATCATGAAAGCTGTCACCAGTCCTCAGATATCCGTCCCTGTCAACCCTGTTATCTCTGCCCTCTGGGAAGTTCTGCCCGTCATGTTTTTCAATTTGTCCAATCTGATGCCCAAAACCCTACTGTTGTGGACAGGGAGGAGAGCAGAGAAAAGGCGGCGTCGGGACAGGAAACAGCTGCCCTTTAAAGCTCAGAGCCAGGCGTGACACCTCTGAGACTGTCACTCCTAGGAGGCAGGCTCTCAGGTGGTCCCCGGGATGTTGTGGTTCCCCCACGAAGCCCTCTTCACTCTCACCCGGAAGGACATTTCCACGTTCTCCCCTCCCCAGATCTCCATCTGATTATCATAGGTACCGATGTGCTCAAAGTAGGACTTGGAGATGGAGAAGAGGCCACCAGCAAACGTCGGGGATCTGGAGAGACAGAGGGAGAAGCATGTGCATCTTCTGGGGGAAGAGAACAGGGCCAGGTGGGGAGAGCGCTGCTACCCCCCTCCCTCCTTCCTTCCGCTTTCCCGGGATACGCACCTCTGCACAGCTAACACTCATTCAGCAAAGGTTTATCATCCCCTCTGCTCTCGTCACCTTTCGGGACCAGGCCAAGGAGAGAGAGAATGATCATCACTCACCTCTAAAAGGTGCTCATTCATTCCCCGAACCAAGAATGCATTCAACATCAGCCACCAGAGCCTGTGCTATATGTCAGGCAGAACAAGAAAGACCCCATTTTCCGAGCACTCAGCCCCGTAGCAGAGGGCAGCAAAGCCACCGCCTGCTTTCTGGCCGCAGTTCCTGGAGCACACGAGGCGCACGGCTGCTAGCTGTCATGTGACACAGCCGCTCAAACCAGGATTGAACGAGTATCATCAGCTCAACTGACCCCATTCAGTTTCAGAGTCTCTGGCCCTTCAGAGCCTAAAAAGCCAGTTTTAGTGGAACCTGGCCCAGGTGCTCAATCCTATATGAGAAACTGCAGCTTTGGGGAAACGCTGTCAGTTACCCTGAACAGAGGAAACTGAGGAGGTGTTTCTGGAATCAGAACAGGATGTAAGGTAAAATCAAGCTCAGCTTTGCTTGAAGGGAGATGACAAAGAGGTCCTGGTTTTCAGACTAGGGCAGAGAGGCAGGGGCCAGGTCACAATAAAGTGACAAAGACATCTCATTCCTAGAATTTAGATACCACCTTGCTGCTAAGAGGGCCATAGCTAAGGGCTGAAGGCAGCGTGGGCGCTGGGGAGACAAGGGCCGGGCATGTACATGATCTTAGCTCTTGGCCTCTGCGCCAGGCCAGCACCACGGGCTCTGCTGTCTCAGTGGCAGCACCACGTGGCACAACCATGCAGAAAGGAGCGAGAGCTCTGCAGCCCAGAACTGGAAGGTGCTTTGCACACACTGGGTGCCTCTGTCTCTGGGCCACACAGGAGTCCGACCTTGGTGTTACCAGGAGGCTTCTCTTGAGGTTGGCTCCTATAGCCCTTTTCTGGAAGGACTTTCAGTCAGGAAACCCGTACGCTGTTGTTCTGGCCTCTTGCAGGGGTTCTAAGCCAGCTCAAGTGAGGCCAGGAAGAAAGACTGTCCAGGGACTCTCGCTGAGCACTCTGGAGCTAACCTGCTTCTTCTGGAGGGTCTCCTGGACCTGGGCCTGCCTCTCGGTTTTATGAGTTCTCCCCAGGGGAGAAGTCACAGATGATAAAACCTCTAGGCGGACCTCACTGCAGTCCCAGGACCAACAGCCAACCTCTGGAAGCTGCCGGTATTTCCTGGCTTACTTCTAGGCTCCCCTGGGCCCTTTACCTTCCCTCTTAGCTGCCTGCAAGTGAGAGCAAAGGGCACTAGCTGCGGCTGCTGGTGTGATGTGCCTCCAGCAAGCCGAGCACGTCACGAGGGCATTTGGACCAGGGAGCAAATTCACTCCTCAGACACTGGCACTTAGTCTCCCAGTGCGTGGACCCTGGATACGGACGTCAGTGATGGGCGGCGAATAGTAGCTCGTCCCTGACTGTGCCACTGTGTACTTGGGCCCCCACTTGCAGGAAGGGGGCTTTATCACTGCACCTACCAAACAAAGGACATCTATGAAACTCCTGTAGCAGAGCGTCAACAGGGAGAGCCAACTTCTTTTCTTTCTTCTGCCTTCTCTGTTCCCCTGCCCCCCTTCTGTTGCTTCTTTTACTCCTGATGGAGAAGGAAGAGCAGCTGGCTGTTCAGGCTCCATGGGGTTCCTTCTGTGGCACCCCTCAAGCCTTCTCTACTCAGACTCCTTGGTGTTTCTTAGGATTTAGGCATGCGGAGGGTGAGTCACTCAACTCTTTCCTCCATTCAAACCTTCTCTCTTCCCTCTGTTCAGTGTACCCCAGCTTCTGCTTCCCGCCATCTCTGATGGGTATTCAGTTGATCTGCAAGTTTCCTTGCCAGTACAGATAATCCCAAACCCTAGGATGCCCCCAAAGTCTCTCCCTAATGTGGTTCTACTGAGACAGAGGTTAAAATAAATTTGTGGTCCCTAACAGCTCCAACAGGCAATCTGGAAAGGAAAGGCCAGGTTGGACTCATGAGGGGATGGCAGAGCCAGCTAGGCATTAAACAGAGTCAGCTTTTAAGTGCCCATCCCATAGCTCAGGGTTGGCAAGCTAGGAACTATGGCCCAGATCTGGCCGGGTTCTGTATGGCTCTGATGCAAAGAATGATTCTTATATTTTAAAGGGTTCTTTAAAAAAAAAAAAAGCAAGGAATAATAGGCAATGGACTATGCATTTGGCCAAACCTAAAATATTTACTCTCTGGGCCTTTACTGGAAAAAGTCAGGGCAACTGCAACAAACTGCAAACCACAGGGACCTGTCTTCGTTTAATAGGTTTTGTCTTTTCAAAGACAGTGGCCTGGCATCAAAGACATCTTTACAGACACATCACCCAAAGCAGTGATAGTGAAGAGAAAGATAAACAGCTGGGACTACATCAAATTAAAGAGCTTCTGCACAGCAAAAGAGACAATAACAAAAACAAAGAGAAACCCCACCAACTGGGAGAACATTTTTGCACACAACACTAATGATAAAGGACTGATCACAAAAATCTGCAAAGAGCTGATGAGACTCAGCAACAACAAAGAAAATAATCCAGTCAAAAAATGGGCAGAAGAGCTAAAAAGAAACTTCTCTGAAGAGGAAATGCAAATGGCCAACAGACATATGAAAAAATGTTCAACATCACTTGTAATCAGGGAAATGCAAATCAAAACTACCATGAGATACCATCTCACACCAGTGAGAATGGCACATATTAAAAAAACTAGCAACAACAAATGTTGGCGAGGATGTGGAGAAAAAGGAACTCTTGTGCACTGTTGGTGGGAGTGCAAACTGGTCCAACCACTATGGAGAGCTGTGTGGAGATTTCTGGACCTACTAAACATAGAGCTTCCATATGATCCAGCAATTCCACTCCTAGGTATTTACCCAAAGGACACAGAAACATCAATTCCAAAGAGCACCTGCACCCCTATGTTTATAGCAGCACTGTTTACAATAGCTAAGCTTTGGAAACAACCCAAATGCCCAAAAATAGATGACTGGATCAAGAAGATGTGGTACATATATACCATGGAATATTACTCAGCATTCAAAAAAGATAAACACATGCAATTTGCAGCAACATGGATGGCACTGGAAGGGATCATGCTCAGCGAAATAAGCCAAAAAGAAAAAGAAAAATACCGGATGGTCTCACTCATAGCAGGAATCTAGAAAACTTAAATAAGGGACCAGGAAAATGAATATAAGAAAGTGAAAATCAAAATCAACAAAAAAACTATGAACCAGAGACACTTTTTGGGGGTGGGGGGGGGCGGGAGGGGAAGGATTGGGGTCAGAATGGGGCGTTTGCAATTGTATGGGGGAATATAAAAATAAAATTTAATATTTAAAAAAAAAAAAAAAAAAAAAAATGTGATTAATTGCTATGAATGAATTAAAGTTAAAAAAAAAAAAAAAAGACAGTGGCCTGGGAGCATGCACCACCCCTTCTTATTATGATGGCTCTTCAACCAGGGCCTCTACCGCCATCTCTCAGTGTCTCTGCAAGAAAGCATCAGTCATGTCCTTCTGAGGAGAGGGAGGAGTAAATAATGAGATCAAGCACGTAAGGGATCTCCCTTCGTCCAGCGCTGGGCAGTTAGTGCTGAAGAAGAGCAAGAGGTGATGGTGGGAGGACAGGCCTGGAACAGACAGGCCGGGTGGGCAACCTTCTCTGCCATTTCTGGCTGCATCATCAGAGGCCAGTGTGGTTTATCACCGGGAGTCTCAGTGTTCTCACCTGTCAATCAGGCTAATCCTCGCACCTACCTCACAAGACACGAGGATTAAAGAAAATATGGCAAGTGCTTGACAGAGCGCCTAATGCATGTTGACTTGACGTGACCAGGCCCCCTGGGCAGCCTGGGCTCATGGGGGCCAGGTCGGGGTCTCACCAGGTATGCTCCTTACTTGATGGGGTAGGTCTCATCCTTGCGCCTCTGCTTCTCATGCTGCGGTAGAGTCTCCCAGCCGAAGGTCAGGCTCCAGTCAAAGTTCCCACGGCTATGAACTCTGCCTCCCGGGACAGGCTTGGAGAACTCAAACGTGTTAAGGTTGATGGTGACGATGTCCGGACTCACCACTGCGGTCTCATCCTCGGCGATCCGAGCCAGGAGGGGTTCCAGCCAGCCGTGGAAGCACTCGCCTGCAGGTCCCGAAGGGGAGGCATGGGTCAGGGTCCTGGCCACAGATGAGCCCGTGCCAGGGGGAGACCCAGGAGGACAAGAGGACCCTCTGCCCACTCCCTGGTTATAGGCAGACACAGGCAAGCTCCACAGCTGAAGGGAGAACAGCGTGAGCTCTTGAGACCCTCCTGCTCCCCTTCCCCAAAGGGGCAGGCAGCTTTGGAGGGGGGACCAGAGGTGTCACTCGGTCAACCCAAGTGAGCTTCTGCTTTAGCTTTTGCACAGGAAAGCATGCCCAGCAATTGTGGGGCCACCAGTTGTCAGAGGGCTGAGTGGGCCTCCTGATAAGACATGCCTGTGGCTGGAGTGGAAAAGGATACAAGGAACTGGAGGAAGTCTTGCCACCCGCCCCCCCACCCCGGATCAGCAGCTTAGGAAGGGGCCTTCGTGATGCTGTGGGACAGCTTTTCATTCTGCCAGGGAGGGGGACCAGACCACCCCAGGCCTCCCGGTGCCAGGCAGGCACTTTTTACTCACAGTGGGCATCCAGGAAGGTGAGCACCTCCGCCTGGGCCACGCTGGCCCCCAGGAGCCGGGCAGTGATCAACCCCTTCCGCTCCTGCTGCCGCACCACCCTCACCACCTGCAGCTGCTTCACGTACTGCTCCAGGTGCTCCTTCAAGTACTCTGGAAGGCACAGCATGGTCGTTGCCAGCTTACCACTGTGTGGCAGACCTAGCCCCCAGGCAGCCAGTCCCAGTGTTCTGGGGCCTCCAACAGCTCAGAGTTTTAAACCTCTTTCGCCTCCTGCACTAACCATTTCCATAGAAGCCAGAGGTGGGGGAGGCAGAGGGAGGAAGTCATCTGTGTGGTCACGCACTCCCTGCTGTCCTTTGCCAGGCCCCTGGCTCTGTAGTGCCCACCCTGGGCCTGTTTACCCAAGCACCTTCTCTATTGTCTGACACAGGAGTTAGCTTTTATTTTGGCCTCAGATAAGCGCACACTTCTGCCAAAGGCTCTCATGCCTCTCCTGTTCTCTGCACCTCTCAGCCACCATCCTCCAGCCTTGGACTCCAGCCTTCTCTCCTTGTGCTTCTGGTGGCTGCGGCAGCAATTTCTCAGCATCTGACTCCCTGTCTCCTGGCTCTGCAGACTGGTCTACTGGGCGGAGCGCACACAATGTTGCTATCTTGCTTGTTGGATCAGCAGAAAGAAGTCTTAGTCTAATCCCCTTTATTACCTCCTCTGCATATGGAATTCTTTATGAAGACGAAAAGTTGTTGAGCAGCTTTTTAATTAAATTTAAAAACATGTACCAAGCGTCTGCCAGGGAGCAGCAATTGCAGGGCAGGTGATCAGGGCCTGGTGGTGCAGGGCGGAGGGAGCCCACAGCAGGGGCAGCCGTCCTGAATTTGAGGGGCATGGGGAGCGTTCTTTGAAGAGAGGGGTCTCTGCTGAGACCCTCTAGCTCCTTCTGAGAGGGGGCTTACTTCATAAGCTGTTACTCAGTCTGAAATCCTCAGAGCATTCAGAAAGAGCTCTATTCTGAGGCCATCCACCTTGAAACATATTCTGAATCCAGTCATGTTTTATTAACTGCCATTTTGGTGTATCTGTGCCACTAAACTGATCTGCAGAATGGAGTAGCCTGTAGTTTTGGACGTGGAGGTGGAGGACAGGGAGACGGAGGAGCGTATCCTTCTCCTCTTGGGCCGAGGGATCAGCCCTGTGTTTCCGTCTTGCTTTGAACACAGAGTTACACAAACAGAAGGGCTGGAAGCAAGTCAATGGTCTCTCTGGTCTCTCACTCTCATTCATTTACACACACACTCACACCCCTCCCCCCAACCCTTGCTCCAGTACTTGAGTGCCTACTGTGTGCCAGCCACTGAACTAGGTGCTTTCATGTTGACTTTCTTATTTAATCTTCTCTACAAAGGTTAAAACACTGAAACAGGGAGTGCTGTTCCCAATACTCATGAGTCCAAAACAGGCTTCTGTGGCAGCTTTGGCCTAGCACTCCTTAGCAAACACAGTGTGTGCCCAGGTGGCAAGCACCATCCTGGGTAGGGAGGGGCCTGGCCTGGATCCTGCCTTCAAGGAGCTACCAGACTCCTGCTCCAAACACCACCCCAAGCACTGGCTCTAGCAGAAAGGAGGAGGGATCCCAACCAGAAGCCTTATCTTCTCTGGGGCTGACGTTCCTCTGAGACTCACGGGAAGTTCGTGGACAAAGTATCATAGGAAGTGGCTTTTGTGGTAAGAGACTGTGAAGCGCTGAGCCGTGAAGCCCAGCGGGGCCTGAGCTGTTCAGAGCCCTCCCCGACTTCCTTCCTGTCTCAGGTGGTTGGACCCAGCGATTCTGAGCATCAACCTCAGGCCCTTCTGGGGAGTGCCCTTAAATAAGAAGGGCCCTTAAGTAATGCTCTTCATGACAGTCCTCACTGGTCACATACACCCCGGAGAGGAGTGTGGGGACACAGACAAGCACATCCATGCTCTCTTACTTTCTCCAAAGCAGCCTCCTAATTTGGGGTCAACACCCTACTGCCCAAACCCAGCTTCTTTCCTCACACCTGGAGACTCCTGTGGCCCGCAACACTCACACCTCGCTCAGTCCCACGGTTTGAAACGCCATCTAAAACTCCCGGGGCAGTTTTCCTGGCCTTGTCATCTTGACTTGGATGTCTAATAGGACCACAGATCTAACATGCCCCAAATGAACTCCAGATGCCCCCCCAAACCTGGTCCCTGGTCTCCCCAAAGTCCTGCCAGTTGCTCTAATCTAGGAGTGAGCTGGGGTCTCCCCTTTCACCACCTCGCACTAGCACTCCATCAGAAAGCACCGCCAGTTCTCTGACCCATCACCCCAGCAGAGATTTCCCAACAGGTCTCCGGCTCTGTCTGCATCACTCTTCCTAATCTGCTCTCCACATGCAGCCGCAGCAAGCCGCAGAATTCGCTCTTAAAACTTGAAATCAGGGGCCTCCCTGGTGGCGCAAGGGGTTAAGCACTGCACTATGAAGCAATCCGCAGCCTCTGCAGCACGAGTTCTATCCCCGGCTGGCCAGGGAGAAACCCACATGGCACAGCAGACCTCTCCTGTCTCGCCCGCTGCTCCCCTCAGCAGTGTATTTCATCAGTCTGCCTGTTCTGTTCCCCACTGTCTCTGGTGAGTCCTCTCACACACCCCCCCCCACATCTCTGGCCTGTACCCCAGCTCTTGTATGCATAAATAAATGAATCTTAAAAAAAATATTAGCACCTTAAAAAAAAACAAAAAACCTCGAAATCAGAACATGTAACTCCAGTGGTTCTAAAACTGCACTTCAAAACAAATCTAACGGTATAGTAGTTCCACAAAAATTAAACAGAGTTACCATGTGATCCAGTAATTCCACTTCTGGGCATAGACCCCAAAGAAGGGAAAGAAGAGACTCAAACAAAACATGCACACACCCCTGTTGACCGCAGCGCTGCTCACAGGAGCCAACATGGCAAAACCATGTCCACGGGCAGGTGGGTGGGTGAACGGACACAGACACATGCAGTGAAGCAGTCATCCTTAACAAGGAGGAAATCCTGACATGGGTGAAGCATGATGCTTAGCGAAATAAGGCAGCTACAGAAGGACAATACTATATGGTTCCACTTCTAGGAGTCTGTGTCCAGGGTCAGACTCTGGGTGGGGCGGGGGGAGGGGTGAAAAACCTCTCCAGCCTGACACCGGGCCACTTCTTGATATCCCCCAGTGTCAAAAACCCACACACCCAAGGTCATAGAGCAGCTGCAGGCATCTGATAAGGCCCAGAGAAAGGACACTGTATCTCAGCAGAGACACAGCTCTGGTTTGTGTGTGTGTGAAATAAGAACCAGTTAATCTGATCAAACAGTCAAACATGTGGGAAATTTTATCCTGCTGCGGACTGCAGAGATTTCTGATCATGGATCTGAGGTATTTTTTCCCCCTTTCTCCAATGAACTGGACATTGCTGAAAATATCGCTGGACTCCAAAAGCCCTCAAGGTAGGATTTGTTTATTTCAGGGCTCACAGTATCCCTGGCATTACATGCAAAAATGTATGTGCACATTGGTGTGGAAATTGTGCACAATTATAGGAAGAGGAAGAGCTTTAGCAGATTTTCAAAGGAGGCTAGAACCCAGAAAAATAAGATTCTGAGATGCTGGAGTTGTCCCAGGAAATAAGCAAGACAACGAGAGAGAATGGGAGCAGGTGTCTGTTGTTAGGGGTCGATCTTTTGAAGGGGCTACTGCAAAGCCCACCCTCCTAGGCACAGTCCACTCTGCCCTTTAGATGCTGCCATGCCAGCCAGCACTACATCACTTGGTCAGAGTTGTCCAACAAGGACCTTGCACATTATGGACGCACAAAGTGACGAGTTAGAACAGTTTAAAATTTGTACCACAGGGTCTCCCGGTGGCGCAGTGGTTGAGCGCTGGGTTGCGAAGCTGCTCACGGCCTCTGCGGTGCCGGTTTGATCCCCGGCTGCTCCCCGGCCACCGGAGGAGGGTCCCACATGGCGCACAGACCTCTCCTGCCGCCCGCTGCTCCCCTCAGCAGTGTCCTTCGGTCCTTCTGCCTGCTCTGCTCCCCGCTCTGGCTCTGGTGAATTCTCTCACCCTCCCGCGCTTCTGACTGTACCCAGTGCTTGTATAAACCAAACAAACAAACAAACAAACAAACAAATAAATAAAACATGCCTCTATAAAAAAAATAAATATAAAAAAATTTCTACCACATATGATTCAAGGGAAGATGCTTCAGAAGAGTAGACAGCAGAAAGTTGCGGGGAGGGAGGATTATAAGAGAGCCCATTTGAAAGGAAGGGCAGGTGAGACACTTGCTGGACTCCACACACCTATTCCTCCCTACTAAGGCTCCCCGGAGGCCACTCCCAAGCCCCATCCACCTCTGCCAAATTCTTGCTCCTCCCTTCTAGAAGCCTAATCTCTGTTCCTTGCCCACCAGACCTTTTCCGGTCATGTCACCAGACCCTGACACTTACTTGCCTTTGTTTTTTCAGTGTGCAGGGTTTCTGTCCTCCCTGGGAAGATGTGAGCTCCCTGAAGAAATGGAGTCAACACTGCTCACCAGCGCCTCCTTCTACTGCCTTCCACTGGCTTTCCAGCCTCTGCTGGTTTTGAGCACCACCTCCAACCCAGGGAGCAAGAGGGCGGCTGGGGAAGGTGAGGAGGGGCAGGACCTCTACTGGAGTGCCCTGGGGTCCACACTGGCGAGAGTGGCACCGGAGCCCAGCTGCATGAGCTCCAGACCTGGCCTCTGCTCCCAGAGGCGCCAGGGCTAATGGTGCAGGGTCCATAGTCCCTTTCCTGATTGTGGCATCACCCCATTTTCAGGTGATGTTAAGAACTTCCTTTCTGATTTGGGGTCCTCTGCCTCTCTGCCTGACAGTTACCTGTCCCACCCCACCCCCCGCCAAAGCTGCCATCCCTCTGAGACAAGGTCACTCTTCAGTTTAAACACCTTCAGTAACTCCTCTTTTTTTTTTTGAAGTAAGTACTTTTACCATGGCATAGATTTCAATTCATCATCTTTTTTAGTGTCATTTCCTACTACAAACTGAAGCTTCAACCACATCAAAACTCATAAATTTTCCCAAACACACCTCTGTCTCTAGGAGTCTGCTTCTACCATCCCTCCTCCAGAAACTTAACACCCCTGCACTCTCCCTAGACACCCATCATCCACCCCAGCCCTGTGGCCTGCTCCAGCCCCGCAGCGCAGCAATCACCCCTGCTGGTTTCACAGCCCTGTTCCGGCACAAGGGAAACATGACTCTAATGTTTATGGGATTCTCACGCTGCTAGGTTGTCAGTGGTATGTGAATCATCTGTCTCCTGCCCACCATGTGATGGGGACTATTGTCTCCAATTTTAGTAGAGGAAAGTGAGGTTCAGAGAAGCTACGAGTCTTGCCCATGATCACAGAGCAAGGGAAGAATCAGACAGTTTCTGAACACCTGAGTGCCAACTCTCCAGGCCACATCCCTGCCCGTCCTTTATTTAGGGCCATGTTGCATCCACGCCGCTGTGGCTGGCTCTGTAGGTGGCCAGCTGACTGACGAGCGCTGTGAGCCTGCTCAGGGCAAGCTCCATCTCACTTGTCATTTGTCAAGGGAGGTCAGTGCCCTATAGCTGGGTCAGTGCCAGGCACAAGGCACTCATTAGATGTTTGTGGAACTGCTTTGAAGGCAGAAGTTTAGGAAGCAACCTTGCTTGCTTCTTGACAACAACAGCAAAAGGGGGCTCTGAGTAGAATCCTCCAGACTGGGCTAGCAGGGGAGAAACCGAGAGGAAGGCCGCGCTTTGCCACCACCTGTCCCAGCTTTTCTGATTTGCTTTGGGCGTGGCTAGGGTTGCGGTCCACTTGTCCCTTCCCCACCTTCCTCATTCACCTGCCTCCTTCCTCTCCTGGCCTTTTTGATGAGCTATGACTCTAAGCAACAGGCCCTTGGATGGTGCCAGCCCTCGAGAGAACTTTCCCCGCTTCCTGGCATTGGGGAGACCCCAGCCCCCTCCCGGAGGCCCCTGCAGCCTTACCCTCTGTGCTGGCATCATCCACCAGTATGATCTCCTTCAGCAGGATAGCAGGGGTGGTGTGTAGGACACTGTACACCGTTCGCAGCAGCGTGGACCAGGCCTCGTTGTGGAACACAATGACAACGCTGGTAGCAGGAAGTGGGGGGCAGCGCCGGAACTTCTGGTCGACACATCTGGAAGGATGAAAGTGTAGCTCCAGCTTCCCAGGTCCCTGGGAGGCCCACGGGTATGGAGGGCTTGTCCACAGGCTTCCTTCAGCATCTTCCAACCCTCAGAGCACGAGTTGGGAGTTGGAGTTGTGAGCCTGTTCCTGGCTTAGCCTGTGTTGGCCCGTGCCGAGGTCCCAGCAACCCACTCAAAGTCTGGGCTCAGCTGTGAGGCTGAGGGCTCCCTCCATGCTCCCCTCCATTCCCTCATTAGGTCTGGGGGTTCCCAGGACTGAGTCTCTCATGTGTCATGAATAAAGTGAATCCCATCTAGAGATCCCAGAGGGGTCAGCTAGAGGAGGCAAAGTGACTACGGTTTCCTTACCTGCTGAGAGGAAAAGGTTCTTCTACTTACAACTTACAGTTCCTCTCAAATCCATTTCTCATTCGTTCCCTGTGGTCTGATGCTACCATCGGTCCATTTCCTGTGACCTTTCCTTGATCCTCATCTACTCTAACCACTGTGCACTTGGCCACGCTGCCCCTCCTGACACGCCATCTCGGTGGAGGTGGGAATGTGTAGATCCTGGATCTCATACTGGACTCGGGTGGGAACGTGTAGATCGTGGATTCATGTGGCCCAACACCTTTCCTTAACCCCTTCTTCAGGTCACAGACACTCCCCAGGAGACTCTCAAACTTCCTGCCCTGTCTGTCCTCACACCCAGTGTCTTTCCTTCTCAGGCACTCCTGAGGCTCCAGGTGTCTCTGCATCCTGGGACTTTGGTGCCTGATTCAAGTCTGAGGAATCCCAGGTTCATAATCCTCAAGAATCATGAATAGGGGGGTGGGGCAGTAATGCTGCCCCAAAGGGTAACATTACTAAGTGGAAAAAGACAACGTCACAATGAGGAAGACAAAGTCTTTAAAGTGAGGAGAGTGTGATGAACCCGGCCATGGCAGCATTATAATGAGGTGGCGTCAGGGCAAAGGGCTAAGTGCAAGATTGAGAAGATGAACTGTTCCAATAAAGGCTGGAATGAATTCAAGGCCCTGTAGGCCTTCACCCAGGAAGAGTGGAGACAGCCCCGACCACCTGGGCCTCTGTTGGGGAAACACCCCTTCCTCAACAGCTCGGCTTCAGGGTCCATGGTCTCTGGGCTCAGGCCTCAGCAGGGGGCAAGTCCACTGAATCTGCAGCCTGGACTCAGCCCCTCCCGGTCACCTGTGTTCCAGGTCCTGGGCTCAGGTCCTGAGCCCAGAGCCTCCTGCTGGGTCCTGAGATCTTTATAATCGCATTTCACTCTCACAGGTCTCCCTGGACCTGTGGCCTGATCATAATTCTCTTGAACCGCAACCCTTGGGATAAGGGCAATAGGTCAGGAAAAAATTGAGGGCTCTGAGGGAATTCTTGCCCATATTCTAAACTCTCCTTCAGCACTTCACCTGGTGCGTGGCCAGTGGTCATGGCTTTGCAGTCACACACACCTTGCGCTGAATGCTGGCCTGGCCTGGGGACTCCGGGGCTACTTACTCAGGCGGCCGGGTGTCTGGCCCCAGGGCTCTCTGCAGGGAGATGCGGTCGCTGGCGAAGGCATTGAAGCAGTGCTTCTTATAGCCCCTTTCCTTTTCTTGGGTCTCCAAGGGGGTCCACTCACTCTTCTGAAATGCTTTCCCATCTGCCCCAGGGCTGCTGGGGTCCTGCGGCGGCCGTTCCCAGAAGGGCTTCAGCTCAGCCGGGGTGTAGAACCCAGGGAGGCAGGACTGGTTTTTGGAGACCTGTGTCTCTTGGGGCTCTGGAGCCCTGATCTGGAGCTTGGGCATCGAATCTCTTAGGTTGTTCATAGCCCCCAACATGAGGTCCAGCATGTGATCCTTCTGGTTCACCAAGGATTTCAGCCAGGGTTTCTCTGTGTCCTGTTCTCTGCTGCTCACATCCCTCTGCATGATGAACAGGAAGAGCACAAAGGTGCTGCCCACAACAGCCAGGCGCAGGCGCATGTGGCGTCTGCCGAGGAGTCTCATCCTGTGGAACTGGGGACCACGAGCCAGGGGCAGCTCCACGTGCTGGGCCCAACTGGGAAATGGCCGGACACGCTGTAGTGATCACACCGTGGGACCTCTGCCTGGGAAGGGAGGAGGGGGAAGAGAAATGAGCCATGGCAGGGCTGGTGAAGGGGTGGGAGTTGGGGTTCAGGCTCCGTGTCTGAGTGGCCACGCCCCCCCAGTCCAGTGACTCACTTCACTGTGTCTGCATTTCCTCCAGCCATAGTGAGGAGACTGGACCCTAAGATTCTGACATTCATGGATCTAGAAGAACTGGAACACAGAGGTGCTACATGAATAGATTTAATTAACATAATCACTTTGGCATTATCAAGTAAAATTTAAAATATACAAGGCCTATGACCCCACAATTACACCCTTAGTTTTATGTTCCAGATAAATTCTGGTGTGAGCCAAGAAGCATGAACCAGAAGGTTTCTAGAAGCACTAGTCAAGCAGAAAAACTTAGAAACAATTCCCATGTCCATCAGGAGTACAATGAAGGGAGGGCGTGTGAACTCTCTGCTGCGAGTGCCCTACGGCAGTGCCAAAGGCGAAACTCTTCCATGTGCAACAATACAGAAGCGGAGTGGACAAGCAAGTTGCAGAAAGATACCCAGTTCATGGAAAATTTAAAAGCATGTAAAACTTTTATTTACATGCTTGTGTATGAACACAAAAATGAATAAATGGTAAAACTATGAAGAAAACCAGAGAATTGATGAAGCTAACGATTCTGAAGAGGGAGAGAGAAGTGTGGATGGTGACGCTTGGGAACTTCAAAGGAAAGTGTTTTGTCTCACAGGGGATGGTAGCCGTTGGCCATGCTATAAGTGATTTATAAACATTCTTTTGTCTACTCATTGAATTTAAAATATTTTTTTTAAAAAATGTAATCTTCGGGCCTCCCTGGTGGTGCAGCGGTTGAGCGCTGGGTTGCAAAGCTGCCCGCAGCTTCTGCAGTGCGGGTTCGATCCCCGGCTGCTCCCCGGCCACCGGAGGAGGGTCCCACATGGTGCGCAGACCTCTCCTGCCGCCTGCTGCTCCCCTCAGCAGTGTACTTCGGTCCTTCTGCCTGCTCTGCTTCCCGCTCTGGCTCTGGTGAATTCTCTCACCCTCCCCGCTTCTGACTGTACCCAGTGCTTGTATAAATAAATAAATAAATAAATAAATAAATCTTAAAAAATATATATATATAACCTTCAATGCACCTTCCAGGCAGGAAGGTGATTCTGCCCCCAGACATATGATTCCACAGCTCAGAGGATGACTGTCTGCAAAACTTCCCGGGACCGCTCGGGAAGAGGAAGTCTCACTGGTTAGACATTAGCCTTTGGGAGTGACAGGCCTGGACACGAATCCCAGTTCTACCCTTTGTAATAATAATAGCACCTAATCCTGCGGGTTCTTATAGGGATTAAGTTTGATAAAATAATTAGTGGATAAAGCTTAGCAGTTTCTGCCCACAGTACATTCTCAAAAAGTGTTAAGTGTTTATCATCAGCAAGCATAGTGTTCCTTGGCCAGATTAATCTAAGCCTCAGTTTTCTCATCTACAAAGTGGGGGTAACTAATAGTTAACTCACAGGGTTGTGGCACGGACTAAATCAGAGATAATGTGTGTAAAGTACTCTGCAGAGTGCCTGGCACATACTAAGTCCTCAATAAATGGTATCAATTATTTCTGTTATTATAATAAATCCTTGCTCAGCTTCCCAGCAGTTACCCTCAACATGTTGGCCAAAGTCATTCTCATCACCCTGTGGCATGACTTGCTTACAAGTAACTCCAGTTGAACTATTTAATGCTGTTTTTTTAAAACAAGCTCCTGCCTGGGGAGAAGCCTGGTGTCCAGTGTCTCCAGGACCGGGGAAGGCTTAGCCACTCTGGTCTCAAGGGGGAGGTGGTTTCTCTCTGGGCTGAGGGAGACAGGTGGTCTTCTTTTATAACATCAGATTCATGGCAGCAGCAGAAATAAAAGAGAATGAAATCTCTTTGAGTGTCTATTTTGTATTAGGAGAGTAGGTTTGTTCCTTCTGCCAGTATAGATGAAATGCTTTCTAAATGTCAGGGACTCTCAGATGGGAAATACAGAGATGCACAAGCTCAGCCGACAAGGAGCACATAGTCAACTGGGAAAGGCAGATTTCAAAAGCAAATCACCTGGTGAAAAGACAACACGAAAGGGGCACCCTTGGGTGCTGAGGGAAAGATCATGCAGGAAACTCAGCAAGTGGGGGAGGGTGGCAGCTGTCTGTCCCATAGGGGAGAAGCTGGGTTGAGCACTAACCCACAAGCGGGAGTTAGCCAGGCAAGCTGAGCACATTCCAGGCAGCGGGATCAGCACATAGAAAGACCTCAAGGTGGAGACAACAAGGCCGACGGGTATGGGGAACGGAAGTGGGGGGGTGGCAAGTAGTTTGCTGTGGTGGGGATGCGAAGTCTGAGGGGAATGGCAGATGGGCTGGGAGAGGCGGCTGTGACCAAGTTACCAAGCCAAGGAGTTTACCCTTGACCTGAGGTAGATACATGAAAGATCCTTGGGATCTGGTGAAGGTGACCCCTGGTTGGTAGCTGGATGGCCAGCTAAGAGGGGCTTGGGGGTCTGACCCAAGATGGCAGCAGCATTGATGAGGAGTGAGAATTGTGCTAGGAAAACTCCCTTGGGTGACAGGGTGGGCTAATTCACTCCATCTGGGACACAGAGGGACACTGAGAGGTTTTTAAAAGGATTTTTAAAATTGAGTTGGAGAATAGGAATGAGTAGCGCCAGGGTCAGGGAGCACCTGTCCAGGGAAGGACAGAAGCATGAAAAGAGATTTTTCACTGAATACCCTCTCGTACTTGAGCTGACTGCATTGTTTATCCAGAAATTTATAAAACTAAAAGTTAACCATAGCACAACCGTAAGTACCAAGTTAAGAGAGGCAGAGTTTCCTGTGGGCTTGAAGGCTTTACAGAGGAAATGGGTAGAGATGCACCTCAGGTGTGGAGGCAGTTTCCTGTCCCAAGGTTGAGTGAGCTATGCTGGGCCAGCACAAGGGCTTCTGCTTGAGCCAGACACTTCATCACTTCTAGAACTGCCCAGCAAAGCATAAGAAAAGGTCCCTCAGCAAGAGAAAGTGTTTACCATCCTGCATCCTCCCTGATCCTTTTTGTTTACCTTTGCTCTCCAGCAAGAAAGAGGGAGCACTGTTAGAATCAAAGGCATGGTGGGCCTCTCTGGTGGCCTAGGGGTTAAGTTTCAGTGCTATCACCTCTATGGCCTGAGTTCGATCCCCTCCCAGGGAGCTGGCCCACATATGGTGCAGCAGACCTCTCTTAGCATCAGTAGATCCACCTGTTCTGCTCCCCACTCCATCTCTGGTGAATCCTCTCACCCCCGGCAATTCTGGCCTACACCCCAGTTCTTCTCTTCAAAAATAAATGAAATCTTAAAAAAAATGAGAGAAACAAAGGCATGGTAATAGCTTATTTTCTAGCTGCTGCCAATTGTTGAAGACTCACCTTCTCCAGGAAGGCCTCCCTGACTGATTCACTCAGAATCACCAATCACTCAGGTCACTCCAATTCCCTTGTCCTCGCACTGCCCCGTGGTACCTTGCAGTGGGGTTCACCTTTGTTCTTTTTATTTGCCTTGGAGAGAGAAAATGCCAGAGTTCAACAGGCCCTTTCTAGGTATCTGCTCTCTGGATCCAATCTGGCTGTCTAAGACTTTCTCTTTGGAGCCTATATTTCCTCAAGGTACTAACCACATCCTGAAATGAAATGAGACACCTGTTATTAGTCTTGGCAGTAAGGGCCTTGGTCTCTAGTTTGTTTGCTTAGCGTACGGGCATTTGGAAATAGTCCTTTAGAAGAGATACCTACTGGGATGGAAGCCAGATGCTTTGGGATTAAGGATCCCTGCTCTCTGCATAGGAAACAATTCCCAGAAGTGTGGTTAGCAAGGTCCTTCACCATCCCTGGTGAAGGAAAAGCGCCTACTGTAACACTTTGTCAAGTACAGGGAGGGCCTCCCAGAGTCCTGGCTCCAGGGTCCTCGGTAACGCCCTGTCCCTGTATGTACTTCCTTATAACCAGTAGGTAAACCAAGAGAAAGGAAGACAAGGACTTCCTCGCTTCGGGCTCCCACGGCCTGGCCTCTGAGTCCACTGGGCAGTGTACCCACAGCCTTCACACACTCACTCCCTTTGCTGTGCTGAGCATTTGTTCACAACCTTTCCTCTTCCATCACTCTTGGGACCACAACACTCCTTGGTTCAGGAGTGAGATGATGCCAGAAAAGCCGCTTCTCCTGGGAAGCCTTCCTTGACTGAACAAATAGGACCGACTTCCTTGGCCCCACCAGCCAGAGCAATAATTTACCTTGTCCCACTGATAACCCTGTGTCTATCAAACTATTGACTGCAATGACTGTGAAATAATTTGAACTGCCTGCAGTTAATCTGTTTCATGTTGCAAATCAACATGAAAAAAAATCTTTAGAAGAGCAGAATAGAATAAAAAAGAAAAATACCGGAAAGTGTACTGTATGAAATAAGAGTAAATACTGTTTTTGTTAAAATTTCATTTCAGAGTGTGGGTAGCTAGACAGATAGGTAGACAGATAATACACACAGGATACATTATATAACAGAGTGCACCTAAAGTCTTAGTGTGGTTTTAAGCATTAATAAATTCAGAAGTATAAATGCTGCACACTTACAAAGAATATCATTTTTAAGTTGTCTTTACATTTCTTTTACCTTAATTTTATAAATTTGGACAATATTTTTTTAATGTTTGTACCAGTCCATTGACAATGACGAACAGTTCCTGATACAAATGAACAGTAGAAAATTTATTATTCAAAATTCATATAACTCAATAAAGGTGAAAGAAATGTAAATGACGACATTTTCAAATGATACTTTCCACGTGATCCAAGTGCAGAATAGCCCTACGACTTTTGTGACACCTTGTCATACATAAGTCTTGTTAAATGTTTCTTATTTGGGTCCAGTCAAAGCAGGTTAAGGCTAGTGATGCAGTGGGGTCCCTCAGGAGGTCTCCCCAGGGCCCCTAGCAGAATCCACAC